TCCCACTTCTGACACCAGTTGTTGCGCCCCAAACTCAACTCAATTATGCGCGTGGGTCTCCTGTTGCCACAAATCATAGACATGAACGGGGATCTACGGAAATGATGCAGTCAGGATAATAACGATCAAACTTTATTAACGTATAACTTCATAATGCATATAATAACTGCATGTGCAAGGGCGTAAATATATAACAAGTAAAAGAAATCGGGAGTCTTTACAACTATAAGTATTCAACCGCGCGATCAGTATAGATTAGACTACCATATACGGCTGTAATAAAAACCATCTAGTTATCGACAGTGCCCGATCTGGCATCGATGTAGGTACCGCAGCGTGATAGGGACTAGTTCGGCTGTTCTGTACCGTATACGGTGACATGGGTTGAATCCGTGATCTGGTAACGTCATGTACCGGGTAGTCGGTACCGATTCGGGCAATCTCCCGGAAATTAAACATACATTATGCAAGAGCTAAATCTGCCTATTGCAGGTCTTTTTTAGGCCTGAAATGTTATCTAAATTATTAATTAGACATTAATTAACTTATCCAGACCATAATCAACTCTCGATGGCATCGCTAGCCTGCGATGTTTATTGGATTAGGTTCCGATTTGCTGGATAATCGAGGCTATGTTTTTTTTATCCCACCGACTTTAGTAATGATGTTAGAGGCTAGGCCGAAAATTCAATCGCTAAAATCTCGGTTCATAGTGTATCAATGAAATTTTCAGCAAATTCCCTTTACAGTATCTAGTTTTTAACTAGTATAGTGAGAACTGCCAGCTCTTTATCTAATCTCCCATAATGTATCTTTAAACAAGCCCTCCTTTTAAACAAACGTCTAAACGGAAATATCAAACTATTAGATAGTCAATTACAAAGAGTTCGGAATCGGGTTTGTCTACTCGGATAAAAATCATAATTATAAAGCAGCAAATGGAAGCCTTAACGTGGATCAATGCAACAAACAAGCCGTGACGTGACGATCGCTCCGTACAAAAGTTAAAGTCTGAATCGTCAAAACAGTCGGATACAAGAAAGTAAAAATATGAAATAGTAATTAATCCGTACCCGACTCACTATTTTATAAGACTGCAGGAAGCCTGGGCCATGGTTATTCTGGAAATCTCCAAGATGCCGCGTCCCGTGTTATCGGGCACTAGTCCGTTGACCCAAGTGTCGATAAGCGAAAAGCCGCTTGCTTCGCGTAAACTAAGAAATTGGCTCCCTATTTTTTCTAACAAGAGATAATAATTGTGAACAGCCATGATAAAAAACAAACATATTAATAAATAAAACCCCTATACATGTCTGGCATTTACTAACCGAGCAGTAGTTTTCAAATATAACTGAGTACTTCACCCGACCCGACAGTACTGTCTAAGCGAGCTTCAACTAACGGTTCCGCTAAACTTATGAATAAACTTAATATTGTGTAGTAATGACGTCTTTACTACAAGTATACAATATGTACAAAATTCCTAGCTTACAAAAATACGAATAACTTAGATTTGTAACACCGGGCAGTGGCACTATGGCCTACTCTTATATCGAATTCTAACTGCCCGGAGGTCTTTTACGTGCACGCCAATGTGTACACGGGACCTCGGGTTTTCGTCAAATCCGAAGTTTGTTCACAGCATATACTGCACCAATTGTAGATATCATCCGTGAGATGGGTATTAATTTCCACCCCTGTGCGGATGATACCCAGTTATATGTTAAACTTGATCCTTCGCCAGATACCACTACATCAGAACTTGAGGCATGCATTGAACAAATAAGAATCTGGAGGCACTGCAACGTTTTGAAATTGAACGGTGAAAAATCAGAAATTATAATAATCGGGAATAAAAAGAACATTGACATCAACCATGTGACTAGTGGAAGCAATGCCATAATCCCATCCAACTGTATCAGAAATCTTGGTTTGTTCTTTGACTCTTCTTCTGATATAAATACCAACGTATCCATGGCTGTGCAAACATTGGCAAAATCCGACCCTAAATGCTTTTGTTATGCCATCTTTAGATTATTGTAATTCATTATTGTATTCTCTTCCTAAATCTCAGCTACAGAAAATCCAAAATAAAGCAGCTCGAATTGCATCTCTCACGAAACCATCTGACCATATTACACCTCTTTTAAAACAGTTACATTGGCCACCGGTTAATCAACGCATCATTTCCAAAAATCAACAGAATCACTTTAAATTGTTTTAACGATCCTTTGGCACCATCCTTGTTATCCGATTTAATTCAACAATATTTACCTTCTCGTCCCTTACGTTCATCTCATAAAGGCAAACTTGTACGTCCAGTACATGAGTCAAAATTTGGTGAGAGAGGTTTAGCGTACGCAGCACCGAAAAAATGGAACAAATTGCCACTGGAAGTTCAAAAAAGTCCAAATTTGGCTATATTTTCAAATGACGTCTAAAAACCACGTATTTTACCCAAACTTTTGAACTATTCACTTTCCATTTGTATATTGTAACTTGACTATTCCTTTGTATCCTCTTTTTTTTTGTATATACATGTATGTTTTTTATAATCATATTTACATTGTAAAACGTCACAAAACAGTCAGACTGACTGAAAGCTCAACGGTATAGAAAACGATTATTATTTTTTTATTATTATAATAAATCATTGATAAAAATTGTGACCTCTTAAAGTGTTCACAAGCTAAAAATGAAGTTACGGTACAATGCATGCCAATATCGAAAGGAACTGTGATCTTTGGGATATAAATCTATATTTCAAGTTTCTCCAAAATCGGATAAAATTGTGACCTGTATAATGTGAACGGACGCCAGGACGGACAGAGGCGACGACAATATACGTACACATGAAATTAATGTGGGTGTATAAAAACGAAACAGCTTATACGAAATTTTTTTCCCGTTATCTACTATTCTATCAGGTGCCCTATTTCTCATAATTAATTCTATTTAACTTTATTTAAACTCTATGTTTTAACCTTATATTGACTCAAACGCTAATATCGCGATTGCCCTGGGAAAATCTGTCCTTTTAAACCCTACACGCTAGTAAAAAAATAGACAGGGACGGAGACACCACCCATTCTTTATCCTATTCCCTTGGCGTTTCTGTATTAATACTTATGCTTGGGCCTAACGCTTATTTAGCCTACTCCCTATAGGTCTACTTTAAAAATACACAAATTACTATTCATTCTTATATTTAATACGGGGGGGTTGGATGGCTTAGTGGTTAGCACGTGCGCGCTGTATCATTAAGTCTGTCAATGAGTCAACTGGCGTGGTTTCGAATCCCGGTTGTACGTGACAAGGAGTAGGGTCGCCTGTCCAACCTCGTGGGTTTTCTCCGGGTCCTCCGGTTTCCTCCCACTGCTTAAGACCCCTACGCGCAAGCGAATTATGGAAATAAAATTGAACCATATGTTAGTCCCGAAATGACCTAGTTTGTGTCGAATGGACGTTAAACCCCATTTCTCTCTCTCTCTCTCTCTCTCTCTCTCTTTAATACTTTTTAACGTTAATAATGAAAATAAGTAGAACCCCTATCCTTTTATTAAAGTTTATTCTTAAATTAACTATAATGCATTATTTGGTCTGTTTCACGATTTAAACAATCAATGTTTTCGGACAACAATGCACCTACCATTAATGATTATTTCCACGGATTCTCCACCATGTTTCATTATTCGGTCACGGATTTCCACGGGTTTTCATCCAAGGTAGATCATGGCATGGCTACCAAAACAAACATGTAAGACAGCAGGGTGATTATTTATATCACTATTATCCATGTCACAAAAACCAAAACAAATATGTAACAGGGCCGTCGGTTCAATGTTTGCAAAACGGCGTCAAAAAAAATTGTAGCAAGGTCCTTCGTCGCAGCCCCCAATTTCTTGCTTCACGTTTTAACTGTAATTATCACTTGAAATATGTATGTAGAGAATGAATGAAAACAAGGGAATGCACGGACTTTTTCTATTTTCCTCGCTTTCTCTTATCTCGTGGCAGTCTGTTCTTTTTATGAATTGTTAGTTTTGAACAGATATCCTCTTTAAGTCTTCAAAGGAATTATCAGTGAGCTGAAAATCGACCGTGTATCTGTTATCGCTCTCTAATTCAGTCAGTTATATAAGGATAACTCATGTTCTCCCTCTTTTCGCGTCACTTCCCGTTTCTTCAAATCTTCGTAACGCATCTACCGTACCAAAGATCTCTGTGTTAAAATTATATTGGGAATGTGTTTAACCAGTTCTATCACATATTTAATATTGTTTTTATCATTCTAAACTTAATAAAACATTGTAATGCACGGACTTTTTATTTTTTTCTGTTTTCTCTTACAGTCCATTCTTTTTATAAATTGTCCGGCGTATCTGTTATCGCTCGTTACTTCAGTCACTCGTGTTTTCCTTTTGCTGTCGACTCTTCCTTATCGTCAAATCTTCGTTACGCATCTATCGTAGCAATAATCCCTGTGTTAAAAATTATATTTGGAACGTGTTTCACCAGTTCTATCACAATGTGATAAAGGTTGACACCAGTATTGTCCTTTAAGAATACCAATGGGTTTGCTCAATCAGGGCGCTTTCTGGTCTATTATATCCCTGATATTCTGGGATAAGCGATTTATTCATTATTTGATTGGTTAAATATGCGCAGATGCAGAGAATTTCCCAAATACGGATTATGTAAACAAAAAGTGAAAACATCGTCTTTTACATTATTCGGCTCTAAATTGCATTTTATTTTCGCTATCTGTTGATGACAGATACGTTTGCAAAACATCCTGTTTTATTCATATTTTGAAAACAAATTAATTGCGTTTTTTTTAAAAAAAAAAACAAAACATGTAGCCCAACAGAGAGCTTTTTAGGTTAGGTTGTTATATTCATAAAACATTATACTTATATATGACAGCAATCCCTAATCAATTACAGTGAGCGTGTACATAGTGTTATTTTTTCCCATAAACATTTAGGTTGGTAATTGGACAGAGGCTGCGGAACAAAAAGACAGGTTAAAGTTAGCAAATGATATCAAATCTTTAACCAGATTAGATAAAAAGAAGTTCTACAGAATTGTTACAGTATCCGATGTAAGTTCCTAGTGAATAGATTTGTAAATAAATTCTGCAATAAATGGAGACGTAACATAATTTTATTATTTGAAATTTAAGGAGGGATATTGAAATGAAATCCTAACGATTTAATAAGAAAATTTTCTGATTTTTTTGTTTTGTTTTGATTTCACACAACTTTTATTCTGAAGTATATCTCATAATCATAGTCTGGAGGCTCAGTGCGGAGGGGTGTCCATCAAATGGGCACAAAACCAGACCCAACTTTTCTAGAGTAAAATTTTGCGTAGAATACATGCCGAGTGGTATTCAGTCCGCCGTTGGGGCGTTTTCGAGATATTCGGGGACAAAGGTCAAATGAGGTCAGTGAACGCTAACTTGCTAAATTCACCTTTGTTCTTTGAGACCTCAGAGGCCAAAGGGTCAAAGTGTCCGTTTTTGCACTAGGAAGCTTTAAAGCAAAAAATGTCACCGTAAAATATAAAAACTAAAGCGAAACCTGTTCTAATTAATAAAAGGAACATTTAAAAATTATCTTTAGATGGTCTTAGCACCGTACATTTACTTTAGAACTTCGAAAAAAATCTTGCATAACAGAACCAAAACACTTCGAAACCTGTTTTAAAAATACGTAAAAACTGTCAAAGCGAAATCTCCCCGATTTAGTTTAACAACGATTACGCTGACATTTTATTGCTTTACATCTTCCTAGTGTAAAAACGGAAAATTTGACCTTTGGGCCTCCGGGGTCACAAAGAACAAAGATGATTTTAGCAAGTTAACATTTTTATTGAAAAGTTGATTACTTTCGATCATTTTCAGCATGTTTTCATGATATAAGAAGGGCTGCGCTTTCAGTTTCAGTGCAAATGACCTCATTTGACCTTTGACCCCGAATATCTCGAAAACGCCCCAACAGCGGACTGATTACCACTCGGCATCGTATTCTACGCAAAATTTTACTCTAGAAAAGTTGGGCCTGGTTTTGTGCCAATTGGATGGACCCCCACCCCCGCACTGAGCCTCCAGTCTATCAGGTCAAAATATTTTTATGAAAGTGTGTAGTTAAATGCATGTTAGAAATTTCTCGGACCGGACCATAATTTGACTTAAATTTGATCATTTTAGCTTGTTTTCATTTCATTTCAGATACCGCCGTTTGTTTACAAATTAAAAAGTCAGAATGATACATATAGAGGCTACTGTATTGACCTTTTGAACAAAATTGCTCAAAATATGGATTTTGATTATGCCATCTATGAAAGTCCCGATAGTCTATATGGTTCTATGGATGAAAATGGTCATTGGAATGGTGCTATAAAGGAATTGATAGACAAAGTAAATTATAAGCACATTTATACTACACTTTTCACTGACGAAAATGTTAACATTTCCTACTAAATTCAAGTTTCAATGTCCCAGAAGGCCAATAACCATTTTCTATATGGGTGGTCTCAATACGGAGTAAGCATCCTTGAGGCAATTTCAAAGAAAGACAGACACAGTTTTATCTAATTTATATAGACATGACTTTAGGCCTACTTTATTACTCTAAGTTGATATAATAATGTAATGTAAAAACATATAATGTGAGTAATTTCAGTTTATCACCATTTAACTGCACATAAAAAGTAGGATGTACGCCCTGGGAATTCATTTGATCTTTTGTCGTCAATATTATTAACAAGCTGATGTTCCCCGCCGAAATCCCGAAATAAATGGATAATACATGTTAATTAATTGCACGTTTATCTTTTATAAAAGTATCGAGCAATCAAACTGATTATCAACAATAACAAAGTTTCACCACTCTCTATTAGATAGCCTCAACGTCAAAGAAATTGCTTAGCTCTGCTTAGCTTTAGTATAGAAAGTGGATTGTGGCGTGAATTGAATTGAAAATAATGTAAACTTTAAAGAACCATAGTATACGTTAGGATTGATGTAATTTTTATTGCGTGGGGAAGAGCTTACCCGTAACCAACTGAAATAGTTGCGTATACTCTATCAATAGAAAGCAATTTAAACGTTAGATGCCCGCAGCTTAAATTTGATCAATTTAAATAGTGTTTGGACCAAAATACTTTTTGATTAGACTACTTTCTATTGTGTGTGGATGATTGTAAAGTCTATATTTGTGTTTTAATCTGCTGCGTATATTCCATCTGATTCTTTGTTTCGTTTTCTTTCAGAAAGCTGATATAGCAATTGGTCCTATATCTGTCATGGCGGAAAGGGAAAATGTTATAGACTTCACAGTACCTTATTATGATTTAGTTGGTTTAACAATTTTAATGAAGAAACCAGAATTTGACTATTCACTGGTCAAGTTTCTCAGTGTACTAGATACAGAGGTCTGGTTTTGTATCATTGGTGCCTTCTTTCTGTTTAGTATTCTGATTTGTGTTTTTGATAAACTCAGTCCATTTAGCTACCAGAATAATACTATTGATTGGAATGGGGAAGGTTCGGAACCAAGAGTCTTTACTCTTAAAGAAGGAATTTGGTTCTGCATGATGTCTTTGACTCCGCAAGGTGAGTAAATTAATGGCAATGCAGAAGCAAATGCACCCTTGAAGTTCCTTTTGGTATCCTAATCGTTGCCCATGCGCTATTTCAGCAAGGGGGTGTCGCTAAATAGGTGCACAGTGTCGAACTCACCTATAGCAACGCTGAATTTAAAAATATGGTCGGGTGAAACACCAGTTTTGAATGGAAAAATCCAATTGTGATACTTATAGGTTCAGATCAGACGAGTTGATTGCAAACCCAACAGGAATACATGTATCTGCAGGATAAGAGATAAATATTACCCTAACCGAGGGTTAATATGTGAAATACCCAAGGCCGGAGGGCTTGGGTTATTTCTCATATCGACCGAGGGTATTAGGGTAATATTTGTCTTACACACCGACATCAATGTTAAATGTATCCTAATTGATTTCACCTATAAGACAATGGTTTAGCCCATATCGGCCCTGCGACTGATATGACATAGTTAAGAAAACAAGTCGTAAGTTGCACGTGCATTATATACTCTTCAAAAAAGTAGGGGATATTCAGATGCAAATACATATGCAGGTTGTGATATGATAAATAGTAATGGACACTTGACATGCTTTGAGAGTATGTTAACAGATCAAGAACTTATCGCCCCAACAGAACCACTGAGCTGTAATACCGCCATACACGTGGGAGGGGTTTATTGTCAAATTTGACACTTCAAGGAAGGGTTGATGAAAACTGCCGCGTGCTGGTTTATCCTATCCATGTTTGCTTTCCTATCGGTTCTTGCATAAGATTTACTGTTTAGCGTATCTTTGCTTTAGCTTCAAATGGGTTCTACACAGCGAGCAGTTGCCAACATGCTTAATGTGTCACAGTCTGTGATCAGCAGACTGTGGAACCGGTACCAACAAACACATAATGTTGATGATAGACCTCGCCCAGGTCGTCCTAGAGCCACTACACAAGCCCAGGATCGATACATTCGTACACAGGTCCTGCGAAATCGAGGACAAACGGCCAATCAGCTTTCTGTAAACTTGTACCAAGTTACAGGAATTCTAGTTACACCCCAAACGATTAGAAATCGGCTACATGCAGCCAGCCCATTTGCATGCGCGACGACCGCGTGTTGTGCCTCCATTAACTCGCCAGCACATGGCAAACAGGCGTCAATGGTGTAGGCAGCTTAGAAACTAGGGTAATCGTCGATAGGCGCGTGTAATGTTCTCAGATGAGTCCAGATTTACTCTGGATTTCACCGATAGGCGTGCTCGCGTTTGGAGGCGTGTAAATGAGCGTCTTGCTAACGTTAACGTCAGACAGCATGACATATCCGGGCGTCGGTCTGTTATGGTGTGGGGAGGAATCACCATGACTGGCAGAACGGACTTGCATATTGTTCAAAGAAAGGTCACTGATGTGTACTACCGTGACCACATCCTGGCACCGGTAGTTCTGCACTTTGCTCAACGTGCAGGTCGACGTTTTATCTTTCAAGATGATAATGCCCGTGCCCACCGCGCTCGTGTCGTGAATGACTACCTCCAGCGTTACTATATTGTCAACGTCAAAGTCAACCGACAACACTGCAAGAATTGTCCGTGGCACTGCAAGAGGAGTGGGTCAGATTGCCCCAAATCGTGATTGGACGGTTGATTAGGAGCATGCCACGACGAATTGCTGAATGTCTGAGGATTGGTGGAGCAATTACTGATCATTATTAAGACAAAAATCAAAAAGGTCCATTTTCACTTTTGACAGTGAAATGGGGCCGTCAGATAAGCCGCCCATATGAATATTTTATGTTCATGTGTAGGCAATTGGCCTGTTATTAACATACACTGGTTACCACTAAAAAAAACAGCAGTGCATTTCCGCAGGTTTGTATTGTTTCTGAATATCCCCTACTTTTTAATAAGCCCCCATTTTCATGTGAGGGATATTGTCGTCGCCCCTGTTTGTCCGTCCGGACGTCCGTCCACAATTTGTTTGTGGACACGCTACATGTCACAATTGTTTTCGATTTCAACGAAACTTAAAATATAACATTATCTCCCTAAGATCTCAGTTCCTTTCGATATTGGCATGTATCGGACAATAACTTCATGGATTATGGCCATACTATACGTAAGGATTGATCTAATTTTTATTGCGTGGGGAAGAGCTTACCCGTAACCAACTGAAATGGTTGCGTATACTCTATCAATAGAAAGCAATTTTAACGTTAGATGCCCACAGCTTAAATGACACATTTCCTCGTATAAACTATAGACTGGTGGTTCTTGACGCTGGATGATTCAAACTGATGCAGATGCAAATTCAGTACTCTAGATTCTGTTTTGTTTATATTTTCAGGGGGTGGAGAAACGCCACGCGCATTGTCAGGACGACTGGTTGCTGCCACCTGGTGGTTGTTTGGGTTTATTATTATAGCTACGTATACAGCTAACCTTGCTGCCTTTCTGACAGTATCTCGTCTTGAAACGCCAATAGAGTCTTTGGATGATCTCTCTTCACAGTTTAAAGTAAAATATGCTCCAATGAACGGCAGTAACGCACTCATCTACTTCAATCGTATGGCAGACATTGAAAAAAAGTTTTATGGGTATGTTGTAATTTTGACACACATGGGTTAGAATAGAGCTATGCTGTCTTTAAAAAATAATAGGTTTTGACCCTATACTACAGGCTACTTTACAAAATGGCTATTGATTAACCCACAACAAAGAGTCAGCTATTTTATTGGTGGCGTTATGATATGAATTTGTGTATCACCACCAGATTTAACCGTGAATATAGATACCGATACGGCAATGATAATAATACCATCTTCTGTGTCGAGGATGGCTACAAGATATTCTTTCTGTTTCATATCCATTTGTGTTGTCTTTAGAATCCTAAAGATTGCTTTCCAATTCAAACAATATATTTTAGCATTTGGAAGAATATGAGTTTAGATGATAGCCTTGGTGCTGTTGAGAGAGCTAAGCTCGCTGTGTGGGATTATCCTGTTAGTGATAAATATACCAAACTATGGGAGACCATGCAGGAGTCGGTGTTTCCTGCTGATAAAGAAGAGGCTCTCCAGAGAGTATTAACTGGCGAATTTGCTTACATTGGTAGGTTGGACTATGACGAAATCAAGTTCACGATATCATCTCTAGGGTACTTAGTTATAGGATCGGGATTGCTGCATAATCGTGTGGTTGGGGCATACACACGACGACAATAATTTTTGGGTCTGAATCGTGGCATCGGCCTGAGAAACCTTCGAACTTCTAAACCATGATGTTCTCACATCTTCAGTGTATCACACGAAGTGAGTTTGTGGGATGTATTTACAGTACTGGATAAATGAAAATCATCACTAGGATTTAATTAAAGAAAACTTTGGTAGATCTGTATTTACAGGTCCTATAATTTAAAACAGACGCATTAGCCAACTTGGCTACTCCCCCCTCCCTAGACTAAAAGCTCTGCTTCACTTCGGATCATATGCGTTAAAACAAAGCATTCTTTCCCTTTCCAAAACATAACGAAATCATTATATTTGCTTTTCAGGTGACGCAACAATAAATAAATATGCTACATTAACAAACTGTGAGGTATGGGAAGTTGGTGAAGAGTTTTCAAGAAAGCCATATGCTTTAGCTGTACAAGAAGGGTCACCATTACGCAGTCAATTATCAAATGTGTAATGTATCTTCTTCCATTTAAGATCAACAAATTTAGAGCATTGAAGACTTCGGTCCATTGGGGCTATGATCTGTTTTCAGAATTTTCGATAGTATTTTCTAAACTTGACTTTCCGGCCCATAATGTGTACGCCGTCCATAACTTATTTTTAGAGAAGATCTGTTTAGTATCTACTGATCTTGATGTTTAAAGGCATAACACGCCAAATTGTTCACTCGTATCTCAAAAAGTACATTTCTTTTTATTATCTTAATGTCAATGTGCTTTATTTAATACTATGTATTGGCTCACCTTGTTTGTTCGTTATTTATGGTTTGTACTGTACTTATATGTTCAACACTGCAGGACAGCATTACTTTATCCTTTATAGTAATGTAACCACACCGAGGATCAAGATGATCTAAGCCAGGCATTGTTGTCGTAATGCTCGTTAATATATTGATGTATGTTTCGCACGAACGATGCTTCCATTCTGGTTCTGCTTATTCCATAATCATGACAATATTTATATTCTACAGAATCTTGCAGTTGATTAACCAAAGAGAACTAGAAGAGCTCAAAACAAAATGGTGGCAAATGGATGAGCTCAGTTGTCCGGACATAGAAGATGAAAGTGACGGTATCAGTATCAGAAATATAGGTGGCGTGTTTTTGGTGATTGTCATTGGATCAGCCTTGGCATTGATCACCCTTGTCATTGAATGTTACTGGTAAGTTATTCTGCTCAAAGTATATTGTCATAACTCCAGAAACTAAGTGCTGGTTTACTGACGAGCCTACAGTAACTGCAGTAAATATCGCACATTATTAGCGCCGGTCTGGGGCCCAGAGACGCCGGTTGGAGCATATCAGCGCCGATCTGGGGTACGATAAAAAAAAACATAGTCCCAATTATCCATTTCATGATTAAATCAAGAATGAAAGTGGGGCAGCAAATGGTATCCTAATCCAGTAAACATCGCGGGCTACCGTTGACATCGAGAGTTGATTATGGTCTGGATACGTTAATTAATGTCTACTTAATAATTTAGATAATATTTCAGGCCTAAAGAAAGACCTGCAATAGGCAGATTTAGCTCTTGCATAATGTATGTTTAATTGTACTTTTGCATAATTTTATGTGATTTTCATTTTTTAAAGGTACAAATACAAACCTAGACAAAAGAAGAAGCTAAATGTCATAACGTCTAAAGACGAAATGGCAAAATCTGATTCCGTAGCCATGGCAAACGGATTTCCATCAACTAACCAGTTAATGAATGGACACAACAATGACATTGAAACAATAGTAAACGGTAAATTTCCAATGGTGGAGGAAGGACATTCCAATGGTGGATTCATTGAGATGACCGAGAGATTGTAATCGCTTGTCTTTCGGAAATTGTAAAAGATTTATTATGCCGCTTCTTTACTTGTTTTACATAAGCAATAATTAATTACATTATGATTGTATTATTGGCACCGTGTATATTGTGTGAATATATTTTAAGTGTCTTCTTTTACTTTACTAGTACCATTCTTTCTGTCGAATATTAATGTGTGGGTATCTCCACGCATGGAAGAAAACAGGTCGAAAATGTAGATCGGTGAAATGTGGTATAAAATAATTTTCGGCTCCCACACAATTACTTGCCGGAAAATGTGTCCTGTTAAGAGTAAAATATAGTGGCCAGATAAAGTGACCTGGTATAATAACCATTTCTCCGTTTTTCTGATAGATAACACATGAATGTTTTGTAGTAAATATTTGTTGAAATTATACAGGACTTGACAGTCTTCTAAAGTTGATCCTGGCCTTTATTTTACGAAATATATTGGCTGAATGTAAACGACCAAAATCCCCCCCACCCTAAAAAAAAAAGCGTAAATTAGATACGACCTTGGACGCGAAGTTAAGACGGCTACAGAAGATTGTAAATATTATGATGGTGTAATGTGAACTTCCGGTGATCGTAACTTCAATTATGATTGAAAATTGTTAATATTTTTGGGGGAGTTTGACGTTTGGTGTAAATTCAGAGTTTATTGTAGAACCTGAATACATGTACTTATATTCAGGGGCGGATCCAGAAATTAAATTTTTACAGGAGGGGGTTTGCCAGGTTCCTGAGACAATGTATCCCCCCCCCCCCCCCGTCATTTTGGCGTATATACATACACATTGAGCTTTTTAAACAGAGAAATTCAACACCTCGTTTAACGTCAATTTTTATTAGGAATTAATACAATGACATTGTGATTCAACTTCATGGATGCAAAGCATTAATTGTGATATCATATAATGTCTATATCATTATCTCTTGCTTTGAGTGCCCATCCTGTCCCACATCTGACGATAAAGGATAAAGCACACGGCCGATAAACTTTTCTCATAAAAAGTGTTGATTTACAAAAGATTTTATGTGGTTGAGCATGCCCCCCCCCCCCCTCTGGATCCGCCCCTGATATTGCTTGTAACGACAGGTAAAGATATAATTCCGTTTTAATAGCCTATTTAATCAACTGTTGGTTCTTCTGGTTAAAATAATTTTATAATACTGTATTTTATAATGTAATCGATTGCGCTTCATAATTATGTTTTATTGTTACACTTATAGTTCAATTTTACTAATAGCTATAAATAGCTATTAATGTCGACTTACCGTTTTTTAACATTATTTGGATTTTGTTATTTTCGCTAAGCTTCATGTAATAAGCATGTTTTGGATTAAAATTACTTAACATAATGGCTTTCCCTTCAATCTACCTTTACACAGGACCTTTCAAAATTAAGATGCATTTCTGCAATTGATCCTGCCAATCTTTTTATATACAGGCCTATGTCAATAGGTTGTTATAAATGCACTATGGTATGATTTGAAAAAAATCACGAAGCTGTTGTAAACGTCCAATGTAACATATATTTTTATTAATTGCTATATTTTTATTGAATTAAAACATGACACATTACAATATTATTGCAAATGTCACGAAAGGGAGTTTACTATTTGTTTCTGAGGTTCGATGTATTTAAAGAGATGAAACCTTTCACCGTCCCCACTTTTTATAGACCCACGTTTCTGAGTTAATGCTGTTAGTGTTAGGTACCCAGTCTGTCTGTCTGTTAACGCCCTTAGAGGTTTTTGAAATTTGTCTTGAATAATTCCGATGCGTGTTTGGCTATAAGAAGAAACCTATGTCAATAGTTGTTATGCACTATGGTATAATTTGACAAAAATCACGGAGCTGTTGTAAACGTCCAATGTAACATATATTTTTTTTTATTAATAGCCATATTTTTATTGAATTAAAACAATTAAAGCTGTGTATCGAATTTACTCAAAATTAGCTCCCCTGTCAACGAAACCGCGTAAACCTTCTAGTTCTACAGTTTACAGTTGTTGGGATTTGTTTTATAAACTGGGATTGATTGGTTGTATTATTTCTCCTGTCATTTAAACATTGTAAGCACGCGAAGGGGTTTTATTTTTTTTAAACCTGGTGGGATTCTTATGTTAGTTATAATAGTAAGAACATTACAATCGCACCACACATATAAACAAAACGAATCCCAGTGACAAATCCGCGAACAAGATGATGTCAAATGGGGGTTTGCCGAATCAAAATTCAGAATAGACAAGTTACTGTCCCTTTAAAAACGCTCTGCCGGTCAAACTTGATTAGGTTAAAATAATCGGAATTTAAAACAAGCAGTTGCCACATTTTGCAAGAGATGAACAGAGAAAGGGCCAAAAGAAATAATGTGATTTTTTGTACAGTCAGGGGCCATAATCCAGGAAGTTACGCTCCGATATGCGCGAGTATCGACAGAAACCGATCGTACGTAACTAACGTACGAAAATTAAATGGTAGCTGGCTTTTTTTTCGCACGTACACAGTGAATGGCCATTTTGCTCAGTAATCCCAGCCAGAATTTGGCTATTTTTTTAAAATTGCGTTAAAGTTTTAAATTTTTGTTTAGAACTGAAATAAATTAACATTTAGTCAATCCCCACTCTAAAAACATTAACAGAATTGATTGTGTATATCTGAAATAGACACGACCGAAGCACAAAATACTGCCAATATGCCGACGTCAAATCTAGAGTTGTAGATGATGTTATTTTAGTGAAAAATCATTGGAAGAAGCGATAAGACGTTCTGTACGGATTATCCAGTCCTAAAGGCTGCAAAAAGGCTATTGTTTACAATGTAACATTGTGTCTTGTAATGTTGATAATGATCATAATGATGGTGTTTACATTTGTTTGTTGATGTGACCCCATGACCTGTGACGTTTAGATAACGTCATATGGATATCATGGCTATTCACTCTGTCAGAGTCACTTCTCTGCAGGTAGGGTGAGTCTGTCGTTCAGATTGAGAAACCGATATCTTTCGGCTATAAACATACATTTTAAGTTTCATCTACATCGGGTGCAAACTGTGACCTCTAAAGTGTCCACAAGCTAAAACCGTACAATCAGGGGCCATAATCCATGAAGTTCCGATCCGATACATTATGCCGATATCAAAAAGAACCGAGACTGTTTGGAGATAAACCTATATTTCAAGTTTCGTCAAAATCGGATAAATATTATAACCTGTATAGAGTGTCCACAAATAAATTGTGGACGGACTGACAGGGGCGACGACAATGTATGCCCACATGAGAATGAGAGCGTAGAAAAAAGTGTTATACGTCAAGAAATGGATTTAACATAATAATACGGACAGAATTATTGTAAAACTGGACTAAGACTATAGACAATTTTTCCCTTAATTGTTTTCTCCCCTCTTCCTACATTTTTTGGTTGACTTTTTGGTCTAGAATTGGAGAAAAGGGGTCAAATTTGCAATTTCATAGCAGTTTTGGGTAATACTGATGATATTACAGCGGAGGGATAGGGGGTGTAAAGTGTCTTTCTGCAAAGCAATCATTGTGTCGGAAGTGAGATTTTCACCCCAGTCAACTTCAAATCCGCGTATAGCAAAAAATGTAAATGGTCAACCCCCTACAAAATTATGATGAGGAGATTGCCAAATGTTTTCCCCATTGTGCCTATAAAGATTGGAACCAACGGAATGTTGAGCAAAAAGCTACAGCCTGTGATGTTACAGTCATTTAACATTGAAGTTAATGGGCAAAAAATTGCTAGTCTGAGTCCAACTCTGAGAATCGGAGTTATCTGTCCTTAGTATAAGTACATGTATTCCAAGTTGTTCTCACACTACATGCAACAATAATTATTTATTGATTATTTTGATATTTATTTTGTTGGTCAGTCAGTGTATCAGTATCATTACGAAGATAATCCCGATTGAATTTGGTGAAGACCCGATAAATTTCTTGCCATGACATAATGTATCCGGGCATTTGTTATCCATCCAAAAACAGTAAAGGCAATTCAGAACATGCATTATGGAAGAGCGAAATCTGACTATTGCAGGTCTTTCTTTGGGCCTTAAATGTTATCTAAATTATTAATTAGACATTAATTAACTTATCCAAGTCATAATCAACTCTCGATGTCATCGTTAGCCTACAATATTTACTGGACTTTAATACATTTTGTGATGAATAATGACGACAGAAACTATTTCTAAAATTGAATCGCAAATATCTCGGTTCAAAGCAGGGGCGCCGGAACCCGGGTACCAGGGTATACAAATGGTACCCTGCCCTTTTCTGGGGTATACATGTATATCCATGCCCTAATGAGATTATCTGAATTTATTGTGAAATCAGCGCATCAATTATTTCGGTCGATTATAGTCTCATTATACTAATTATATAGTGTCTCGTCAACACTTGCTCCTGAATATGAGCTCTTGCAAGAATCGTGTCTCTAAATCTACTGTCTCGTTCAAAAAGTTTATTCTATTTTCTTGATGAAGATTGGTGTATTGAATGTCAAATTAAAAAGAATTTTTTATGAGATGAATTGCTCATGATACGAAAATTGTGAATAATCAGGCTTTTGTCTCTTTCATTATCATGTATTTTAAAGAGTTTTATGTTGGAATTCGGAATGCTAGAAAGTGATAAGACGGGGTTGTGAGGAGTTGTTAGGGGGTGTGGATGGGGGAGGTGGTGATGATCAGTGATCAGTGGATGCGTAAGGGTTAGAAAGGAATGCAAATAAATGGCAGACTTAAATAATATAATATACAATCTGATATATCTCAAAGGTCTTATCTGGGTTCCATTGGATATTGGGGCATATTGGACCGAACTTTCTGAATCATGACCTCTGATTGTACGAAATATCGCAATATCTAGTCAAATGGCCGCTTCCCTTTACACAGTTAATATAAAAGCATGCAACGCCCAGGTTGTGGACCATCTATAGAGGTCACAATTTTTATCCGATTTAAATGACACTTAAACCGAATATCACTAGTTCTCGCAACTGGGAGTCTCCTTACCCAGGAATCAGTATAGAGCATAGCAGTTGTTTTCTTCTGAAAGTCTAGAAAGTCTCACTTCTATGTTAAAATCGGGCCTCGCATCTAACCGCATAATTACTTGCGTGCAATAACCTAGAGAAAGGAGTACTTGCGCCCAAATTATTGGTTGGGGGTGGGGGCTAAAGCCGACGGAAAATGTCAAGTATACACCCAACTGATAGTACTCGCACTTTAATAAAACTTGGAATGTGACTTTTTTGATCGCGGACGAGTCTGTGCATGATGAAATAAAAAGTCGATTATTTTAATGCTAAATTTGGGTAAGACGCTAGCTCGCTAGCCTGGAGGTCGGGTGTTCAATCCCTGCATTGGCCAAGAAAGTTCACCCAGATTTTCCGGCGTGGTCCCCCCTTGTCAGTGATGCAGGCAGGACGGAGGGCCCGATAAGGACAGTTGTCTAGTCGTTCGGATGGGACAAAAAATGAGGTGTCGTGTACACATTGACGTGCACGTAAAAGATCCCTTGACAGTTGGAATTCGATATAAGAGTCGGCCGTAATACCTATTCCCAAATATCTATAATTCACAAGTTTTATGACACCCAAGTGACACAGTATATTTTATTTAAAGTCTATTTAGTTTGGGGGTTTTGATTGTTTTGGGGTTTTTTTGTTTTATTTTTTACATTTTTAGCGATTAAGATGCCTTATTAATAGAGTGATTCCGAAAAAGGGTACGTTGACGTGAACTTTTTCCATCAATTATTTCTTCAGTGTCAACATGAAATCAAAGCATTCCGCTGTGTAATTATTGAATCCAACCTATATTTGAGAGTTACTTTTATAATTGTTTTTTTTTACATTGATGTGGTACCGTTAACAGGATTACCGGTGTCCATTTTATCGTGCAATTTCCGCGGATGACTAAATCGACACGCCCATATCATAAAGGTAGGATTTGTTTTTATAGCTAATTGGCATTTATAACACTTTGAGATGTCGTTTGTTTGAAAGGCAGTGTCACAATTGTTGGCGAAAAACAAAAGATTTGAATTTTTTATTGGCCTTATTGAACAATTATAAGATGAATTGTAATATTCTTTTTTCGTCCTATATGATTTGTATTTTTCATTTTAAAAAAAACAACAAAGAAACCCAAAACAATTAGGTTTGTTATAGTATACTTTGCCCAAAGGAAAGACGTGGAATTCGGGCCCCGATACTTTTTGGCAGTGTTATTAGTATAACCATATACTTCTCTGATTTGTTGATCTTTAGCCGGATATTTAATAATGAAATTGGTTTGCAAAGAGAATGAATAATAAATAATCATTAATTAATACAATTGGGATTTCTCTTTTCCTTTATTATAAATTACAGGATAAATGTTTCCCATCATTATGATCAAACAGATGTAAGCTATATGCTCCACAGCTGCTCTATTAGCATCGCACGTCAGGTCTTTGTTTTCATCATGTAACCGAATTTTAATGAACTTTTCCTCATTAAGTGGTTTTAATGAAAGATTGTACAGTCTAGTGAACATGTGGCCCAATCTCATTAACGACCCCCATTCAATTTGATAGTGAACGATCCAAACTGTTTGACAGCAATATCAACATCATCAAGGCATATAAAACGCTCTGATTATTTATTAATGAGGCAATATGGGCTGGAGACTGAGTGGTTATAGTGCGAAAATTATTGACAGTTGTTGTATAGTTACCTGGTATTGATTTTTATTGCTTGCTATCACTATTGTCAGGTATATACGTACATGTTTTCATATTCGTTCAATATCTTTAGCCATTGATGATCAGCCAACAAGAGTCGGTGTTCAAATATTGTTGTACATATTAGTCCGAGTACTTAGCAATTAGTCTTATTTAAAGAAAGATCCCGGTTGTTGATCAGCATTTAGGAGGTTTACTTTCCAGTGTTGGAGACTGTCGTCGATTGCTGTATACCAAACACCAAGAGAAGATCCATGCTAGATCAAATGCCGTAACTCAAGAGTGATTCTATTGCAATGGCAGTTCTAATAACCGCGTTAATTCAGGTGATAGTGTGCATAGGGCTTTTACCTGTACTACCTTCGATAGCCGAAACACAGACAGTGGGTATGTAACCTTTTATAAATTGTTCAAATGTAAGAACTGGCGTTAAGTCATCTGTTCTTGTGTTATGTTGTATATGAAACAATGGGTAAAGTTGTCGATTAGTTTATATAAGCATTTTTGCTGGTTATAATACTGCATCCTATTCACTTATATTTTCAAATGATCAGTTGTAAATACTAGTCTTCTCTTGAATGAAATACTGTTTAAACCGAATACCCCATTTCGAGAAAATGATCAGCTTCAGCTAAAATAAATAAGCTAAACAATTTTACATTTCATATTTCATATAAATATGTTTTATATACCATCGTAATTTATCCCTGTACACCTATTGGATCCTGTTAGAACTCAGCCTATTGATGATCTAACGTTTTCAATCGATTCAATAATGTATAGACAAATAACAAAACAAACAAAATCATGTGACCTAATAACTTTAACAGGAAAAGAGCCAATATTTGATTTAATTAGACAGAGTAGAAAAGAGGAACATTTTTTTAATAACAGGACCTATCTTATCAGATTTTATATTTACCCGGCATATCTATTGTACTAAGCTTAATTTACAAAGAAAAATTAACTAAGACAATTTTATTCAGATATATGCCACACTTTCTTTGTTGAATTTATTTGATAAAGTTTTTACGTAATGACCTGTTTGATTAAAGGGTCAATCTCGATTATGTATTGGAGAATAAAACTGTTTAATTTTGTGTCAAAAGCCCTTGAAATCCTAACTCCATATACATGATACGAATTCAAACAATTATGTAGACCGGTGTCCCAAGCTGTATTATACGGTGTCTGGATAAAACCAGACTTTTATTTTATAAAAAATAAGGTGTAGGTGAAATTTCCATTTCGTTATCAAGTACAACACATGAGGCCTGTACTGTTTAGACCTCTAAGGGAACGGCAATCGATTATCAGGTCACTCATCGAAAACATTGACCCGAATCTTAAAAGAGTTATCTGTCCGGATAAGCGGTTTTGACGTTCACATTCAAATGACTTAATATTTTGAGCTGAAATTTTGAGAAAAGGTAAATAAAATACACCATTCCTCTATATTTTGGAGTTTAAATTTCATATGTACACGGACTTTTATTTTTGAAACTCAGTTCAAATCCCGATAGTCCCTTTAAGTAAATAATGTGGTAAATTTTCTACGATAGTTTGTAGCAAGCAAGATAGATTTTTGTATTATAAAGCTTTGGCAAATATTTGCAACATTTATGACATAATGCCTTGGGAAAATTTTCTTTGTCACAGATACTTTGTCCGTATGAATTTATTTTTATACCCAGGAAAGGTATTTAGTAAATCTCCAAAATTTTAGCACTTCGCACTTTGTAAATCCGACACTGGGGAAAAAAGAGTCCGTGACGCCCCCTTGCCCGTGCTTATTTTACTTAATGATCAATCCAGAGCTGGTTACACACTCACACTAATCCGCTATTATGGCGACCAAAGAAATATTAGGGATTTTTATCTATAGTCAGTAGTCGGGGGGGTTGGATGGCTGAATGGCTGAATGGTTAGCGTGCGCGCGCTGTATCATAAAGTCTGTCATTGAGTCGACTGGCGTGGTTTCGAATCCCCGGTTGTACGTGACAAGGAGTAGGGTCGCCTGTCCAACCTCGTAGGTTTTCTCCGGGTCCTCCGGTTTCCTCCCACTGCTAAAGACCCCTACGCGCAAGCGAATTATTGAAATAAAATTAAACCATACGTTAGTCCCGAAATGACCTAGTTTGTGTCGAGTGGACGTTAAACTCCATTTCTCTCTCTCTCTCTATAGTCAGTAGTGATGAAAGCGTACAATAAGAGAATAACTGATAACTCGAGCTTTTGGGATAGAGAAAAAGTCCAAGGAAAATTGAAAGTATAATGTATGCCGAATGCCAACCTTATCTTTGGGTCCGATCAGTCTAGAAAATATAGAAAAAAGCTGTCTAAATTTCAGCTTAAACGTAAATTATGTTTCGTTTCAAAAGACAAAAAAAATAAGTTAACGGTTAAGTAGCATTTTGAATAAAATCTCTTAATTCAACCCGGTGTTTGACACCCCAACACGCCTGCTTCTAGCCAAATGTTTTAAATCGTGTTATTTTCTTAGATTTCCATAGAAAGTCCATCAAGCTATACTTCCTTTAGGAACTGTCTCTGAGCGGACGTGGACATGGTCCTCTCAGAGACAGTTCCTAAAGTAACTAATCAAGCTACTGATGTTAGAATTACATGTTCGGATATTGTAAAGGTTGGGTGATCGACACTCAGTGGAGTCAGGTAATTTCTATTTGAATATTTGCCGGGCGCTTTGGCATAAAGACACAAGACATGTCATGTTACGCACGCCTATCATTGTTGTGCAAGTGCCAATGTTGAAAATTTAAATTATAGTTTATTGCTCTATCCAGTTACTAAATGCCTCTCAAAGATTCTCTTATAAATTGGTTTCAGTATGCATTTTAACCATGCGAACAACGTATTAAAGGACCTTCTGTGTAGTAAGAAGCAATCTGGAAATATATATATAAAATATTAAAATGGGCGCATTTTTCAAATTCAATCGATTTTGTTACGATTTTATGGGCTGAAATACAATTTCGACTAGTCATACTCATAAGAACTAAATACCGCTGTATATAAGTAAGCATCAACATAATTAACAAGAATACAACATATGAAAATTGACAAAATGGACAATATGAAATTTTTTTGAAATAATTGTGCTTCGCAAAATCGAAACACGCAGTATCACTAACACCAGAAGCATACTAAGCTATGGCTGATACTTTTGTGCATGAATATTTTTGAAGTTTGTGTAAGAGATCATTTTTTTGGTTGCCCTTTATGGTGACTGGTGCTATATTATATTTTATTGCAGAGGGTTAGCTAATTTTATTTTATTGCCCACTGGGGCAAATTTATATGTGTAGGACTGACGATATTACAAACTAATGAACCAATACCGTTTTTACAGGCGCAGGGCTGACGATATTATCACCTAATGGGCCAATACCGTTTTAACAGATGTAAGACTGGCGATATTTTAAACTAATGGACCAATGTCGTTTTTACATGTGTCATTAATATCCATATCAAACTTAATTACTAAGGTGGAAGTTCTAGAACACCGCCTATATTCTGGTTTATGATATCAAGAGATTAAATGATTACCTGATTTCAAATTATATAGACAGAAAGAAATGTTGACATCTATGTAAGATCCAATCTTTAAAACTCAACAGCTAATTAGATTTATCTTCAACAACTAATTATGTTATCGGATGATCCTGTTTCTTTGATTTCTTATATAAACATATCAAACTAAAAATGGTCATGGAGAGAATGACATCCCACAAAATCGCTTATTAAATCTACAGTTTATAATGTCAATTATGAAAAAAAGTATATAGTTCACATAGTCATTGTTTTATTTGCTATTTTTTGTATATAAAACGTAAATAGATTATAATATTTTAATGTAATTAATAGGCCACAGGGGGTGGAATACAACGTTCACGTTTGTTTAAACTCCTAAATACCTTCTTAATGCAAACTATGGTGACTCCATCCACGTTCAAAGAGAAATTCGTCAAATTGTGACAATAACCTCTAAAATTAATTACAATAAGTACATAATAGATATATTCAATACAGTAACTATTTATTTAAATGTTTTTAAGTTTTATGCACAGACATTATTGATTAGCTCAGTGTTCAATGATTTCCGTCAATATTCACTGATTTTAAAACTTGTAAACAGTAAACATTTGATTTTCAGCAATAAATAACCCCAGACGTAATGCATCTTCAATCTTACGTCATCTCGTTAAAATTCAAGGTTGAATCTTCATAAAATATGTGAAGAAAAAAAATAATTTTTTGACTTCTTACCTTATTATTACTCACTGCCGAAACCAGTTTTGTTACAAAGGTTCAGTTTTGTAATAACCCCTTCAAGTAAAAGGTTTATACAAAATTTATTTTTACTGAATGCCAGCCTGAGATCTAGGTTAATTCTTGATTATTGCTGTTTGCTGAATCGCTTTTTTTTTCTGAAAGGATGTTGTAGGATCGTTTTTGTTTCTTCCCATCCATTGGCTATATGTAATGACAGATGGCACCCACAAGTCAGGGGGTGTTTACAAGTTCTAGAACACCTGATAACTTTCAGTGTTCAGTTCACTGTTATAAATACTGAAGGCTTTTTTGTCGAGATTCCACTTCGCTTAATCTTTAGCGATCTAAAAAAAAAAGACCGGGAGACTGGGTTATGGGGGGGGGGGGGCGTGTGCGTGGGGCTGGATACAGTCGTGTTCAAATAGACGGTTTCATCGTGTTCAAAACGATATAAAGTGTTCAGAAAGAAAAGAAAAGAAAGGGAGCCTCGTTAACACTGTTTACTATTGAGACAGGAAGTGTTTACTATTCTTCATTAGATCCCAATGTGTCGGAAATGTGTACACGGGAGCTTAGGTTTTCTTTTATCCCGAGGGGCTAAAAAATTATATATTTTTTACAACAGTGATTTGTTTTTATTGAAACCGATTTTGTAATAAACTTTGAATGTTGTAAAAAAAAACAAGTGGTTATTGTAGAAGAGAAAGTTTATTACAAACCGTAAATGATTTTAAATCATGAAATGAAATACCGATCACAAGCATTATAATAAATGTCTTTCTTTTGTTTTTGCAGTCATTGCCATCGATCAAACTATACTACATATGAATCAAAATATTCAGAAAATTTTAGATAAAAGCAATTTCTTAACCGAAGATAATAAACCATTAGCTGATGTACAGTTTGTTACAATAATTTCTGATAATAATGACTCATTAGAGACGTTGGATAAAGGTAAGTTTTGATAAGATAATTATATCTCTCCACAATATTGCTATAGTGGTTGGTTTCTCCTGGTCCCCCGGTTTACTTACACTGCCAAAACCCCTACACGTAAGCGAATTATTGAAAAACATAATTGTACCATAATTATGTTAGTCCCGAAATGACCTAGCTTTTGTCGATTGGACGTTATACCCCATTCCTTTTACCTCTCTTGCCCCATCTCAAGGGTTCCAATTTACCGCTGACAACTTTTCAAAAAGTAAATTTGCAGCGAACCCTTTCTTTGTTGAGTAATTTGTGTTTACTCTTCTACCAAAATAAAGTATCAACGAGGAAATACGGTTAAAACACTGTTTTTATCAATATTATCTTAAATTTAAAAAACGATAAAATACTAACTAATGATGAGCAGATACCTATTTAAATAAATATATATAAATCCAGAATCGCCAATTTACCCCCTTGGTAGACAAATTTAACACAATGGTGGTAACTTTTCACTAGGTTGGGAAGACTTGCCATAGGCTATTAATTAAATACTAATTGGATAGCTAACGAGAACGCACAAGAGAGATACCATGATGACATGAAATTCTATCAGTAAAATATATTCTAATTACTTATTTATCACCAGTAGACGATCCCAAACAAAAATATTATCAGGCTTCCTTCTAATAATGACGCGTTCGTGATATTTATCACTAACAAAATCTTATCTACAGTGAAAGCATTTACACTGACATTTAACTGTATTATTTCTCTGACAGGATTTGACAGATAAACTCTAGCTTGCTTTCTGATACAGAGTAAAATTAATTTTTGTACCGAACAGGAAGAAAACAAAGGGGTTGTAACACATTTCACAGGGTGCTCTTTCATGAAAGTAGGTTTACGTATCCAGTTAAACGCCATAATATTATGAAGAATTAGCTTGCTTAAATTTTTGAGCTGAAAATCGCCAGATACAGAGTAAAATTATTTTTCGTACCGAACACGGGGAAAACAAATCCGCTAAAGAGGTTGTAACACATTTCACAGGGTGCTCTTTGATAAAAGTGGGTTTACGTTTCGAGTTAAACGCCATATTATGAAGAATTAGCTAGGTTGAATTTTTGAGCTGAAAATCGCCAGATTTGCTTAGTGGGGTAAAGTAACCCACGTAAAGTAATTCCAGTGACTTTGCAATAGCTGCGATCACTTATCATGACATATTGCATCTTAAAGATTGTACAGGGCTAGGTGGGTTAGATTTCCATGCAGAATAATATTATTGTTTTCAGAATTTATATATGTCTTGTATATATCTGGAACATGTTTGGTGAATCGATACTGATCTGTGACAATTACCAGATGAAATACTTTTTTCTCTCTTTTAGTTTGTGCTCAAATTAAGGATGGGGCAATTGTGCTGGTTGACATGACATCTCCCAATGTAGCAGCTTTATTGAGATCTTTTGCAAGTACTTTGGGTATAGCCTACATCTCAGTTGTGGACAACTCCTACTTTAGATATGGATCTGGTGATGCATCATTACATTATTATGTTGAACCAACAGCAGTTGAGATGTTACGTGTTGTAGCTGACATTGTTATAGCGGATGATCTAAACAATGTGGCTATTGTCTATGATGAAACATTTGGTAAGCTTAGTAAAACAATTTTGTCACTTTGATTTCCGGTTACGTTTATATGTACAGAAGGTCAGGGAACATATAGCGACAGGAAGTCAGGAAATAATTAACGAAATGTTGTTTCGGTTAAAATTGACAACATGAAGCTGGGGAATTACTTGTGATAGGAAGCTAGGGGATAATTGGCGATTAAATGGTTAGGTTGGTGATGGTAAGTTAGGAAATTGTTGACGACAGAATGGTTGGATTGACGATATGAAGCTAGAGAATAATTGACTTGGTGGCGATATGAGACTAGGAAGTAATTGACGACAGAATGGTTGCGTTGGGGATTGAAAGCAAGGGAATAATTGATTGATAATGGAAATAATGGTTGGATTGACGATATGAAGCTAGAGAATAATTGACTGGGTGGCGATATGAGACTAGGAAGTAATTGACGACAGAATGGTTGCGTTGGGGATTGAAAGCAAGGGAATAATTGACGACAGAATGTTTGGGCTTTTGATGGAAAGCTGGGGAATAATTGGTGACAGAAAACTTGGGTTGGTGATTGAAACCTAGGAAGTAATTGACGACAAAATGGTTGGGTTGGTGATTGAAAGCTAGGGCGTAATTGACGACATAATGGGAGTTTGGTGATTTAAAGCTAGTGAATAACTGACGACTGGATGTTAGGATTGGCCATAGGAACTTAGGACAAATAGGCTACAGGTTAATTAAGGAATATTTACCAATATGAATTGAGGGAATAATTGCTTGACTGAATAATTTTATAATTTCCAGATATACAGAATACACCGAGAAGAATTCTGACCAATGTACCTGCTCAACATCTCTATGTTAAAATGAGTGATGATACCACGGTAACACGGACGCAAATCGAAATGTTGAAAAAAATTGAAATAAGAAACATATTCATCATTGGAAACAGCCGAAATGCTCCCATTTTCCTCGAAGTGGTATGCTATAATTTTAAGAATAAAATTGCTAATTTGATCATATTATTTTAATAGGCTATCAGAGAGAGCAAATCAGTACCCCAAAGAAAGAATTATGTTACTATTTTGCAAAGGCTAGATTATGTGAAAAATAATCTAATAATGTTATGCAGTATAAAGTTGAATTATCTTAATTTCAGGCGAATACATACACTAACTTTGAAGTCAACTGGTTCTTTCTAACAAAGGTAAGTCATAATCAGTGAAGTTCATTATCTTTTTATATCTTTAATCATAAATCTCAGTTTCGTTTCACATTCGACAATCCAATCCCGCAACTTCATCGGATTTAAAATTCTTAGAAGGCAGTTCTATAGTGTTAATATTTTTAATATTTCTGGCTCACATGTTTAAACAAATCTGTTAAATTGTTTTTTGTAAAGGATCCAAAATTCACATGTTTACGCTATAAGAATGTACATCTTGTTTGTACGTGATTAAAAATTAACATTTCTAATATGTAATAATGTTAAATTGTTTTTTACAGGATTCAAAACTAACATGTCTAAATTGTAAGAATGAAGTTCGTGTTATAGTTATAACAGCTACACCCCAACCACCAGCTAAAACACAGTATGATATTTTCATGAAACAAATTCTAGATCCGGCAGTTAACTTTAATAGAGATTCTTTTAAGGTAGATATTTATTTGATATGTATCAGTATGTTATTTTCAATGGTTAGGGAACAATGGGAAATGCACGTGAGCAGAATCTTGCTAGGACAGTGACCTGTGCGCCTAATCTTCTTCTAATTCTAACTTAGTTGGCATTAGCAATGCGTTAACTGATGAAACTCCTGTGGAAAGGATTGAGCAGGCATCGTGGACATATTCCGAACATCACTACTCTATCACGGCATGGTTATTGTATATGATGAAACATTTTGCTCACGCCCAATCATTAGATTTATTTTTAAGGTGTTAGATATTCATATTGGATTATAAATGGTCATGTCAGTCATGAATGACGATTTATCGCTTGATGTCCTGATAATGGACCGCTAAGCTTCCATGGTCAAATATTAAGGGTTTACAGCTTCGTGTTCATCTATGATTATTCATCGTCGATGAAAATCAAAGGCTGAACGGAATCACCTCTGCGACCAAGTCAAACCCTATAATTTGTATACCCTGATACTGCCCCACCCCATACCAGAAATATACTGTCTCCTAGACAATCATAGAAGTGTGACCTTTATAACATTTACATATATAAGTTTATTTTTGTTTGTTCTTTTCAGACTGATGAAGCATTGGTGTTTGATTTGGTACGGCTCATAAAGTTAGGTGTAAACACAACTGGTCTGGTACCCATTGTTTATCCAGACTGTTATAATATATCTGAGGCCAACGATACATTTATGATGCAGAGTCAATCTATTGTGAATTCCTTCAAACAGGTATGTATTTTCTATAAATATATATTATTATATAATCCAGATAAAAGGGGTATGTGATTTTTACAAACTGATACAATGATCCCTTGGACACCATTTTAATGCAACTTTTAGTGTTTTGGGTTCTGAAGAAAAGAAAAGAAATGAAATGAAATGGGGTTTAACGTCCTATTGTTCTGCACCGACTGGGCTAATGAAGACGACCATGCGTCATACGGGGTGCTATAAGGGACATTTTGATCAGACATCGGCACTACGTTCCTAACTTAGATAGAATTTCAATTGACAAGGGTTCTTGTAAGTACACGCCAATATGTACACGGGACCTCGGTTTTTCGTCACACCCGAACGACTATAGGCTGTCTCTTGCCAGGCCCTCCGTCCTACACCACTGACAAGGGGGAACCACGCCAGAAAATCTCTGTGAACTTTCTCGGCCAACACCGGAATCGATCATCACTGAGCCACCACGGCTTCTTTTGAACAAAAGCTTATTACTGTGCCTTGGCAGGTTTGAAATAATTTCTACTAAACTGTTCCTAAGAGTAATAAGTGAAAAAAATATACAGAGAAAATATTTTTGATAATTTTATTTATATTTTTATTTATTCCTCAAGTTGAGCATACATGGCGTGTATGGACCACTGGATATGGAAAATGACATCACACGATACAGATTTACACTTCAAATAAATCAGAAAGTTTTCAAAAATGGGAATGTAGCCCAAAATACAGAGGTAATTTACTAATATAAATATAAAATGTTTGTGGGAATGACTGAATATAATCCAATATTTATACTAGATACAAATACGGTGACAATAATGTATTTTGGGGGGTTTTTAACATCAGAAACGAAAAGGATATTGTCAACCAACTATGTTTTTAATTTGCGCCGAAGCGTTGAAACATTATTGAAAAAAAAGAACAATATAATATTGTTTGAAGCAATACGAAAATTTTCAATTTTAAATGTTTGTTCTTTGATTTAGACTTCTACATTTCACATTAATAGGTTGGTAATTGGACAGAAGCACTGGTACAGAAAGATAGATTAAAATTAGCAAGCGGCATCAAATCTTTAACCAAGTCGGATAAAAAGAAATTCTATCGAATTGTTACTGTTGCTGGTGTAAGTATATAAGTTATAAATTTAAATTACACGCAGAAATAGTACACGCCTTCTGCAAAGTTTAACCAAATAACAGAAATTTGGACAAAACAATCTGTTGGGCCATTATTCACTTTATATACTATCACTATCAATTGCAGACCATAATTTTATACATACTTTTCTCTTCCGACTAAAGTCTCCTTTCGATTACAAAGAAGATTTTTTTGTATCGTTTGGGTGAATTGTATCGATTACAAAGAAGGTTCTTTGGTATCACTTACGTAAACATTCCCAGTGATGACTTTCGATTACAAAGAAGGTTATTTGTTATCGTTTGTGTGAATCTTCCCACGGAATACATTCGCATTGCGTATATCAGATGTTATTGTGTTCAGCTTTGTAACAGTTTAAAACAGACGCGGCATAAGCAGTAGAGATCACAATAAACCGACCCTTGTGGGACATCATATCGCAGTTTGCACGAATTAGCTTTGCTGTATTTTATACAATGAAAAAAAAAACAACCAAAATAATTAGATGGTACAACCACCTGAACCAAATCTTTAAGAGATCTTTAAAGCATTCCTAATATCATTATCTCAACAACAGCCGCATTCTCCCTATCCCTCGCCCATCTACTCCATCCATTCTGGTCTCCCCATCGTTATCATAATTTTAAACCTATATAATTATTAATTGCAGATGCCACCGTTTGTGTATAAAACATCAGGTGAAAATGGTACGAAGGCTAAATATGAAGGTTATTGTATTGACCTCTTAGATAGAATCTCCTTTCTTCTCGATTTTGAATATGACATCTATGAAAGTCCGGACAAATTATACGGTGCCATGGACGATGATGGTAACTGGAATGGTGCAATAAAAGAGCTGATTGATAAGGTAACCTTTGAATGTTAACTAAACCCACCATTCCGCAATTTTAAACTAAGCCGTGACCGGTGTCAAGCTTAAGACAGGCGGATATGGTTACTCCTTCTAGAACGCCTGGTCCTAATTTTTATTTTCTATGTATACATACGTATTGTGGGTTAATCGTATATTTTGCGATATCTTCATTTAATTAACTATCTTGTCCGCTGTTGATAACTGGACTTGGATAACAAATCCGTCTTATTCAATTCTGCCAAGCTAATATTATAGACTGGGAAGGTTCAAAGCATTCACGTAACAACCCCTACGTAAATGGATACTACAATTTGCTTTTCTTGGGCCTGACCGTGTATGTATTTCAAATTATACATTTTATGTGTTATTAAATATATATTGATCACATCTGGCTGAGAATAACAATTTATTATATCAGATCCTTATTATAAATGTAATTTGATATTGCTATTTATAAAGAAAGTGATTATTCCGAGCCGAACTAAGACAGTGGCGATGGGCGGATGAAGTATTTTTTGGAGATGTTACTTTTGTTTTCTTCTATTTACATAACATCTCTAAACAGCATTTTTTTACGATTCTCTATCGAGTAGGGACGGATTAAGGAATTACGCCGCCCCTGTCTGCGATATCACCCTAGATGAAAGTGGAAGTTAAACCCCAAGAACGAACGAATAGGAAAATATATAGCAGAGCGAAGGAGGTGCCCACAATTTGAGGAACTGCACATTTTACGAAATCAAAAACAAAATAGTAGGTGTATTAGACGGGTATCAGAATTGCCATCTTGCCTAACTTATCGTACCGTTCCGTTGAAAATATATGTTTAGATATCACGAAGACTATTTTGTTGGTTTTATACTTTAAATATGCGCCGACTATTCAGAAACAGCTATTTTCGTCTGAAAACCTCAGAAACATTATGAGACAATCTGGAATGATGCATCTACCCTTTTAGTTTATTTTGGAGGGAAAATATTGCGCAAAATTGATAATTGGACTATATCCAATAAACAGAACTCAGATTAATCAAATATGTGTGACACTGTTAAAATCATGGTATGCACGCAAAAATGTATATAAAACATGGCCATATACTACCAGGAATGATCGTAGGGTGATTAATACTTTTGGGTTTTTTTTGCTTTCAGAAAGCTGATATAGCAGTTGGTCCTATATCTGTCATGGCGGAAAGGGAAAATGTTGTAGATTTTACAGTACCTTATTATGATTTAGTTGGTTTAACAATTTTGATGAAGAAACCAGAATTTGACTATTCACTGGTCAAGTTTCTCAGTGTACTTGATGAAGATGTTTGGTTTTGTATCATTGGTGCCTTCTTTCTGTTTAGTATTCTGATTTGTGTTTTTGATAAACTCAGTCCATTTAGCTACCAGAATAATACTATTGATTGGAATGGTGAAGGTTCGGAACCAAGAGTCTTTACTCTTAAAGAAGGAATTTGGTTCTGCATGATGTCTTTGACTCCGCAAGGTGAGTAAATGATCAAAGCCGCCCCCACCCCCCATTGACCTTGAGGGTGGGTTGACCTAATTGTGCCCTACGCTGCAGGTCCAGATCTTTGATCTATTCCCAAATCAGTTGTGGTTTTAATGTCAGGATTATATGTGCTAGCAAGGAGTACGTGGTGGTGACTTGTTGAACTTTGTTGTTGGCCGGATTCACCACAGCCCAGCACACAAGCGCACTGATGAAATAAAGAGAGAGTGGGAGAGAAATGGGGTTTAACGTCCAATCGACACAAGCAAGGTCATTTCGGGACTAAAAGACATTTGATTCAATTTTGAAATCACGCCGCTTGATTCAATGGCAGACCTTATGATCAAACGCGCTCGCGTTAACCATTCGGCCACCCAAACCCCTGATAAAATAAAGGACTACTATATATCTAAATCCCAAATTACCCATTTACCGAAAATTACACAGTTCCTCGTTTTATTTCTCGATAACACTATAACCTGGTGGTTGTTGACACTTGATGATTCAGACTGATGCAGATGCAAATTCAGTACTCTAAATTCTGTTTTGTTTTATATTTTCAGGAGGTGGAGAAACGCCACGTGCTTTGTCAGGACGATTGGTTGCTGCCACCTGGTGGTTGTTTGGGTTTATTATTATAGCTACGTATACAGCTAACCTTGCTGCCTTTCTGACAGTATCTCGTCTTGAAACGCCAATAGAGTCTTTGGATGATCTCTCCAATCAGTTTAAAGTAAAATATGCTCCTACGAATGGCAGTAACGCACTGATATACTTCAAACGTATGGCAGATATTGAACATAGATTTTATGGGTATGTTGAATAATTTAGGCCTAGTAGGCTTTTTGAACAATCTATAAGTATCTAGAAATTTCTCTCACTTTTTCATAAGTTTATGAATAAATAATAAAGTTTTATTAATAAGGGTGGCTGTCCATTAATTTAATGAATGCACATGACTATTGTCCTATACTATATGAATAAATAATGAAATTATATTAATATAGGGGGGGGGGGTATAATGTATACATGTTACTGTTATATTAAATAACATAACTATCTAAATATACATAAACTCAACATGAATATTATTAATCTAGAAATTATGAATTATATATATAAACAGCAAACAAGATAACAATACCAACAATATATAATATATATATATATATATATCAATTTAAATAAAACTGCGGCCAAACAGTTTCTTATTAAAGAAATCTGGTCTATATTATTCCTGTTTGATAGTCTAATGACTCTCTTGCGATTCATACATACTGACGGTGCCGTGTTTTAAACAAAACAAATATCAACTAACCTGTATTGAACAAAATATAATCTGCGTTATGAATCGATATATATACATGATCATAATCAGATATTTTTTTTTCTTTGTTTTAGCATTTGGAAGAATATGAGTTTAGATGATAACCTTGGTGCTGTTGAGAGAGCTAAGCTCGCTGTGTGGGATTATCCTGTTAGTGATAAATATACCAAGCTATGGGAGACCATGCAGGAGTCTGGCTTTCCTTCGACCAAAGATGAAGCCATGGAAAAAGTATTAACAGGAGAATTTGCCTATATTGGTATGTTTTATATTGAAGTCTTAAGCATTATAGTTTAAATGGAGCATAATGCTACCCTGACGAGTTCAGTAATTACATTATAGAAGACTCCGTTTCTACGTTTATGATGATCGGTTGCTTCTGGGAATCTTATACCTTTTAATAGACAACGCTATTAACAAATATCTTTTTCAGTTGGCTATTGTCGGTTATCGTCTTTTTTATACTCTCCAGGTGACGCAACAGTAAATAAATATGCCACATTAACACAATGTGAGTTATGGGAAGTTGGTGAAGAGTTTTCAAGGAAGCCATATGCTTTAGCTGTACAAGAAGGGTCACCATTACGTAGCGAATTATCAAACGTGTTTGTATAATTTTAATACTCTCTCGCCTTTCGGGTGTTTAAAGATATCTACACAACTTTACATTCGGCGAAGCTCTTCAAGCTCTCTGAAGATATATAGCAACATTTCAAATTAGGGACTTCTAATATTCCTTTCTATCCAGAAATAAACAAGAAAAAGTATTACTAGCCTTTTTTGAATCCCAGTTGATTTTGTGTTTTAATGAAACCCTTTTGTACTTTCATAGCATCCTGCAGTTAATTAATCAAAGAGAATTAGAAGCATTCAAAACAAAATGGTGGCAGAAGGATGAGCTCGATTGTCCGGACATAGAAGATGAAAGCGATGGTATCAGTATCAAAAACATAGGTGGCGTGTTTTTGGTGATTGTTATTGGGTCAGCTTTGGCTCTGATCACTCTTGCCATTGAATGTTACTGGTAAGTTATTGTTTACTATTGCCCGCTGACATAATAGGATCGCCATACACATCATATACCATCGTCATTTTCCTTTGAGTAGTACTGATCAACCAAGCTTGAAATTCACAGTTGCGGTTAGTCGGATCAACCAAACTAAAAGTTCTCAGGTGGTCTGAGGGGGGGGGGGGGGGAGGGTTCATTATGACCATGTATTACAATTGGTCGACTTTCTTTTATGGCTGAATTATTTTTTCTAGGTACAAATATAAACCCAGACAAAAGAAGAAGTTGTACGTCATTAGTTCCAAGGATAATCTGACGAAGTCTGAATCTCAAACCACCGCGACGAAGGGATTCCCATCCTCAAATCAATTGAGTAATGGCCACACGAAGGATGGAGAAACGGTTGTGAATGGGAAGGGTCCTGTTCGAGAAGAGGGTCATACAAATGGCGGGTTTGTTGAGATGACTGAACGATTGTAGATTTTAATGCAAAACGCCTTGCCTTGTAGTCCATGTTGTAATGACTGCGCTGACTGTGTCCAGGAGCGTCGCGAGTCCTGGGTCCCACATAACCAACCAATAGCGTGGGTTGTTTTAATTTATTGTTTAATTTACATCGTGTTATTTGTTACACACAAATCATTGCTTTTTGTGGTGTTGTGAATCCAGACCTGTTCTATATTAACAGAATAACAGTCTGGACAGATATACAGCGCACAATAAAAAGTTTATCACTCGATCTATATAAATCTATTCTTGGAAATCATCTGCTCTTCTTACTCATCGCCATAGTTTTTGTTCTTCGTAAATCGTTTTGGTAGAAACCGGATTGGGTTGGAATTGGATTTAACCGACAGACATATTATTGGCTTGAGCCGAAAAGTAAAACCAGACCATTGAGTTCCCAGAATAATGTAACTTGCGTATAAATATTTTCCTAAAGATCTCAACGTATTTATACTTTCATTTTGAAATCAATGTTTACTATTTTCTTACATATTACTATATATTGTTAAAGTCCTCGTTCGTATGTAATTTAAACAATATTAGAGTATTATTATTGAACCAGGAACTGGTCCATAAGCGCTACTCATCGGCTAGATCTATTTCTTAAGGCCACCTCCAAATTTCGTCAAGGTCGCGGAGATGTAAATAAGGCCATGGCACGTGATTGTTGACGAGATTGTGGGTTTGGGCAAGGGTTCGGGCTTGGTTCAGGGTTAGGGTTAAAGTTGGGGTTAACCTTTGATCAAATCTGGATGTGGCCTTAAGAAATAGATCAAACCGCGACGCACTTCGCAAAAAACTAAGACTCCGCCAATTCATGTACGATCAACATGAAATTTGGTATACGTATTTCTTGTTCAACTGTGCATCGATTGACGGATTTTTGATACGGCATTACAATTCCAAGATAGCGGCAGTGACGTTATGCTCGGTTCCATAATAGTACCAACGTACTTATTGTTTCTGTTTTTGTTTTTTTTGTTTTTTTTAAATTATGTATAATTTCGGTTTTCACCTTTGTGATAATTATTTTTTTAAAATAGGTGTTACTTATAGCCTGTTCGTTCATTACTTGCAAATTTTATCGAATTCAAATGAGTAAAATTTTATCGATGTCAAATGAGTAAATCTTTGATTTTGGAGAAACAAAGTCATTGGGCCTATATCATCACATACTGGTACGGCAATTCATTGGGCCAGTACATGTTCATAAACCTGATAACTCACAGCATTGTCAATGATATGTTAGTCGTCTGAACTATTTTTTTTTATCAAAATATGCTACCTTCTTGCTTGATTCGGTCATGGTGGGTTGTTTTTATCATGATATGGATAAAAGTCATCAATATTTTTTACTTTAATTGCACGCATTTTCAATATTTTTATGAAATAGAAAATGATTTGACTTATAAATTAAATAACCACGTTGTTAAATGTTTATGAACATACATCTATATATTATATTTCTTGAATATATCAGTTAATTTTGTATACTGTTCTTTGTTTACATAAATAGCAATACATTGTGATTACTACCTGTGTTATTTTTACATGTGGTCGTATATTGTCATTACTCCTGCAGGGGCGCGGGAATGGCTGGACTATGGGTATACCCCCCCCCCCCACACTCACACACCCGCACACTGTAGTACTATCGGACTTCTTTCCTTATGTTTGTTTTCTTCGTGGTCGTAATATATAACACTACAGGATAAATGGTTCGTACAACTTTGTAATGGCTTCGAAGGTTCCTCGTTCTCAATAATAATAGCTGCTTGGAATACATGGGTGACCTCTGCCCAGTCTCGCTCAACACCCACTTTTATAACCCCTAATTTCTGCACGTCTTAGATTAGCCTTGACGTTAATTTCCATCCCAAATGGAATAAACCTCTTTATTTCTCAAGACCAGAGGGGAAACCATTTGGTCTACCAACCATAGGTCAATAAGCAGATAGAATTTGATGGATATTTTGACAATGGTTATACAAAAATATCACTGTTTTTTATGTATAAATATATATTCGCGTTCATTAAGTACGTGTGATTTGACTCTATAGACAGAGTGAAGCAACAATTTTGCAAAGAACCAATATTGTCTTAAGGACCAAAGTGCCTGAACACACACTTCCTGCCCTCTAATGACTCGCCTTACATTTTTGCCTACTATTCTTTAAAGATGTCTTAGCGCATAAAAACTGTGTGATTTGAACTAAAACATGATTGTTTTACCTAATTTATCCATCAAAAATTTGCTTCAAACCCCCTTCAAAATATTTTTATCGCAAGAAAACTATTCCATGCCCCACGAATCTATTTTACGCAGCTTTGCTGAAGTTGCTTGTCACGTGACTAGATTGAGGGAGAATACAATCTCAGCATGAAATGGGCTAATGAAGACGGATTTTGTTGTTAGTTGCTGTCTATTTACCATAAATTGATATCGAAGCCTAAGTTTAAATTTCTGGATTATTCTCCGCCAATGTCTTTTTCCGCCACATGATCACAGCTTTGATATAATCCCAGAGTTTACTGGACGTTTTTAAACGTTCTCACAAACATTAGCGATATCAACACTCTTGAATGTTGTCCAATAGGGAATCTCATATTTTTAAGTGTCTGTACCAAATTATTGCCATACTTTAATTGGAAACAGATACCCAATAAATACTTTCGTGGCAATGTATGTTTAAAATGTATTTGCGCAAAATATCTTTTCAACGGGTCTCTCTCGAAATGGAACCTGGGTTTGATATTTTTGATCGGTATATATACGTCAAAGTGCACCAAATCGGTTCTTTTATAGAGTTGCATTCTGGGCCATATTTCACTTAAGATAGATGCGTTTCACAAAACGATTATAAGCATTTTAGATAAAATCCACTAAAATAATATCTTAAGTTAAAATTTTATCTCGGAATTGACAAATTTCAAAATTTTCGAGAGGCCGGGGGACCCCCCCCCCCTCTCCGGCCCCTAGAAAATTTTGAAATTTGTCAATTCCGAGGTCACGAATCAAATGCCAAGTTCAAGCCAACCCACCGATACATTTCAAAACGAATAATAAGCAATAAACTCATTTATTTCACCTCGCTGCTACTGTCTGGCCATGTGCAAACATTGCTACAACGTATGCAACTCTCCCCATTGATATTGTTTGTACCCCATACTGCCCGCAGCGACCCATCTACGTCATACTTCCCAGAATGTGACACTGCCCTGGTTAGCCGCCATTTAAAACGCACACGTGATCATTTTGGGGCGGGACTTATCGACGAGACACAGTTTTGTTTAGACAACAGAGAGTAAAAATATGTAAACACGCCATGTCGCTGACACTCGCGTAAAAGCGATATATAATATGTGCTATGGGTAATATTGCAATAAATTCTTTACCATTGTAAACTGTCTTTAGAGTTTCAATCTGTTTATCTTTCAAAACAAGGTTAGATACTCCTAAATTTGTTTTCGAAAACAAAACCGCCTCTGTGAAATTATCTGTCATAGGCGCCGCCATATTGAATAATTAGGGAACTTTTTTGTGATTCGGCTCTGATTAGTTTGACATCTTTCATACACACAACGGCTAAATAATCATATTTAATTTCATTCAATATGACAATAGAAGAGAAATAAATACTTCTAAAAATTTCTAAAAGCATACTCAGTGTTTTCGACTAAAATCGTCGATGTAGGAATTAAAATGTCGGTTAATTAGCTTAGGGCCTATTCTCAGCCGGAGCTAACTGTAGATAGGCAGCCTAAGTTTGGGATGCAGTTTTCAGTTTCAAAGCGTATTTGCTTAAACCTTAAGTGCCCACATCGGAAATGTGCACGGCGCGGGCGCAAGCAATTGTAACTAAATTCTAACTCCAGAACGGAATTCGAAAAAGATCCGTTAAAAACTCCAGCCTCTATTGCGTTCACAGTGTTTTGGGGGAAAGGTGGATAACTTTAGAATGGACAGTAGCGGAAAGTTGAAATTCGATAGGGTTCAACCGCTTATTACCACACTGCTTCGCACATCGCGTACACAAGGCAATATTGTTGGTGGGCGTATAAAAATATTTCTTTGAATCTATAGCCTCTATACATGTGTAATATCACGTTCAAAATTTGGAAAAGGGGGTTTTACTCCGGAATGGAAGACCGCGGGACGCTAAATATCGATTGGGGTCGTTCTCGCATCGTCACAATGCTTGACACCAAATTTGAAAAAAAAATAAGTATTAATACTTGTTTTTGGGTTGGCATACGAAATTCAACAACAAATTTTATTAAATAATAAAACATCTTTATAACTTATATGTACATTAAAATGATAAATTACTTTTATAAAAATAAAACTTATATTTAAAACTTGTAGATCCAAATTTATTCAGCTATGTTTAAACATAAAATTGATTTGGTTGACATCTAAATAATGTGACCTGAAATAAAGAAAACAGAAATGTAAGATATATATACGTTTATAGATGCAATGTTATACAGGGAAAAAAAAATCACAATAAGCGACAACTTTTTAGCATCGTGATGTGGTCGACGATCTCACCATCTTGGACCATGTTAGATCCCACATTTTTACACTTTGTTTGCCGAAACAGCAGTTGGAGAACCTTTAATAACACGGATAAAGGCCAAAACATTTTACTTACATCATCTATATAACCATTAAAAGGATCAGCCGTTGATGTATTACCGAGTATAAGAGGGCTTGCCACAGCAGCTACGCCACCAACTAAAACATAATACAACATTTACAATTAAATATGCAACCATTCATAAAATACATAGTAATACAATATTACATAAAGGTCATTCCATGTCAAGTGGGTCAGGGGTGGGAAATCGCCCCCCTCGAAAAAATCTGGTAAAAAATATATGTTATTGTACATGTAACAACTAGAAACTGTGCAAAATTATATATATTATGGTACATACCATATAGGTCTACAAGATTGTTCGTAATTTTATTATTAGTGGGCACATAAAAATCTACTCACCAGCTCTCTCTGTAACAAGTTGCTGGTTATCAATCTGTAATTTGCTTATATCCCCTGCTTTCCCCACTCTAATTTGATGTTCTAGAAGCGGATCCTAAAGAGATACAGTACAAAATTAATAGTATGGCCAGGCTAACAAGGGAAGCACAGAAGACATACCTGCGGACAAGACACACAAGACACACAAGACGCAAACACTGTAAGTAATAAATATAAAGAAGTGATAACAAATCAATTTAATGGACCTGCTGCGATGTATCCCGAGTCTAAAGTGATCCTACAGGCTTCATTTTAAATGATATCAAACTCACAACAATGGAAGCGAACGAACAGAGCATTTTCTGAACCTTGAATATTATTGTGTGTTTACAAGAACAATCAGTGTTAGGACGTCGAAGAACATTATTGAACCTATTCAATTTGGAATTTTAAAAACAGCTGCATTGACTATAATAGGTATAGACGGGTAAAAAAAAAAAGAAATCATATTACATTATTGAACCTATTCAATTTGGAATTTTAAAAACAGCTGCATTGACTATAATAGGTATAGAGGGGTAAAAAAAAAGAATTCATATTACTGTATTTAACTTTATCATTTGTAAAAATATATTTAGCTATATACTTGTAAGAAATACCAATCTTGGTGTGTTGAAGAAAAGGAAGTTTAGATATTTCTTTTAATACGGGGGCTATGTCCTTTCTGAAAGCAACCAAATTGGAAGTCCATAAATGTATGTGGACTTACACCGCTAGAACGTGTCAATTCATTTTGGATTTGGAATGTCACAACCTTTCTAGCTTTTAATCATTTTTGCGAGTCGAGGGTTTCACGAATAGCAAAAACACATTCGACTTTGAGATTAAAGTTGGACTTTCTTTGGTGAATATTTATTGTTTTATGATATACTCAATTTTCTAAAATATTATCATTTGCTTTATAAAGAAACCCCAGGCCCTCTCCATATTTGAGAAATAAGTTCAAATATTTTGTGCGATGGCCTTAAATCTTTATATATAATGATCATGTAAAATTAGTGTATAGTCAAAACACGCTATCAAAAACCATAACCCAGATTTAAAGGAAAATTTAAAGGTACATTATTGCAGACCTTTCTTATGAATTATTACCGGTCTTCATTAGCCCAGCCGGGGCAGAACAGTAGGGTGTTAAACCCCATATTATTTATTCCCATGACAATCCCGTAATCACATACATCATCGTTTGGCTGTGACATAAAACAGATCAAAACACGATTGCCATTCAATAATTTTATTTAAAAATGGATAATCGAGAATTTGTTTATGATCGTATCCACGGGATCAATGAAAATCGAGATCCGACGATTCTTCAAACGCCCATACCTTCGCTTAAATGAAGTATTTTGAATATATTACTTTTTCATTATCTATTTATAAACTATTATGGCGAGAACTGTCAGCTCTTTATCTAAAAATTATACATAAATATAATGCATCTTTAATGGCCTTGAATTTAATTCGGGAAATTGATAGAAGAAAAGGTCACTTCTAATATTTCTTATTTAATAAAATCTGTGTACATAGATCTATCTTAAAAGTTCTTTTTCGAAATAATTATCTGTAAATTATCACAAAGAGCAACGTTTTAAATTGCCAGATAATTTTATCACTAAAAGGTCGACCGTGTCACGGCTATAAATATGTCATAAACTAATAACGATCTTTATTAAGATAAATAATTTTTAGAATACAAAACTAGCCAATATGGTGATTCTTATGAATAATTAATTGTATTTTCATGATGTAGGTAATTTATTATCTATCATCATAAGTACTATTTATAAACTAGTCCCTTTTATGAAATTATTACAAACCACTCCTGTATGATGATTAATTAACATCGCAGTCTATTATTCATCACTGATGATCAATTATAAGTATTTGGACATAAAATGTGTTTAAAATAAACCACAATGAATCAATAAACATATCAGTGGATATTTTTAAGAAACACGCCCCTAATTAAACAAAGAAACAACAGAGGTATAAAAACTGCGTCCATTATTATACGATGCTATTAAAAATGCGGTATGTGAGATTTAGATAAATAAAGAGCTAACATTTTTATCGCTGTACTAGGTAAACCAGTGGCTGCCAAGCAGATACGCCCACATTTTGCAAGAGATGGATAGAGAACAGAAATGAAATGAAATGGGGTTTAACGTCCTACTGTTCTGCTCCGAACTGGGCTATTGAAGACGGGAGATAGAGAACAATCAAAACAAAGAGAGATTTTTTGTACAATCAAGAGCCATAATTCAGAAGTTACGATCCGATATGCGCGAATATCGACAGGAACCAAGATCTTATAAACATGTATTTCAAGTTTAATCAAAGGGTCCACAACTTTATACCATATTTTTTTAAAACACTTTTTGCGTACGAGGCGCGGCCATTTTGTCTGTTGGTCCGATTTTAACGAAATTTGAACTCAACCAACCTTAGGATGTAACGGTGATACATTCAAACGTTTTTTGAAATCGGATAATAATTGTGACCTCTAGAAGGATCACAAACTAAAAACGTGATTTTTCGTACAATCAGGGGCCATAATTCTGGAAGTTACGATCCGATATGCGTAAATATCGATCGAAAGGAACCAAGATCTTTTGGTTATAAACATGCATTTCAAGTTTCATTAAAATCAGATGAAAATTATGACCTGTAAAGTGTCCACAAGCTAAAAACGTGATTTTTCGTACAATCAGGGGCCATATAATTCCATGAAGTTATAGTCCGATTTATGCCAATATCGAAAGGAACCGAGATCTTTGGGAGATAAACCTATATTTTCTGTTTCGTCAAAATCGTATAAAATTTGTGACCTGTAGAGTGTCCACAAACAAATTGTGGACATCCGGGCGGACTGACAGGGGCGACGACAATATACGTCTACATGAAAATGTGGGCGTATAAAAATAGATAATTACTTCATTCTGAGTGAAGCTATGACTATTTGAAGAACGGCGTGGTCTAGATTTCCATTACCATTGTTACGATATTAATATACGACATTATCCATTTTAAAATATGGCGATCATGTTTCAATCGGTTCAGAATCACAACCATGCGATGGTCTTGAGGAGTTGATTATGGCCTTGTCGTGTGAATAAAGCTCTGATTAATAATTTATAACATTTGAGGTCTGAAGGAAGATGCATCTTTAATATTTAGGCATACTGCGATCGGTAATACCACTCTGTCGGATTACGATTATTATTCAAGGGGGGGGGGGGAGAGAGAGAAATGGGGTTTAACGTCCACTCGACACAAACTAGGTCATTTCGGCACTAACATATGGTTTAATTTTATTTCAATAATTCGCTTGCGCACAGGGGTCTTTAGTAGTGGGAGAAAACCGGAGGACCCGGAGAAAACCCACGAGGTTGGACAGGCGACCCTACTCCTTGTCACGTACAACCGGGGATTCGAAACCACGCCAGTCGACTCAATGACAGACTTTATGATACAGCGCGCGCACGCAAACCATTCAGCCATCCAACCCCCCTTATTATTCAAGGACACTCCGGATGGTTAGATCAAACCAGGACGAATGTTTTATGTAAAATAAAATTACGCTTCAAACTTATAAATAAACACAGGTTTATAAACAGGCAAAGTTAAATCAAGATAAATGAAAATATAAATTATATATTTCAATAATGTATCAATTACAGTGATTTGAGGCACATTAACACACCGATATGTCCATTTTTCATCATTATGTTGTAGTATGGGGTAGTATGTGGTGATATAGAGGTGGTATTTGGGTGGTATTGGTGTTGGGTAAATCGTCCCGCCGCACCGAAATAGTTTAGTAAATATAAGATTTATTTACATCAGGGTCTGTATTCAAATTATAGCTTAAGTCTAAGATAGCCACTTAACTACTGCATTTCACTTAAATATACGTAACTTCCTGTAAGTTAGGTGTAAGTAGTATTCAAAGGTAGGGTTATGTATTAGATATTCCCTTGAGTTAAACTGCCTTAACTTTTAAGAGTTTAGTCTTTTAGCGGTATTCAAAGGCCAGTTTAAGTGAGAAAAATCCACTTAACTTTAAGTGACCTATGGGAGGTACCTTAAAATTAAGTAAAATTATAATGACTTCTTTTAATCGGAGTACACAATGTCGTAGCATGCCCATAATGGGAGGTACCTTAAAATTAAGTAAAATTATAATGACTTCTTTTAATCGGAGTACACAATGTCGTAGCATGCCCATAATGGCGATTTTAAAAGTTAAGGGATTGAGATTGAAACAAAGACAATGTTGCCGAGTGTAGCTGTCCTCAAACTTTTGTTTCCATCGTCCGCTTTTGTGTTGTAGTGCCATAATAGTGTATATGGTCAAGGATATATTTTTTCCGATCATTTTTATCCTTGTCGTTCTGCTTATTCATGTTTTCCAGGACTGTCATATAATAAAGTTTAATGCGTTAAATTCATTTATAAAATTTGATATTGTTATGACATGCCATGGTATAGATTTCGATAAACAATTATACAATTATGAGAAACAAGGCAAGATTTATTATTAAGACTGATTCCCATATACATATTTGAAGTTAGCTGCGAATTGGCAGTAGTATTGTTTGCAACATGTTCTTGTTTTCGTCTGTATATAAATTTACAAATGTATGATGATTGCTGGCCGCAGTGTGCCATCAATGTTTTACAATTAATTTCTTGTATTACTAATAGCGTTTTAATCAATAGTATTTATTTAGGTAGAAGATAACGTCACGTGCTTCTTTCGTACCATCAACGCCGCAACGGGTTTGGGATTTTAAAGTGTAGACACTGACAGAATTTCTATAAATTCCTCAAATGATAGATTGATAATCAACATTGAATGATGTGTTCAGTCTAACTTTAAAGCCAAAGGGTCCTGCGTATTGCTAAGATCTTGCTTTATATTCGTTATACATTTTTAAAATAATAAAGTTTACAATATCCCTCATTATACTACCACTATTCGATAACTGCAATTTAAATCTATTGAAATTGAATTTTCTATAAAAATCTACGGACAAAGGATGCGCACTATTATAATTTATAGTCATACTATTTTCATGCGTTACAATATAATAATTCGACAAACATTTTCCAAGTAATGGCTACTAAGATTTTAATAGAGCATAGTGCATTCTGCACACAGACAACCATTTTCTTCGAGAATAGATCTCTGCCCGAAATGGCCGCCTATCCAAAAACTAGTATGCTACATGTATTTTGTAATGTGGTGCTATCCGCCATACACACACAGACTAAATGATATTAAATTGAAGCGGAATAAATATTTCTCAAAATTATCGAAGCATACTCAGAGATTTTGACTAAAATCGTCGATTTAGGAATTAAAATGTCGGTCAAATAACTTAGTGTCTGTTCTCAAGTGGAGCTAATTGTAAACATACAGGGTAAGTTTAGTGTGCGTATAGTGCTTCTCTTAAGGGGATATGACTTGTGTGCAAAGTTAGAAATTCGTGATTTTTGGTATTCCTTAAGTTAGAAATTCATGCTTTTTGGCGATTGCGGGTATTCCATAATTTAAGTGCACGGTAAAGTTTGTCACATAGCCAAGGAGGTGTAACATACAGCCTCTAAATACCGATTTTCCTCAACTTTAAGAAAACCTTTGAATACGGACCCTGGTATATAAAACATAAAAGAGCTACTTAAATACATAAATGAAACATGAACTAGATTACACCAGGAATATAAACAATAACATTAACACTGGATAACCATTTCACCCTTCCATACGCCGGTCCCCGCTCTTCTCTTCCTCCCGTCTCACCGTCTCTCGTCTCATCCCCGCTCGTCTGTCTGTCAGCAAACTCCTGGTTATATAGCCTCCGACAATAGGTAAGACCCATGATCATATATGGAATTGTCTATTTATCTCGTCATGGTATGATTACTGACCAGTGCTTATTCCTTTGAAGTCATGCGGAGCTTGCATACAGATCATAATGTAGTTTGTAAATGACATATGGGATTAATTACATGTTTAATTTACTCACTAACTTTATATTTCAAGTCTTACGGCTAGTGCCAAACGGGGGTCGTGGTAGCTTAGTGAGTAAGGCGCTGGCAGGGAACAGCGTCTGTTGTGATGGGACGGAAAACAGAGATACCATGTATTCGTTGGTGTGCACGTAAGAGAACCCTTGTCGTAAGAGTAGGCCGTAGCGCCCCTGTCCGGGCAAAATTTTCCCGTCTTCATTAGCTTGGATGGAGCAGAAAAGTATGAGGTTAAGGTAATACGCACGTCTCAATCGAATGTAAGACTGTTTTCCTTGACCCTGGAAAGATGAAAAAACTGAGGAAAACTGAGTTACTTACCACATTATGAGCAACCATTGACACTACTGTACTGTCTGTTAACAACAGAAAAACTCGAATTTCTTGTGCTGCTGGATTAAACACTGCTCGGTAGCTGAAACCAACACCTGGATTCTCATTGGATAACAGTGAAACGTCATTGGTATTTAAAGAGTTTCCTGGAAGTAAAGAATGAATAAAGATAATGTAACGTTGCATTGGAAATAAATAGATTGAACTCGGATTATAATTTCTAAAACATCTAATACCACTTTTTATTCATTTCAGCAACACGGACTCCTTAAATGCTTGATTTTGTATATTTACTTCGGGGGTGTTAAGTGGCAATGTTGATTATGTGTTCGATCTCTCTACTTGAAATTTTCGATTTTATTTACTGATTGATTAACGATGTATTATTATTGTTAAAGAAACATATTAATGGAAATACAATAGTCAAACAAAAGCTCACCGGTATAATTAAATGTGAATCCTAGAGCAAAATTAGAACCCAATTCCACATTTTGTAAATATGGTACCAAAATTTGACCACCATCCTCAAAATAAGCCCTATCATCAGCTACATATACAGCTCCATGTGGTTGCATATAAACCCGTTTCTTAGACTCGGTAAAATCGCCATTGAAGGGAAACAGAAATAAAGCATTGCAGTGTTCTGAAAATACAATTGATTTAGACAATTCAAATTCCTTTAAACGATTAGTTATTCGGAATGGGCATTCATAAAATTAAGCCCAGTGTTTTTCATATACATTAAGTTATTCCATTCAACTTCATATATCCTACTCTCAGTTAGCTAAAGTTTCATTTTAGCGATTCTATCCTAAATGATTCTCCAAGGAATGTATTTGTCACAATCATATATCAATGGATTATAATCTACCACCCACCCATTTTAATTAGGCTACTATTTTGTATTTAGTCATTTTCGGCAAAACTTTACACGTACCTGGTGCATTACTATAAGCTGTCTGCGTTGAATCAGGCCATCTGCATCCACAAGACGTTTTTATAAATACGAGACCAGGAGGGCAATTCATTACATGATGTGTGCCCGAGATATCGACAGAAATGTAAGATGTTGCATCATTGAGGTTAACCTGCAAATTTGGACAGGCTGGTTGAGCTTCGGTTACTGCTGAAACAAGATTATGTTATTTTAAGTTTTCAGTAAAGAAAATTGCAGCAGTTTCCACACTAATGCATTCTTCGGAGTATTAAAGAATTGGGGTCTTTATTAGTCATTGGTGACTTCTTCATAACTTGTCAAATCGATTTATTTATTTTTCTTCAGATTTTGTGTTATTTTCTATTCGACTTTTTCTGATTCTAGAACGATGATGTATTTATATACCAATCGTCAATCAAATACCTCAAAGTTTTATACAAATCTGGAAAACCCAGTTTTTTACATTCAACAATGGGTCATAATTCAGTAAAACATTAACCGAATTCCGCGGAATGCAAATCTTGATCTTTAAATCTGCTTTATACCCAAATGTACCAACACTCCAAGCTTATCCTCAACAGTTTCCGAACAGCATAATTTTCATTGATTTTAAGTTAATGTATCGATACGTCATTGACATTTCTCGCTAAAATATCAAATTTCTCACAGCTTAATATGTACCCAGGTTGATTTTTTAATATTTATTTAAGAAAGCAAAACCAAAATACCAACGCTAAATAATGTCCCGTCATGGATTCAATCGGATTTAAAGAGAGGGAGAGAGAAATGTGGTTTAACCTCCACTCGACATAAACTAGGTCATTTCGGGACTAACACATGTTTCAATTTTATTTCAATAATTCGCTTGCGCGTATAGGGGTCTTTAGCAGTGGGAGGAAACCGGAGGACCCGGAGAAAACCCACGAGATTGGACAGGCGAGCCTACTTCTATCACGTACAACCGGGGAATCGAAACCACGTCAGTTGACTCAATGACAGACCTTATGATAGAGCGCGCACGTACTAACCATTCGGCCACCCCCCACCCCAATCGGATTTAAAACAGGCCTATTACTTTGATGCAATTTCAAATCCACATATCATTGTAAATACTGAACGGAATTGAACCATTTTGGACCGATATGCCTATTAGAGATTCATCTTTTACAATAATGTAGTTTGTAAGTTATCCCTATATGACACATCGATCGGATATGTAAGTCTGTCCTGCTCGCCGGCGTACTAAAAAGAATATGTAGTAATATTCTTTGTCACGTCATTGAATCATCAAATGTAACACTATCCCGAGTCACGGGGACCAAAAAATGTAGCACTATGGTTCCTTTAACAATTATATTACAATTCCACGAAACACGATCTTGATATATACATATACTGCAGCGTACCAAAGTTCAATTAAATATCTCAAATGACAACCGGATGAACAGATAGACGGACGGAGCGAAAACATATAATCCCTTCAGGTTCCATTGGTAGGAGAATAATGATAATAATCTGTTGAAAGAAACTTACCGGCAGCGGTCACTCCAGGATGTTCACAAGTTGTATCAGCTACACAATCTGTTACATTAAATGCATCGCCGACTGGACAGTGTTCATAATAAGCTTTAGATTGACGACATTCATAATAACCAAAACAGTTACCATTATCAGAGAAACGGGTACCATCTGTTAAACTTTTACAAGGATCTGAAACAATGTTACACTAGTTTTAAAAGACTATTTGCGTTAAGTCTTTCGGAAAATATAAAAATTTCCGCGGCGTATAATCCACACTAAAATGTACTCAAATTGATTATTCAATATTTGATTATGAAAACAAAACGTTAGGTAATCTGCTGACTTGGAATCAATCGGATTAAAAACAAACCCATTAAATAATTTTAACGAATGTTATCTGTTTACCCCGTTTATATCAATCCGATTAAAACACAGATCCTATTTCGTGTTGTTTTTTACAGTTCAAAATTTCGTTTACTTGTCTTCACAACACCAGGATCTGGAAGAGTTGTTATATAACAGGCGTTCTAGTTGATGTGAGGAATCAGGTCTGTTACGGCGAGTTCTTGGCGAGCTCTGCACAGAACTGTGGGTAAACCCCTAAAAACGTCAACGCTGATTGTTTAATCAATGTCTGACGTCATGGGGTCAAAAGCCGCTAGTATGAACCCTTACGCGACCTCCCAGTACAACTGGTCAGATCTTCATGTAGTATAGGCCATCGAAAGTATAAAAAAACGAAACGAAATATACATCTGTATTTTAATCAGATTGCGTTTATATCGTCTGCAGTGGATGGCGAATTTTGACAAATAAATTATCATTTCAGCATATCTTTGTAAATACTTTACGGGATTGAACTATTTTTTTGTAGCGTGGGATAAAAATCCGCCAAACGCCGTTCAGAGGCTTTAATAGATTTGGCCGTTACATTAGTAACAGTCTAATTAATAAGCTTATTTCGTTATTTCGTTATGTCTTTATGGTTCTTACAAACGGTATAATTATTCAGGCTGCCGTTCAGATGACATACCATGATTATTGATCATCTAGATATGTATCTATTTTCTATTGCCATGGTGTTGTTAAAACAGACGTTTTAACGCCTCCTATATTCAGCGATAGTTTTTCAGACATGTGCTTTTTTATACATAAAACTAATTCATGTGGGTACTAAATCCCATGTTTACAGCATTATATCAGAGATATGAGTCAAAGAATTTTTGTTCCAAAAGCAAGATTTACCGATGCATCGATGAGTGTAGCGTATTCATCTTTCCTCCCGATACATCGATGCGTAAAATTGCACTTGATATAAGCTCTAACAAACACTGAGGTAAATCTTATAAGCTTCCACTCTATTTAATGAGAAAAAACAACAACTGAAAAACAGTTAATTTGAATCAGATTACGGCAAAAACATATGAGAATGGAGGCAACCCCTGAAAAATATTCAGTACAACACTTTGATCACCAACGATAAAAGGAACGATAGCCCTGGAACTAATCCAATTAGAACGCATAGTTCTTGGCTGAAGAACTTACCATCTGGGCATTGCACAGAAGACGCATGTTTACAAGCATTGTCATCAAAAAATGTACCCGAGGCACAAGTCTCTAATTGTGGATTACTAGTGTTACACTGTACAAATAAGTTACAATAGCCGAGAATCCTGTAATATCGAAACCCTGTAGCTTTTACATTTTTTTTACAATACTCTGAAAAACATAGAAAATAGAAAATATAGATATTTTGATATGCTGGAAACACGTTGCAAACTTTTGGAAATCTTATCCTCGACTTCTTAAGTTTCAAAAATTCTCGTCTCCCTCTCCGAAATTATAAAATGGCCGTCACAGTAAAAAAAACAACATTATTTTGGTAGATCCCAATTTAAGAATTAAGAGTTTTCAAATGTTGTTGTTGGGAAATATGGAGGTTTGTAATATTCAATAAGTATGTTGATGGCTACAACATAGTCTGTTTTAACTCCATGTAAAGACTGGAGGTGGTTTGTTTTTAGTAATAACAAGATTACGTCTTTACTTAAATGTTAATTGGTTTGGATATATTTGTGTTGAACTGTATGTGTATTATAATTATACAGTAGTCTAACACTTACCTCTAAGGAAATCTTGTCCAGATATAGTGGATATAAAGAGAACAGCTACAAGGAGTTTGAAAGGTAAGCCGAGCTGCATCTGAAACGCAAAGGAAAATGCTTAAGAGGGTTCATAATTATCTTGTAGTAGGGACGCATTCTTTGTTTTGCGAATATTTAAAAGTACTACAAGCACCTCCTTACCAAGAGGTATCACTGTCAATCCCCAATACTCTTCCCACATCTCCATGGGTTAAGTATAGAAATGGTGGTGACACCGATGACCACGCCCAGAAACTCAGACATATCCTCAAAACTGACAACTGTTTCTGTTCTCGTTAACACTCCTGGTGGTATTTAAGGCTTTTTGACAATTGTTGGCCTACCTTGGTCTTTTATAACAGTAAATATTGTAGATGGTCTTTACTCAACGCTATTTCTCCAACTAAAGAAATCTTTATTTGTTATATTTATATTTTATTTCATTGATACCCACTCTAGCCATCGATCATTCCTTAATATCCTTAACACACTTGACACAGACAATAATCAAAAATATATCCATCGTCATTGACTAGGGATGATTGACAATGACAGACGGTTTGACTTACGTCACATCCAAAAATACACCAACAATTAATTTATTATATGTCATACTTATGTGTTGATTTGAAGTATATGTGAAATACTGTTTAAAGGTCTTTATTAGTTCATGTCGGTTTATTAAACTTTAATCTTTTCGGCCCATTAATCGTGTGCGTATCGTCAATCAAAAGTATATATATACATGTATATATTAGTGAGTGCATTATGGACAATCTGCAGGTTTACGGTCAAATTCCCACGGACTTGTTTAGGAATTTGGGCTGGGTAGTGTCCGGGTGGAGACAACGTCGAGTTTGGCGTTAGATCTGGGGGATTACCCTTACCCGAGAATGTTATAAAGTCAGAAGCCCTGAGACAATATTTCCGCTCTTATAGGTGCATTATTCATGTATAGGATTGGAGAGGAGTTGGCAAACATTCCCGGTACACCCATGTAATTGATCATTATTTAGGGTAAAAATATTATGTTTTTTGATTTATCAGTATCAGTTATCACTGTACCAAACAATCCTACATGTCAATTTTTTTAAATCATTGTAAAGTCTATATTTAATTCTTGAAAATTAGTGTGTTATATGGTGATTGATGAGAAATATTAGCGTCCTCTTCAATCCGCATTGGGAAGCCGTTATACAACATTCCATTTGTTAACTTACATCGTGATCTACAACACAAAAGATCAATGAGGAAAATACACTCTGCATAATTTTAAGCGTCACTGTCCTGGCAAAAATCTAAATAGAACAAAATATGATGATGGAGTATGCTCCAAGTAGTGCATGTCCTTTAATGTTATTGATTAAATATAACGTATCTTCGTGTGAAGATGTAAACAGATTACATGACGGTAATAATATGTACAAAGACACCATCACTTCCATCATATGAGAGAAAATAGGTTGTTAAATAACACAGAACGTTCATAACTGTTAATTATTTCTCTAACATGACAGAGAAATCACGTTTCGAACACAAAAATTATTTTCGTTGGTATTGACTCGGAACCAAACAAACATCATCCTTACACAGCATTTGCTCTTCTTAAATAACAAGGACAAGAAAGAAAAAAATAACGCGTCATCTCTTATGCAAAACGTTCCCATCCTGTCAAATCAACACAGTTTTAAACTGACCGGTACACAGATTTGTCGATCAGATATTTATTATGTTAAATATAAGGATTGTAGTGCTTGTATTTTATTATCTATATGCGTGTGTAAGCTTTGTCGAAGGTAAGAATATGTACAATAATTATCAATCTGTAATAATCATCATAATTATCTATATATTACAGACTATTCGTTATTATAAAAATTCGAAAAGGGAAAATTGCCGTTTCATACCAATACCCAACGGGCACAGGTTCGGCCAGTTGCGAGCGAATCTAGAAACTGCAAATAGGGGAGGCTGGGTTGGTCTCCAAATCTATAAGGTTGCCATCGACAATCCCACCCCACATAGATCATACAGGTCACAATTCTATGGAATACAATTACTGCTTTTTACTGAGCCTAGTCGAAACGTCGCTCAGTAAAAAGCAGTAATTGTATTCCATAGAATTGTGACCTGTATACTCTAGTTCAATTTCTAAATGCCATTGAAACAGTTTATCCCACATAGATCGTATCATCGTATTGCCTATATAGCTGTTCGCCGGAAAGCAGTTTTATGCCAGTTGACATGTAACGAAACCCTAAGATGTGTGTGGGGGGGGGGGGGAGAGGGGGCTCTGCCCCTGAGATAATTTTAATTTCCTGGCAATTTACGTCATTGCTGGAAGCAAATTCTTGTGAACGAGAGGAACAGAAATGTGACAGAATATCTAGATCTACCTGTCAATTCTACCTGTTTTGTGAGATTTGACATTTGTACTGTCTGTCGCCCCATGACCCGCGAACAAGTGGTACTACTAACTGGGCTGTTCAATGTAACCGGGGGGATCACGTGGCTAAGTGGGTAAGACGCTGGCTCGCTAGGCTGGAGGTCGGGTGTTCGACCGAGAAAGTTCTTTCAGATTTTCCGGCGTGGTTCCCCCTTGTCAGTGATGCAGGACGGAGGGCCTGACAAGAAGAACTAGTCCTTCGGATGAGACGAAAAACTGAGGTCCCGTGTATACATTGGAATGCACGTAAAAGATCCCTTGGCAGTTGGAATTCGATATAAGAGTAGGCGATAGTGCCGCTGCTTTTAATTTTTTGGAACTGGCACGAGAGACGATGGGTGAGACGCTTTTTTCTCTCGCGGATCCGCTTACTTGGTCTCATGGTGGGGTGGCCGCACCCCCGGCCTCTAAAATCCACGCCTGGGTCCAGCTATGGAACTTTGACTTTTGTTTTCAGTTAAACATACATTATGCTGGAGCTAAATCTGCCTATTGCAGGTATTTCTTTAGGCCTGAAATGTTATATAAACTATTAATTTGACATTTATTAACAAAACAATACCACAATCAACTCTCGATGGCGTCGGGTACTCGAGATTTTAACTAGATTAGAACGGTTCACCATTTAAAAATTTAATCTAAAAATGGGAAAGCGAGGCTAAGTCTCGAATATACCAGTGCCCATAGGCGTTCGAGCTGGGGGGGGGGGGGGCTCAGGGGTCATCCGCCCCCCCCCCCCCATTTTGGGCACCAAATGCTGGGAAAATTTGAGCACACAATTGTACTTTGTAAAAGTTGTATAAAAAAATATTGTATTCTTGAATGTGTCCAATTTAACAGCGAATTTATTATTATCATGTAACATACTAAGAACCTAACTACATTTTCTGGGCACCAACCACCTCCGCCCCCCCCCCCCCCGTCAACAATTTCCCCGTACGCCTAAGCCATTACCCTGGTTACCACAATGCACACATCTTGTCAAAACTACAAACAGTGATAACTAAGTCTCAGAATGAAGTAATTTGAATGAAATTTTCAGTATTTTCATTTTACATTATCTATTTTTGGGCTATTATAGTTATAGCAAGAACGGTCAGCTCTTTATCTAAATCTTACATAATGTATCTTTAATCGTATAACATAGTATTAGGGAGATGACCCTCGGTATATTACAAATGTTTTTTTCTAGAACGCCCAATATATTTTGTTGTATTTTTGTTCAGATACAAATTCACTAATTCAAATTAATTATAACATATTCCCTTTTTCATAGGTTGCAAGGAACAATGCTTATTCCATTATGACAATTCTTTTGAGGAATCTGAAAAAAGATGTGGCCAGATTTCAACAGGACGAGTTTCCATCCAAAACAACAAAGCGTCATTTTCTGGATTTGGATTCATCGCATTGCCAGTTTTTAAAGGCAACACCCTTCAGCCATATTTTGCGTTGGCCTTTCGATTCCGGTACACAGGAGCAGTAAAGAACAGAAAGCAACCTATTGTCTTGATCAGTAATGGCTGTGAAATGAATAGTCCTACCATTGAATTGAGTATAGCTGGAAGCACCTTAACTTTAAAACTTGTATTAACGGTGGATGGCGAGAAAAACGATGTAGTTCTCATATCCATACCAGATGTTGTGAGTATTTAAAAGACGATTTAAGTCTATAGCAACGTATTATTTTTATCGGCATGTTTAATCGAACCGATATTTTCCTTTTCGAACTCCATGAATAGTATAAACTGAACTGAAAACTTCCAGTCATCGCTCTGGTAAATTAACTGTATAGTGGAAAATAATTGAATTTGTTAATCTAATTTCTGTATTTGTTTCTGTTTTAGGACGTAGCCAAAGAAACACATGTGAAAATTGGACAAGATAACACTCGTATTCGTATACTAGTAGGAGAACATCCCATGCATATTATAGAAAAAAGTTAGTATACATCATAATATTGTATATGTGCGCCTTTAAAACCAACTCGCAGAAGTTGGCGTATATACCCGACATTTTTGGTGTTAATGTCATGTGTCCGTCTTCATTAGCCCAGATGGTTCAGAAAAGATAAACCCAATTTCATTTCACGTATTACGTGAAAAGTAGTAATTGTGGTTCGAACGTGCACGGGTAGTTAAAAACTGCTCAACCCGTTCAAGTACCCGTTCATGTCAATCTGATGAAAACACAGATCTTATTTCTTTTCGTTTTTATATTTCAAAATTCTGTTTTACTTGTCTTTACTACACTGGGTCAGGATCTGGAATATCTGTTATCATTGACGTATTCTGGATGATGTGAGTGATTAGCCAATGAAACAGTCTGTTACGGCGAAATTTTGGCGTGAGGTGCACGGAAATGTGGATCATCCACTAGAAACATCAATGCTGATTGGTTAATCAAATGTGATGTCACAGGGTCAAAAGCAGCTCGTATGACCTCTGACGCGACCTCCCTAAAACAACCGGTCAGATCTTGTAGTGTAGGCCATCGAAAGTATAAAAAACGAAACGAAATATTGATTTGTATTTTAATCAGATTGCTGTTCATGTAAAATTATATAGATATCGTCCACGTGTTGGCCTATATCATTTTTTGCACAGTTCTATTATAAATTGTTTCTTTATATCTTTTCAATATTTTAGGTATGCATGAACACGTAGTATCATCCGAATGTCCACTTCAGATTGGAGCTGGGCATGGCTTACTTCCATTTGTTGGAGAAATTGATGAGGTAAGCTACGTTTATAAAATACTATTCAATAATTCAATGTGTATATTGAACGTCTAAAGACATCCTCGGTATCCCAGTGGTCTCATTCCGTTTTACTCCACTATACCCTGGTTCAATTCATGGGGTATTCACGTATTCAAGTTATCTGCCCTTGATCGTAGCTTGATTCTACAAACCAATCAAAATACAGTTTACAAACCAGTTTTAGCCTCATTACTTACATTCACAACAATATGGCGGCTTGTTTGTTGCAACAAGATGAGAGTTACTTCCCTTCCCCAACTTCCATTGTATTTAACGATCTCTTTGATTGGTCGATAAAAATAGCACAGTCACCAAAGGCAGATAATTGTGTCTTCCCATGGCTGAACCCAGGGGTTCGTGGAGTGTGACAGATTGAGACCACTGGGGATATCGAGGATGGTCTACCGAATCACCGAAAGCCATACTTTGGATCGTTCTAGCCCCCGATATCAAAGATAAAAAGGTGTTAAAATATAATCACAGACCAGAGATCAAAAGATGGCATATTTTGTCTGCGATATCGCTGTGTACGTGACAATAAATAAAGTTGACGAGATAATAAGTGTGCCAGATCGTTCGGCTGGTACAAAAAACCGAGGGCCACCAAAGTACACATCGGTGTGCACGTAAAAATGCCCTTGAAAGTTGGCAATCGAAGAAAAGTAGGCGCAAACGCCGTTGTTCTGGCACAGAATTATCCCCTGTGCATCTCAAAATAATCGAATTATCGTCTTGACACCCTACTGTAATGATTATAAATGGAACTTGAACCCATCCACGCGGACCCGTCCTTGAAACCCCGCAGTAAAGCCCCACATTAAACTCGTGGCCCAAAATAATAATTAATTAACTATAGTTTTCCATGTTTATGTTCTCTATGACGTTTCAATTGATTTTTTTCAGTTTGTGTTCTATCCATGCATTAATGAAGACTTTTTCGAAAAAGAAACATTTCCGTAAAATTTTAGGCCCAAGATCTAAGCCTAATAACAAATAGATCAATTTCCAAGTTGGGAATATATATGATTTTTGAAGAAGAACTGGCATAGTAATTGTATTCAAGCATTTCGGAACAATAAATATTGATGAGAAGGATGTTAAATAAGCTAATGTTTTATGTTGTTGGTTTGAGAGAGAGAGAGAGAGAGAGGGAGAGAGAGAGAGAGAGATTAACGTTCACTCGACACAAACTAACATATGGTTCATTTATAATTCAATTATTCGCTTCCGCGAAGGAGTCTTTAACTGTGGTGGTGGGGTGTGTGAACCGGAGGACCCGGAGATAACCCACGAAGTTGAACAGGCAACCCTACTCCTGGTCACGGACAAGCGGGGAATCGAAACGACGCCACTTGACTCAATGACAGACTTTATGGTTCAACGCGGACGCGTTACCCCCCCCCCCCCCCCTGCTTTATAAAGTAGATTTATAGCAAACAATTCGTAAGGGCAGACCTGTATAAAAGGGTGAATATAATTGTCACTACGCGGTAACAAATAATGGAAATGCCAATGTTCAAATATGCTTTCCCATTTAAAATCTGTGTGATTTAATGATATAGCTAGACTAAAAATATATTCAGATTAATTTATTTGTCAAAACTTTGCTTCAAATCCCTCTCAAAGCATTAATTTAATCGAAAGAAAACTAAACCATGCCGTAAAAATCAGTTTTAAGCAGCCTTGTTTGTCACGTGACTTGATTGAGGGGAGGGTCCCTTTTAAGCTTGTAGTTTTCGTTATTAGCTGTCCGTTTACCATTATCGAAGCTAAGTAATTTATTGGAAGTGACGCCAAACATGACAAACACGAGTTGTCCTTCTATATAACTGATTGAATTAACGAGCGATAACAGACACGCGGTCGAATTTCATTTCACTGATAATTCAGTTGAAGATGAAAAGTTATTATATGAGACGGTGAGAGGATATCTGACAATTCAAAAAAAGAATTGGCTGTCATTAGATAAAAGATAAGGATCAAATTAGAAAAAGTCCGTGCATTACCATGTTTTTATTAAGAACAGAATGAATAAAAACGGGGGAATGCACGGGATTTTTTTCTATTTTTCTCGTTTTCCCTTATCTAGTGACAGCCAATTCTATTTTTGAATATTGTGAGATACACTCTCACCGTCCCATATAATAACTTTTCAACTTCGACGGAATTATCAGTGAAATGAAATTCGATCGTTTGTCTGGTATCGCTCATTACTTCAGTCAGATATATAGAAGGATAACTCGTGTTTGTCACGGATACTCTACCACTACAAATGTCTGACAATTACATAGCTGTCAGGGGTAACCCACCACTATAGAAATGTCTGTTAGAGTGTTTTTGTAACACCTGAAGATGTACGGTACACTGCTGTAAGATTTTCATGTGGTAGCCTACACTTTTGAGCTAATCTAGCCTAGTTGGGGGGCATGGCATTTTGGGCGTGGAATACCACACCCACCACGAGAAACCCGGCAGACTTACATTCTGATGATACCAGATATACATGCATTGAGACCATATAGGAGAAAATTGGTACACTTTTCAGCTAGGTTAACCCCCTGGGCTCCGGCTCTAATATTGTCCTTTAAGTCCATGTTCGTAAGCGAGATTATCAAATAACTGGTCTGATTCCAATTTCAAACTCGGGGGCAAATAACTCGTCTGAAACCGATTCACTTTCAGAAGATATAATTATACCAAGGTGAGAAACGGGTTGAAATTAAATAATTGAGATCAATGTTCACTACTCTAGTTTCCGTCAACCAATGGCAATACTCGCTAATTTTCGCTAGGTAGACAATCAAGTCCACGATGACGTTTAAAATTATCCACGTGGCCCTCTTTAAAGGACAATATTGGTGCCAGTCATTATCATATATATGATAGAGCTGGTTAAACACATTCCAAATATAATTTTAACACAGAGATCATTGCTACGATAGCTGAGTAATACAGTTTTCCAGAATCGGAAGTGACGAACGCCAAAGGAAAACACGAGTCATCTCTCTTTATAACTGACTGATGTGACGAGTGATAACGGATATACGGGCGAATTTCTGCTCACTAATAATTCATTCGAAAACCAAAAGATGTTGTATGAGATTGTGAGAGGATATCTGACAATTCATAAAAAGAATTGACTGCCACTAGATAAGTGAACACGAAAGAAAAACAGAAAAAGTCCGTGCATTACCATGTTTTTATAAGATATAGAATGAATATAAACAAGGGAATGTACGGACTATTTCTATTTTTCTCGTGTTCTCTTATCTAATGACATTCAATTACTTTATTGAATTGTCAGGTATCCTCTTACAGTCCCATATATCAACTTTTGGTCTTCGAAGGAATTATTAGTGAGCAGAAATTCGGCCGTATATCCGTTATCACTCGTCACATCAGTCAGTTATATAGAGAGATGACTCGTGTTTTCCTTTGGCGTTCGTCCCTTCCGACTCATGAAACCTGCATTACTCAGCTACCGTAGCAATGATCTCTGTGTTAAAATTATATTTGGAATGTGTTTAACCAGCTCTATCACATATGTGATAATGACTGGCACCAATATTGTCCTTTAAATCACGCAGACAATTTATGTCATCGTAGACTTATTTGTCTACCTAGCGAAAAATATGTATTTCAAGACTTCATGATCATGAATCCGTATCAATAACGTACACCTTTATTAAACTGTTTCCGTTCCTTTTTTTGCGGGAAGAAAAACCAGAGAGTGTCAGACGTGTTTTTTGCGTGAATGCACTTTAGCCTCGGTTTTTCGTATTATCCGAATGAATAGACACTGTCCCCTTTCTTACAACACAGCATGCTTAAACAGAGCCATATCTGCCCATTGTAGGTCTTTCTTTAGGCCTGAAATGTTACATAAACTATTAATTAGACATTAATTAACTTATCCAAACTATAATCAACTCTCGATGTCATCTTATGTGTCGGATTTTCACTGGATTTGAATCCGATCTGCTGCTCAACGCTCATTGATGATTAAATCCAAAAATGGATAATCGAGACTTATGTTTTTGGGTTTTTTTTTTTTATCGTACCGACTTTAGTAATGATGGTGGAGGCTAGGTTTAAAATTCAAAATCTAATAACTCGGTTCAGGGTGTAGCAATTGGACTGAAATTTTCATCATATTGTATTTACGTTATCAATTTGTTTAACTAGTATATCGAAAACAGTCAATCCTTTATCTAATATCCCATATAATGGGTTTATAATAAGCCCGTTTTCAATTACGATAGATATATTATTTTTTTTTTTTCACCATAATTCAATTTCAAAATATAAATATCAGAAACGCTACTGTCCGTGTAGGCCTTATATACACATGTACAGCTCGTTTTTCCACACTATCCGAACGAAAAGACACTATTCCCATACCGGTGTGACAGTTTGAGATGGTTCCTGGTGTGTGGTTACCGTTTAGCGCATGCGCAGTTGTAGGAATCAACTCACACCGTTATGGACGCAGAAGGGCCGAATTGTTAGCGCGTGCGCGTTGGATCATAAGTCTGTTATTGAATCAACCATCTTCGCTGGCCAAAGGTTACGAACCGAATCGTAACCCTTGGCCAGCGAAGATGTGAGTCAACTGGCGTGGTTTCGATTCCCCGGTTGTAGCCTACGCGACAAGTCGAGTAGGGTCGATCAACTGTCCAGTCTTTAGTTTTTTCTGGATCCTCCGGTTTCCCCCCACTGCCAAATGTCGCTTTTTCGGGGATAATCCAACTAAATATTGGGGGATTCCCCTTACAAATCTCGATCCTTTGATTGGCTCGGTTTCAAACACAAAAAGGCGTTGTTCGATTCTACGCATTGGCTATAAATTTCTATATTTACTACCAATATTGGTGGTTGGGATGGCCTAGTGGTCTAGAGTGTCGCGCTTCGACCTCTAGCTGGCCGGTCATATGTAGCTTGCGGTCGTGGTTTCGATCCCTGGTGTGAGATGTGGCTTGGAGATAGGAACGCCTTCTCAACCTCGTGAGTTTCCTCCCACAGGAAATACCTCTGCGCGTGTGCTAATTAAGATAATAAAAATTAAAATAAGACAACTTGTCTGCGAAGCGGACGTTAAACACTAAGAACAACAACAGCAATAACTAACAACAACTATTCGTTACTACAGACGTTCAACAACCAACAAACCAATCTTTCCCAGAGTCATTTGGGCTATTGCACTATGAAATGAAGAATGTTTGGTAATTATCCAAATCAGTATTAATTTGTAGTATCGATATACAAGTCACTATTTGAATTATGTAGTAAATTCAGTCCCATAGCATGCATACAGTCACAGAAATATGAAAAAGGTTTATTTAAAGTCCGCTTCCACCGAAGAAATAACATAATTATATAGAGCCTTTATTGGAGCTAAATTGTAAGTGTGCGCATGCGAGAACGTGATAGGGAAGAACATCCGTTTTTAGATGAATCGAATGCACCATAATATTTAACTTTTCCGGGTAGCAGTATGACTGAAGAGGACGTAAATATCTCCGGATAAACCCCAAACTTCTCCTTGTAAAAGAAATTAAATCATAAATAGGGGGTTAATTTAGGAGCTAATCGAGGTATCTGTTATTTGTAAGTATCGATGATGATAACATATTATATTCTCAACCAAAATTAGTCAAGGCTATATAACTTTCAAGTTCTAACTCTAAGGGGAATGAACAGTTGAATGGTTATAAAATTATTTACGCCTCTGGTGGCAAAATTTTAATATTCTAGAACAAGGGTACAATTTGGCATAAAGAACAGTATATTATCAAATATTATAGGGCCTAGATAAAAATTATTATTATATGAGTTGAAATAATGCCATGGTGGATTTGGTAAATTGTGCTACCGCTGGAAAAATGCAGTTATTCACCACCTAATTTAAACAATTCACCACCTGATTTAAACAATAAACTTATTGTTACAGGATATTTGCCAAAATTTTTAAGGTTGCAAATAACTTAATGCCAAATGGGATTAGCAAATAACCGTTCCACCTCATTAAACCTTAATTTTTTAGAGTTAACTGTGTTAAAGTACTAAGTCTCTAACTCAATATCATCCAAAGTCTTCGACATTGAAAACACGAATTATTTGTCAATTTAAATCAACATTGATGTTGTGATCTTACGGGGAAAAGATGGGCTTCTGATATCCAATATTTAAGACAAAATAAACATTTTACCATCGGTACACAAATCGTAATGCGTTTTAGCGCCATTTGTAACAAGGGACTCGAAGAACGCGACTACACATGTCAAACGGTGACCTCATATTCTTATCTGGAGAGCATGCGCAATAAATACTGTCGGTGTAGACCGGAATAACCAGACTTTAGAGATGGCCATTCGAATGAGACTTCTGGCGTATTTCACCGAACTTAATTGATTTGAAATCAGAGTAAAAACAGAAAAGAGTGAATGTAAATCAGATTATATACACTCATGTTACATTATTATATATATTGCGACCCATTTGTGTCAATTTCTAGGTCCCGTATATTAGCGATTTAGCTCCTTTGAATTAAAAAAACAATGAACATGCAACACTGGATTAACCACAGGGCTCGGTGAGGCCCCACTGCTAGTGGCAGTGATGAGGCCCTCTGAGGCTTTCCATCAGATTATCAAAGTCCTGCACACTGGGGCAACTTCAATCCATGGTTGGCCTGTGTTGCGGTTGACATCCCAGAATTTGTTGTAATCCGGCGATGCCACGTCATTCTTTCGACTGGCATCCATGTTGGTTTTTTTGTGTTCATTTAGCAGGAAAAGTGTATCAAGAAATATATTAAACTCCTCTTTAGCGACAATATTTTGGTTACAACTTGTGCTACTACTAGGACTGAGGTGTAATCAAGGTAACTTTGATTCAGTTTGAACCCATTTATATTTAGAGTCTTGAATGCAGAATCTGTTGCCTGTAAATCGAGAAATGCTGGTTTCTGGACTTGCATTCTTTGACAATTAGCCCCTAGACTATCATTATTTGATAATTTGGTGTGTGTAGTTTCTGTATAGACTACCTGTACATTACTTACAATATTTTGCATTTTGTTTATAACGAAACATATTTAGATTTTAATCCGGCAAGGAGGATGAGGATTTTTCCGGGGATTGTAAACGTTTATGCAAGTGTTGGGGGCAGTTTATTTAACTTTGTTTTTATCATGTATCATCATAGTATACTATTGAGCATACAGGATACATTCCCCAATTTTGAAATCATCTTAAGAATATATCTATCCATTCCATGATAATATCGAACTGCTCTGCTGGGAGCGATCTTTGTCCAAATTGAAACTAATAAAGAATTATCTACGATGGGTCAGGATAGGCTTGTGTATTTGGTGCGACTGGCCTATGAGCACGATATACTGCGCACCATAAATGTCCAAGAAACCATTACAAAATTCGCCATCGGCAAGAAAGGAAGAGTATTCCTCCTTTCATTGAACTCTAATAGGAACCTGTCGACACCATAATATTCATATGGACTTTTGAAAGACGTAGTGTTATAAGTTATAGCGAATTTTGGCTTAGATTGAAGTACGTATTGTAATTGTAGTTAGCTGTGTAATATTTCCGTGCATACATCACATCATGATCACATGAAATAGTCTGATTTCTTGATTGAATCTCCTATTATTGTACTTCTCTTACAATGTTCGATGTTCAAATATCGACTCCAGTTGGTTACTATCTCCCCGCTATTTATCACTGACCGACTTCAAATTAGGTTTGATGTAGTTACATTCGTATGTGTGGAATAATACTGCTTAAGTTCTGGTCACTTGTGTTAGGTTGGGAACCCCCCACATGCTCAAGGCCCCAGGGCCCCCTTGGTAGTAGATTATAGCGGAGGTGGCAGCCTCCGACAGGATATATATTTGAAAATCTCCAAAAATAAAACTGAAAGAAAACTTGATATGTGCCTCCTGTGACAGGGGCCTCCCAGTCCAATCGAGGGCCCCCTGAATCGTAAAACTTGAATTTTATGGTGACATCTTTCCTATAGAGCAACAAGAAATCTGTCATATTAAAGAATAATTCATAATAAAATAAAATCTCAAGAATAGTGATTCATACCTTCTTACTCCATACTGTGTATTGCAGAAAGGTGAATCATGATAGGCCTACATCAATTATGTATCAATGTAGCAGTAGCACTACTGCAAACCATGAAGCTAAAAATGACCATTTTGGCTATAATTTAAAGCTACAAATTGGAATCATTTGATTTAATATAACTTTTAGAAACATACATGTAGGCACAACACATCTAAAGCCAAACTCATACATTGCCCTTTTACTTTACTTTTAGAAGTTTATTAATGGGATTTTTTTTACATTTTCCTTTTTCAAGTAGTAGCATACAGATTGAATAGACAAAATGGAAAGGTACAATTACCATGAAACAATGACTGATCAAAGATTACTTCAAGAAAATAAATTTCTCAAAGATAAAATTGAAAACCTGAAAATTGTTATCAAACAGTATAGTAATGAATTGACATCAGAGAAAATGAAAAGCAGTGGAATGACAACAGTAGCAACCCTTTTAACTGAAACACAGAGAGAGCTACAGAGAACATTTAAACAGAAGAAAGCTCTAGAAGCAGCTGTTAAAAATCTACAGAACAGATTATTAACAAACCACTTACCTGATGATGTCTCTATAGGTGAAAGTGATGTTTACATAGCCAGTTTATGTCCTCAAACTTTGGAAAATCTAGCAAGTGAAAATGTACGTTTAAAAAATCTACTACATAACTGTGCTACAACTGAAAAGTTAGAAGAACTGAACCGAAAACAAGACGTAAGTTAATGGTTGAAATTATTAGATCTGCTGTATCTTTGACATACCCTATAATGTAAGGGATCAAAATAGAACTACATTCACTGTTCAAGAATTTTTTGCGAAGTGATTGTCCTTTGACTTAGTGAAAATGCAAAAGAGTCATTCGTTTTCATTCAATTTTAATGAAAAAATAAAATTGGTTTTTTTTGGCATCCCCTTGGATATTACGCAGAGGGATGTTTCCCCAAGCTCCATCATATGCCACTGCTATAACCTTCAACTGGGTGTATCTGCTGTTCTGCTGTGGTGGCACACTCAATTTTCTTGCACAGAAGTGAAATAGTTACTAATATTATAATAATAATAATGTACATTTGTAGAGTGCCAAATCCATCCAAAAGCATGCTTAAAGCGCAATGAAACAATAGTTATATACACAGTGAACAGAAAGTCTAATTCGCATAGCATTCCCTGATATAAGTGAGTCTTCAGCTCTGATTTGAAAGTAGTCCAAATTCCACTGTTTTGGATTTTCAGGGGTAAATCATTCCACAATTTAGGAGCAACTACACTAAATCTTCTGTCACCAAAATGTTTCAGTTTTGACTGTGGAACAGAGAATTGAACTGGCTGTGCAGTTATGAAAACTAGTTGGTTGTTGGGATAAGGAGAAGTAACAGAAGACATATATATTTTAACTTTTTTTATTACAGAATTTAATACTCTAAATGACAATGATAACAGAACTACGGCAACTCTAATAACGGAATGATTAGAGAATGAAACATATTTTTTTTATTCCAGAATATTGATACTCTAAATGACGATATAAGAGAACTAACTCTAAAAAATGAACGGTTGGAGAATGAACTAAAGAAATATCAGAATTTGGAAAAACCAGATTCTTTCAACACTATGGATTCAATACCTAATAAAGAAGTGGTTGATATTCAAACAGCTTTAAGAAAACTAGTCAACCAGTGCCAAGATTTTGACATGAAGTTGAACAAAGTCAAAGATGAAAACTCCAATAGAAAAGTTGAAACTAAACCAACAACTATTGAAAATTTACAGTCAGTAAGTCTGATATTTAATGCTAATATAGGGAACATATTATCAACTGTCATTAATCCCTTTATTTTACAATATATTTATTCAGTAAAATATAAAACAAAGAAGATATTTTGACTTTTCTAAGACTGTCACTTTTGAAGAGTAAGATTGATGCCCACTATAAGCATGACAATCCATAAAGTACATCACTCTAGAAATAGGGTGGGTTGGGTGGCTGAATGGTTAGCATGCGCTTTAGCTTTATCATACGATCTGTCATTGAGTACGTGACAAGGAGTAGGGTCGCCTGTCCAACCTCGTGGGTTTTCTCCGGGTCCTCCTGTTTCCTCCCACTGCTAAAGACCCCTACGTGCAAGCGAATGATTGAAATAAAATTGAACCATGTGTTAGTCCCGAAATGACCTAGTTTGTGTCGAGTGGACGTTAAACCCCATCTCTCTCTCTCTCTAGAAATAGGAAATACATGAAACTGGCCCATTTTATTTTTTCATGTGTAGGACATGCATGTGGTGTAGTCTGAAACTGCTGACATGTATTGGTAGATATTATTATTTTTTGGGAAGTGACAAGTGTTGGTGTCTGACATAAGCATTTTGCCTGATCCTTGATCTCCCATTCATTCATAGTGAACAAAAGATATATTACAAATGTGGGGTGTGGCAAGTAGATGTTAAGGATGATAATAATGAGCCTCTGCTGATATAGAGACTCAAAATTTTTGGTCTAGGCATGCAGCGACTGCATAAAACAGTTAACCCAAAAGGTCTGTAAAGTTGCCCAATGTTTCTCTGAATTACATGAAGATAGAAATTGATTTTCATACAATTTCATATTCTATTAGCATGTTACGACTGCATGAAACACAAAACCCAAAATATTTGTACAGTTGCCCAATGTTGCCCTGAATTTGATATAAATTGATTTTCACTTTTTGAGATTAAAATGGAAAAAAAAAACATAGTTTTAATTGGCATGTGATTTAGTTTATGATATTAAATCCATGCAGATTAGTGACTGGTATCTGTTGGCTCTCATACAGTGTGGTATAAGATATTCATATGGCCTATTTAAAATGGTTTTGTTTTTTTCAGCAACTATCAAACAATATTGAATTGTCCATATTAAAAGACCAAAACCAACAACAAAGAAAGAAATTAGAAGAGGTATGACAGAATGTAAATTTGTGTATAAACTTGTCTCTGTGAGAGGAGAAAAGTTTATTGGCTGTATAAATTGATCAAGTGGGAATGTCTTAATATTATTTGCAAGATTTATTTTTTTGAAATATGATTCATAACAAATTTTTGATAAAACAATTGTGTAGATATTTCTTGTTACAAGAAGGAGCAACATTTTGGATTCTGAATCAAATGTCAGATAAAAAAGCATGTGTCTGTATGTCCATTTAGACTACAAACCTTCAGTACTTTCCCCCGTCAGCTTCACTACAAACTGTGTATGCCTGCAGAGGTATGGAGGAAATAAAATAAACATAGGCATAATATCCAATTCAGTGTTATATGTTTCGTTGTCTTGCAAGCAGTATTTTAGATTGAAGTACGACAGATCAAATTGAGTGAATTTCTATAATGCATTTATGCCGATCCTCCTCAGTGGCATTTACTTCATGGCATACTAATTTCTACAGGTAGTCTTGCAGGGGTTTGTATATTTTTTAAAATCTATCTAATTTTTGTAGGTCAGTGCAATGAATATGAGGTGGCAAGAATACAACAGTCAGAGAGAGGAGCATGTACGTAGTCTTAACAGTAAAGTTCTTGAATTACAGACTCAGTTATCAGAACGACCAGCAATTGGTGAAGGTATCAATACAGCGCTTCGAGAAGCCTCAGAGCAAATAAAATTCACGAAGCAGGCTAAGGAACAGGTAAGATTTCACTTAAAGAATCATAATGTCAAAACTCGCTGAGGTTTCTTCATTTAATCAATACAATAAGATTGATATGATTAGTATAGTAAAGTATCTCATTAAGGCAGCATACAAAATATAGACATAATTACTTATAATACCATACATTAATGTCCATTAATGTCATATTAGTAAAGTGTCTTGTTGACGGCAGCATTCAATACATAGACATAATTACTAAAATTACACCCCCCCCCCTCTTCATCAGCCCATATATTTTCATCCTATGCACCTTTGTTTATGTATATGCTACATATTTTACAAACCTATGAACTATTTATATGATTAATATATGTTCATTTTATTTCATGTTGGTGTACCATTTTATCAAATAATAGTATGGGTGATGTGCCATTATTTACATGGGGGAAATATTTGACTATGCATGGTAGTTTCATATCAGTGCTCATTTCGGATAGTGTATCTGTATTTTAAGTTGTAAATAACGTCTCGAATAAGATATTGCATATTATATTGATACAACACAGGGCAGAAACCCTTTTGCAGTATCATTATATTACTTAGTGTCTCACTCTCGACCTTTAAACCGAACAAACGTTACACTGTACACTCCATTTCAGTTTCATAGTCTTCTGTAAATTAAACTTAGACTGCATGATATGCTTCAATTTGTTTTTGACAGGCTCAGGGAATAGCACATGAATTACAGTTAGAAGTTGATACTAAAGATGCTTTAATCAAAAGACTGGAAGCGCAGATGAGAAATGTAGGCAATCCAATGAATAATGACAATGATCGAGTTGATGTTCTGATGGCTCAGATACAGGTCTGTACAGAAGATTTTGAAAATGAGAGAAGAGATAGAGTACGAGTATTGTCTGAGTTAACAGAGTTAAGAGAGACCCATAACCAGACGAAGAAAGAGGTTTGTACAATTAGCTATAATTAAGACATTATAGATTTCCAGTACCAATTGTCGAATGGCTAAATGTATATAGATTTTTAGACCTTTAAACTTTAATATGATTAGAAAGGCCAATGTTTTGTATTTCACTGTCATAATAAATCATAGAAGGGTAGAGAGAACTGGGCTTGTATATATTCTCTCTCGGCATTTCACAGTTTTTATAACAAATGAATCATATATTTTATTTAATTCATATATTTTTTATTATAATTTTATTTTATACAGCTTGAAAGATATAAGGTGTTGAACCAGAACCGTTTTATTCCTGGTAATCAGTCGTATTATCAAGGTTCTTTTAATAATACCCAACAGTCACCAATTAGAGAGGTAAGTCAAAAACAAAATAGAATGAGTTTTGTTAATAGATGTAAAATGTATATCAATGAATGAAATAAATTAGAATGATTACGAATAGCTTCACCAATCAGTGCAGGGCTGCCGACAACCAGTATCGCGGCACAATTTGCGATACATATTTTGTCCGTTGCTAATCAAAAATAGGCCAAAATTCAAGTCGAAAAAAATAAATAGGAATAAACGAGGGGCGCTATTATAGCAGTGTGTTATTTCTTAATTTCCTATTTTCGAGTCGATTTTGGCTTGTATAGCGTGCTGTCGCCTCACATTTTGTCGTAACTTCTACTTTTCGACTTTCGTGTTTTGAAGGGACGAAAAGTAGAAATTATGAATGGTAGCTTGTGGACCTTCTAGAGGTCACAATTTTTATTTCATTTTAAAAACCGTTGAACTATGTCACTGTTACACCATAATTGTCGTCGAGTTTGAATTTTATGAGACTGACTTAATGTCTGTTCTTCTTTACACAAATAGTAGAATAATCATGTAATACCAAGGTTGTTGACCCTCTGAGGACACAATTTTTATCTGATTTTGATTACACTTAAAATATGTGTTTATATCTCAAAGATCTTGAATCCTTTCAATATTGATGCATGTCGGACAGTAACATCCTGGATTATGACCCCTGATTTTTAAATTGCTTTTTAAAACTGTCCACGACATTTATTAAACTAACATCTAATTAATCACTGTTGATTATTTTATTGTTTTGAGCGGTGTTAAGTTGGACAGTACCAAAAATTCTTACAGAAAGTAATGTGACTGGCTAAAGAGCGAATTTGCCGGTAATGCATTTACTCATACTGGACAGAACCAAAAATTCTTTTAGAAATTAATTTGACTAGCTAAAAAGCACAATTGATGCATTTACTCACATTAAATTCTTCTTTATCCATTTCTATTTTTTCAGCAACAGCTTTCATCTAGAGGACGTGCTGAAAGTGAATTGGTAATTGATGGACCAGGATTTTCACTGAATGGAGCACAAGGATCAGACATTAGAGATGATAAGAACTTATCTAAATCATTACCTGTGTCATCTGCTCATTCTAATATTGAAATCTTGTGTTGTCCTAAATGTGGAAAGGATTTTTCTGAGGGTGAAAAACTTATAACTCATATTGAATCATGTGTTGAGTAAAGTGAAAAACTTATTTGCTCTTGTATGTTTTATTTAGACATAATCAATACTTTGTATAGATAATAAATACTTCACATATACATTTAATGTACCAATGCAGATACATGTAGATGTGTTTTACTTCTGTTATAATTTCAGGTAATGGTCCTTTACTTACTATATACTGAGACTCAATGAAACGCACCAATTATTTGACTGAAAGTGCATGCAAGATACAATGCAGATGCTGAGGCTTTGTCACATGTTGACATACATATCTTAGTTGATCTCTAGTGGTACTATATAGTTTTACCTGGCAAAACCCCAACACATATTAGATTGGGCTTCAAACAGAAAAACTGTCATTTTTTTTCTTCAAAACAAGGGTACAAATCATTATTTTTAAATCAAAGCAATAATAGCCGACTTTCTCCCCACATTTTAAATTTGACAGCCTTACATCATGAAATATGTCATGTAAAACAGCCAATTAAAAATATACAAAAAGTAGGATAACCTTTATAGGTTGCAAGAATAGCCTTTTCAATTCTGTTAGAAACACTGTTTGAAAACTTTACTGACAATATACAGATAAACGAAAGTTGTATCATTACATTAGGCTGGGTATGTTCAATTTGTCCTAATAGTATAGTATAAAATTAACTTATTCAAAGATGTTAAATGCATTAATAAAAAAATTAAGTTTGCCAGGTGAAACTAAAGGCACCCAATCGTAGCTAAAAACAAACCACAGTTTATCTCAACGTTTTTACCAACGTTCTCGTAGCTATAGTGGATCCTGTCCACTTGAATCGATCGGCCAGTGACAAGATGGTTGTATTATGGCATTCAAATCCTCGGACGATGGGTATGGTACACATCCTCTTGAATTAACGCCAGGTAGTGTTCTCGATGGTCAGATCTTCCACAGAACTATAGAACTAGAAGTTGTAAGGACCCTAGCTTTTTAAAGGCCCAAAATCATGATTTTTAACATTCCCATTGAGATCATTTATCTATGGTGAATTTCCACAGTTATGAAAACATCCTTCTGAAGTGTTGTAATCATAAACTGATGTTAGATTGCAAGATTATGAAAGTGTTGTTTTCATTGTATCTCAGTATATAACCAAAAAAAATATCCTCTTGCATGAATAATCTATATTTATTTAAATTGTAAGTCTGTTAAGGAAACTGACGATTACTTTATTTTTATATATAAGAATATTTGTAAAAATGATAATACATCTGTTAAAACAATCATATATTTCATATATTCTAACTGTGATAATATTAAAATCTGTTAATGATGTCTTAATTTTATATTTTGTTACAAGTTCAGTACCCTTTCATCAAGATGTTTATGTTGTACTCCCATATTTAAAGGGGAAGACCAAAGATTTTCAACAGGTTTCCATAAATCTTAAATATATATTCAGAAATAATCCCCTCTGTATTACAAGCAAAAAAAATTTTGCAAGCGAGTAATTAATTTTTATTATAACCGAAAGTGATGTAATTGGTTCAACATGTTCACTGGTCTCTATAGTAAGCATACAGATTTGGCATAAGTTTACCACTTATTTTATCCATGCGTCGTCGCTTGGCAAAAAATGTGATCTAAGGGACTCTTTATTAGGATATTATAAAAAGCATTTCCTGTTCATGGTAAACAGAGCGATAAGCAATTTGATTGGCTGAGACTTTGGAGCACAATATCTCTCCTTCTAGTTGAGGTAGAATGTTCAAAATTGGTGTGAGCTAGAATGTTCACCCTTGACGCAGGTGTTTATTAGGTGAATGCCTTGATGGAGTTCGGGATTAAAAGATGAGAATTTTCTGCTTAGGGTAAGCAGAGATAAGCAATTTGATTGGTTGATGATTTGGGACATCAATACGTTGACTAAGTTCCATAATAAGCATTTTCTGCTTAGGGTAAGCAGAGCGATAAGCATTTTGATTGGTCGAGACTTTGGAACACAATAACTCTCCTTCTACTAGTTGAGGAGGTAGAATGTTCAAACTCTGCTTTTAATTGAGGTAGAATGTTTAAACTTGATGTTCATTAGGTGAATGTCTTGACTGAGTTCAATGATTAACATTTTGAGCTAAAGCTAAACAGAGCTAAGCAATTTCGTTGGTCGATGCTTTGGAAAAGATAACTTTGATTCTATCTGATAGAGAGTGATAAAACTTAGTGTATAGTTGATAATCAGTTTGATTGATTGATACTTTTGAAAAAAAATAAATGTGCGATTAATTAATAAGTGTCTTTTTTTAATTTTGGGTTTTCGGCTGGGGACATCAGCCTCACTGTTGGCTTGTTTTGTCTGCTTCAAATTTATGGACATTTGAGACATACCGGTATATATATATAGTGAACGATTTTTCCTTTCATTTCCTCTTGAGAATGGCTGGGCTTGAATTTGTATATGGCATTGTATACAGTTGACTAATTTTCAGAAGCGATATCTTATATTCCGATACGTTGGTGTGTGATGTTGACATAATTTGAATATATATGAGCCACAAGTCCGTTGAAATATATATAAACGCTGTCAGCATGCACAAAAACATTCAAGCAGATGAAATATCTGTAACTGCCGGGTGCCAAACAAACCATGTGATGTAACCATGAGTGTGAATTGAGCCACAGCTTTCTGTTCTGTATTAATAAATTTTCGCATCAGAGTTTTGTATTATTGTTAAAAGAACACAGTTTCATATTTATAATCTCCTAATAAACAAACAGTCACTTAGATCAAATGTTGTCCAAATTACGATGCGTTCAAAGCACAAGATAATGATATAGACATAATTATGTGATATCACATTAATGCTTTGCATCAATCAAATTGAATCGCAATGTGATCCTATTACTTCATAATAAAAATTGATGCCAAATGGGTTTTGGATTTCTTTCTTTAAAAAGCTCAGTGTGTATGTATGCCTACATAATTTAGAGACGATTATGGCATCATGCATTGTCAAATTTCCACAACAGGAACCTGGAAAACCCCCTCCTGCAAAAGTTCCTGGATCCGCCCATGTGTTTGTGCTTGATCCGCAAGGCTCTAAAAGGCTACCTTGCAAATAAAAATGCAGTTCTTATTTCTGATAATTATTTTCAGGTATCGAATCATTTGTATGGGACTAATGTACAAATTGGTAGTGCATGTTAAAAGATCAACTGACATTTGGAATTTAAAATTAGAGCAGCTGTAGCCAGCTATCCAGGCCAAATTTGCTTCAAAGCAAATAGTATCATGAAGATGTGACTAATAATTGTCTGGCCTGCTTGGATGAATGATTAATGATGAGACTGCCAAAAATAAATGAAGAAATCGTGATTAAATTTATTTATTTACTTAATTACCATATATATATGTTGTTAATATAATATTTTATTTTCCCTTCTATTTCTACAATCAATAAGCATTGAAAACAGTCCCATTTATTGTTCAAGAGAACAATGTCTCACTAATATATCAAAGACAAATTTATCCACAATTAAAGCTAAATATATCTTAAATTTAACAGCAGTATTATTGCACAATAAAAGAAGAGAAATGTAAAAGGATTATTACAATATCAGGTTTTCTTCCATAAATAAAGGTCTAACCCACTATTAATATATTAAAGCAAAATAACATTTTGGTAAATAATAATATTTTTATCATGATCACATAAATTTATGAAACATTCAGTTTTGAAAGACGAATTTCTTCACAGTGTGTTTGGAGATTTCTGGCCATTTTTTGTTGGACTGGCAAGACATTTGTAATACATTACAAAAATAAAATTAAAATGATATGGAAAAGGTTCAATTTCATATACTCACAAAACATTAAAATCTTGCAATGAGTATGCATTTTGAATAACCGAAAAAAGGCACAAACAACTCACAATTGCTGATGAACGAATTACAATACTGGAATGTATGAAGTTGGTATGCAATTCATTAAGGAGTTGTTTAATGCTGTTAAACTTTACTATTAAATATAACATCAGAATTTGCAGCATAGTCTATATGTAGAGAACGTTTGATGGCTTTAGCACTGAGTGATGCTGCTCCAACAGCTCCAGATGTTTTTAATCTTATTAATGTCACTTCGTTAATTCCTAATTGACTGCCCTGCTCTTTTAAAACTTCCATGAATCCTACAATAAAACCAAATATTAGTCCTGATACTCAAAGAGAGAGAGAAAGAAATGGGGTTTAACAACTAATCAACAAAAAAAATGTCATTTCAGATATAATTTTATTCCAATAATTTGCTTTGTGAATGGGTCTTCAGTTGTAGGAGGAAATAAAATGATTGCTGGTTTCTGTAGCTTTGGTTGTCAGTTAAACCTCTGTATACATTTATACTGAAACATATTGAGTTAAATAGTATTGCTGATCCTACCAGATCCATTTTTCTAATAACTTCTTGCAGAGATCTTATTATAAACAACCCATGGTTTTAAACCTTTTATCAAATTCGGTATAGTATTAAAAGAAGTTACCAGGTTGTAGAAGAGACCAACTTTTAAACACTGAACCAACACATACAATATGTAATCCTCCTTTACCATTTATTAATACCTGTAGAAGATATTGATATAACATTGAATAATGATTCTAATTTCTATAATGGGTTTAAAGGAGAAAATCATTTGGAGAGAGATATGTGGGTTTTAATGTCCACAAATATGGTACAATTTTAGATTAAAAGCTTGCTTGCACATAGTTTTTTTTAAAGCTTTTTTAGCAGAGTAAATTTTACAGAAAGTCATAACATCTTTTAATTAAAATTTGAAGATAAATCATGCTGTTGATTCATTTGGTGGGCATTTAGATGCAAACTGCTTGGGCTACTTGATTAAATGTGGCATGAGGAGATAAACTGAGGTGTTACATTCATAATGACAGAGAACACAAAAGATCATCTGGAAGTCAGAATTTGAAACTGTCTGGTCGGAATTCTCTTCTTTAGTACTATCAAAAGTGTCTACAATTTTATTTTAACAAGCAGAAACTGAAATAATTACTTTGTCCATCTTTGGCGCTACAGCAATAATATGCGACGCCATAATTTTACCAGCTTCTTTAAATATATGACAAACTAATGCATCTTTAGGTTCTGAAGGAAAAAAATATATAAATAAGTGATACAAAAAATAAATGTTACTGCAAGAATAACTGTCAAGTCCATCAAAAGTTTGCCATGAGATTTACAGCGAGAAATACAAGATAGGTTAGTCTCAATGTTTAGAATAATACCAAAGCATACTGTACCTTGTGCAATTTCTTTACAAAATCCAGCAATAAAGGCTTTTTCAAATTTGGCATAGAAATGATCTAGGATTTCACCTCTTGTTTTAATCTATAAACAAAATAGATTAGATTATAAGAATGGGTGGGGGGAATGGGGTGGGGGGGGGGGAACATAAAAAAGACAACTCCCTTTATTTCGTTCTAGTTACAAACAGAAATGTTATGTGGACATTTATATCATAAATTAATTTCCAAGATGTTTCCAAATTTCCAATTGGCTATTCACTTACTTTAAAATATTTCAACATGGCATCTCGAACAAAAGTTGTATCATAGGCACATGGTATAAGATTATCTTCATGATCAAAATACAACTTAATGGCTCTCTGACCAATCCAGTAAGCTAAAACAAGAACAAATTACAATATTACTTTCATAAGATAAACAAATGCCCACAAAAATAAGGTCTTTTGTTCAGAGTCATCTCCAATATAGCTAATACAGTTAGTGTGACAACTCTGAGCTTTAATTTAAAGCCAGCCAGCAATTTGTGGTGTTCAATATCATACTGGTCATCAATGATATCCCACTGAAAACTAGGAGGAAGAATGAAGAGTTTCACAAACAATAGACGGAATAAATAAGGGGTTTAATGACTAAAACTACAATTAGGTCATTTTGGACAAGCATATTATTCATTGTAGTTCTTTATTTCTAGTATTGTCCTATCCAGAAGAACCTGACATGCATAATCTTGGAACAATAACATCATCAAATTAGTGACAAAACACAAAAACTGAACCACAATACTCTGGATCATTAGTTATCCCAAACCACCAAATTGCTTGTCAACAAACATAAAATTCCTACCTGAAGCTTCATCTCCAAGCAAATGTCCCCATCCACCACATCTATGCGTTGATTCATCTGGATTTATAAGCTGGCAATTAGAACCTGTACCTGCTATCATTACAACACCACCTACAATTTAAATGTACATTGTCATAAAAATCAATTTTAAAAAAAAGGGAGACCATTTAATCCTGACAATGCACACCAATACCTACCATTTGATAGACCTGTTGCTAGCGAACCAAATGTATCACTAGTAACTGAAATACTCTCTGCTGCATTAGGGTAATTCTGGGATAATCCTTCTTTCAACTGAATTTGAGAAGCGCTTTCATCACCCCCACTTAAAGACAGACCCTGAAAGTATTCATTTTATAAAGATATTTAAAATTAAAGATATATTTATTTGACAGCCATAAACATAAATACATTACCGCTGACCGGAAAATGGATTTAAACTACCAAGAAAAATATATATATCAAGCCAAACACTTTTTATTAATACAAATTCTAATGCAAGAGCTATTACAAATGACACATCCAACTAATTGTAAGAAAGCAAGTGAATGAGCACACTAGAAAGTGTATATATTGCTTGGCAACAGTAAACCCTGAAATTAGAATAAAATATCTGATCTGTAGTTGACCATATAGAACAATTTTTTGTCGATCCAGAACAATTTCTTGGCAACAGCAGACCATGAAATTCGAATGGTGAGTTTATTATAAAATTTGAGTCTATAATTCTATTTTTCATGGTCATTAGAAAATTCATACTTTGAGATAATAATAGGTTTCAGGTGCCAAATATTATTCTAACATAAGTACAGATCATTGCTACAATTGGTAGTCTTCTAATGTATAGGAATTAACAGTGAGCGGAAAATCAGTGTAGCTGATACTGCTCTCTACATCAGTCGGAAACTACACTTTCCGATTCTTCTAATCTTTGTTATGGATCCACCAAAGCAAAGATTTCAATTTTAAAATTATATTTGGAATGTGTTTAACCAGTTCTATCACATGCGTAAAATTGACGAACACCAACATTGTACTCTAATATACAATGAATACAACAAATCAAATATCTGATATTTACAAGTCCTTTCAATGGCATTTTAACATCTAATCCAGCTTTCTGTTTAGCATCTTCTGTCATTGTGTTTATTCTCTTCAAACATTCATCCAGTCCAATCAACTGTAAAATAATATAAATTGGACATATAAAATATTGTCGGAAGATTTTTTTATTGTCAGAAGATTTTTTTACTTTGTCTGAGGATCCACACCTTCCCCAAAAAACCTTATAAATATCACATAATTTCATAATGTTTACAGAATAAGGGGGGGGGGGGTATTTATTGTCATCTATATTGGAAATGAAATGAAATGGGGTTTAACATCCTACTATTTCCTAACCTGGGCTAATGAAGACGGGCATACGCCATACAGTGTGCTATGAGGAAAATTTTGCCCGGGCAGCGGCGCTACGGCCTACTCTTATATCAAATTCCAACTGCCAAGGGATCTTTTACATGCAAGCCAATGTGTACACGGGACCTCATTTTTTCGTCCCATCCGAACGACTAGACAGCTGTCCTTGTCAGGCCCTCCATCCTGCGTCACTGACAAGGGGAAACCAAGCCGGAAAACATCTATATTGGTTTAATTCAAAAGTATACTGGGCACTATTTATTTTTGAATATATATATGTGCGTGCCGGCAGTAAACCTTTTGCTTCACCTTTATTAAAGTTCAAAATTAAACTATAAGATAGGTTTAAACAAGGCAAACATTTATCCACACTTCGTTTAAAGACTTCAATCTAATTCTATAAAGTGTTTATTATTGCCTTGAAATCTGGGCTGTACTAAAACTGATGTTTATTTGTTGCATGATTCCAAAAATCAATGGAATTCCTAATGTAACCACATACAGCTACACTATTTCATCACAGTATTGAAATTGGATGACAGTGCAAACTTGGTTCTCTTGATTTTTACCCAATGCAAATAAAAATATGCCTTTCTATCCATTAAAATTTGTCAACTTTGAGGTCACAATGTTGGCTACAGGTTCTTCTAACAGTGGATTGGGAAATTTCCATAGATCAAAATCTATCAAATACTAATCTTTTTTAAATTGACTAGATTTGTTTGATTTCAGTTAAAAATAAAATTGTCATTTTCATTGAATTTTATGTATTGAATTGTTTTGTGGGATGATAATCTATCTTCGTTCAAAATTTTTGTCAATTGATAATGCAAATGTTAATTGTATGTTCCTATATAGTAAGTGCAGGAGGACCGCACTACACGTAAAACAAAAATTTACAAGATAAACCTGCGGACAAGACAGAAAATAGACATTGCACCAAATAAACAAATATCAAATTAGGTGAATGGATCTGGGGGCCAGCCGTACAGTAAGCCAGGTTTTAAACAATATAAGTAAACAAGTTGACTTCTGGTTATTCTTCAGAAAAAATATTTAATCATACAGAGTTATTCCATCACTAATCGAAATAACATATTTATTTTGACCTAAATCAAAGAAGTTTAGCATCCTTTAAACTCACCCACTGATTAGTACAACCACTTTCACTCCATGCCATTACTTTCCCATCTGAACGCATAATCACCATCTTTGATTGCGTGGCACCTCTACAAAACCAAAATGGTTATCATGAAACAAGGAATTTGCCAGGGGAACTTGCCTTATAAAAATTTGTATTCCATTACAGTTATCTTAAAGAATAGCTGACGATGCTTTACAATTTATACATTTCTGAAATTCTGTATACTGTGAATGTTCATTTCAATAGATATATGAAAATATCAGGGCAATAAATATGAAAATATGTTCAGTTCTGTTGCAGACAACTAGCTTAGCTTAATTAGGCATATTTTTTTTTTAAAGAATTCTGATGAATATTTTAAAAGGGATTCTTTTCAGTAGTGTCTCAATCAAAAAATAAATATAAGAACAGCAGAGGTATTGGTCAGTATTGAATGAATGAATGAAATGCTATAATTGAAATTTTGCCTGGGCAGAAAATGAATTCCAAATGTCAAGGGTTCTTTCATGTGCACATGACCTTGGGTTTTCATATCATCTGAACGACTTAACACTGTTGCTTTCCAGCCCCTCCATGCTGCACCACTGACAAGGTAAAACCAAGCTTGAAAATCCTAAGTCAATACTTATTGATTTTTACCATAACCGATTATTTAGATATATCAGATTTTAAATGATTAACTAATATGATAAAGTTTGAAGTTTTCAAATGTCATTCTTCAAAGGAATATCTTTTAAGAGATTTTAATATGGTAGGCTTATAAAAGCAAAACTTGAAAGAAAAAAAAGACAGCCTGGGACTACCAGGACTTTTATAATAAAACACTATGATCTACCATAAAGATAACCTATATCATGATATGCTTTATATTTTTACTGATATGCACATTGTAGTTCTAACCTCCCTATATATTTGATGGGGTTCTTCAAATGCCATTAAAATTATATTATATAATCTTCTCATGTATTGCGACTTACAGATAGTGGTAATATTGTAGAGACTTTAATGAAAGGCACATTCTGTCCATCTGGCACAAGAAACATGTCTGAATGGCAGGGAATCAAAATGTGTCAGCGAGTAAGGCACTGGCTCGCTAACCTGGAGGTTCTGGGTTCGACCCCGGTATTGGCAGAGACAGTCTGTCAGGACTCTCTGGCATGGTTTCCCCTTGACGTTGTCATTAGTGCAGGATGGATGGCCTGGCAAGGAACAGCGTCTAGTCATAGGGATGGCACGGTAAACCTGAGGTCCAATATATCTCGCCGTGCACATAAACCCCGATTTCATTTCATTTGTCTGAATGGCATGTCTACAATTAACTCCAAAACACAAAATAAAATCCCTCATAACTTGTGTATCCATAAAGAATTGTTTGGAAACCATTGGAAAAATTATCATCTTTCATCTTTCGTGAGGACAATCGCAATCACATTTTTGCTGGACAGTGATAGGCTTGTCAGCTCACTGGTCAAATGTTTGCAATTGTCCATGGAAGGTTGTGTTTGCATCAAAAAGCAATTAAAGATACATGTTATTAGGCTTTTTTAAAGAATTTCTTTACCAATTAAACAACTGGTAGAATACAGCACTACTTTCTGACCATGTCCAATTATAATGACTTAACACCTGTCTTAACATTCAGAAATTGTAAATTCTAGCTGTCACCTATCTTAAAGAGCACTATCCACGTAGTGTTAATGGTGACAATACCGGTAGACCTACAATAACAAAAGCACAGAGTTGCCTAATTGTACCCACCATTAATTAAGCCTGCACATAGAGGAATTGTAACTACTATCAGCTACTATCCATAGCTCAATGGTGACCATAACTGTACCGTGCAGTAACAAAAGCATGCATAAATTACCGGTACTATTAAAATGAATAAAAAGTCATTTGGAGTGATGAGATACCGCTATTTAACCAATATCTGAGACCAATTTTGGTCATTCATAAATTAAATTGACACGTACTGAAAATTTTGGCCATTTATTAATTAAATTGACATATAAATAACTGCAAATTGATTGCCCAAAGTGCAGTGCAGGCTATAGTCAGTGGTGGTGGTCAACTATGTGCCAGGATTTTCCAGTCCCCAAAACATTGTCGGGCACACAAAACATTGTCGGATTTACTTAATAATTTACACAAAAGTGTTCGCCTTATTTTATTTTTTGGGCTTTATAAAACTTTTGTTGATTTAATGTATCAATGATGATCAATAATCAATGTGCAAAGTTTTGTGTTTCTGCATCAAAGATATTTCTCATAAACTGTTGTACTTTTGAGCTTGAAATGGCTAATTCAAATACTGGTATGTTTCGGTACAATAAAATATTATCTTATTTTATCTTCTTAGTTGTTTCAAATATAAATATACCGTGGCTAACTAAATAAGTACCGGTAATTAATATTATACTTATCCAAAACAATATAGTTAATAGCAGTTGTGTTACCCTTCAATTCCACCGAAATACAAAAAATCTCCATCAGCCATTGTATATTGATATGCCAGTCACTGCAATGAACTGTTACACAAATATAAACTGGTTTCAAGCTAACCCACTTTTTAAGACAAACATCAATAAATGCTTTCGATTGCATTAAAAGGGAGATAACTGTTAATAACACTTCAAATCCGAAGCAGACGGACGAAGTTAATTTCAAAGCAAAAAAGCTAACATTCGTACAACAAGTTTCTCTACTTTAGGTAAGAATTAAGAATTATTACCAATATTTAGTTTTTCCTTTGTGTAAATTAACATTAGGCTACATTTTGTTTGGCAATATGCAACCAACAGTGGTTAAAGAGTTCAAAAAATAGAATTGACACACATCAAAATTTACAGTGTTACACCCAACATCTGACAGGCACACCAACTGTATGCCACAATCTGTCAACAGAGATCTTATGACCTAAAGAGAACACATGAGACCATTTGGTAATTTTGGTGTAAAACAATATTGTCGGCTGGGTAACCGTAAACACAGGTATGGCCTCATGACCATTTGAACAATGTCGGCAACTTTCGCAAAGTTATCTCAGAATCAACCTGTTGAATATTTCCACGACTCTACGATTCATTGACATTCCATTCAAAATAGGGGATCACGTGGCTAAGTGGGTAAGACGATAGCTCGCTAGCTTGGAGGTCGGGTGTTCGATCCCTGCATTTGCCGAGAAAGTTCATCCAGATTTTCCGGCGTGGTTCTCCCATGTCAGTGATGCAGGACGGAGGGGCTGACAAGGAAAGCTGTCTAGTCGTTCGGATGGGACGAAAAACCGAGGTCCCGTGTACACATTGGCGTGCACGTAAAAGATATATAAGAGTAGGCCGTAGTGCCGCTGTCCGGGCAAAATTTCCCTCATAGCACACTGTATGGCGTATGCCCGTCTTCATTAGCCCAGGTTAGGAGCAGAACAGTAGGACGTTAAACTCCATTTCATTTCATTTCATTTCATTTCCATTCAAAATAGCAGTTGGGTTCACTTCGCCACAATGACAAGTCGAACAGTAGGCCTAGCTATTGTATGTAGGGTTTACAAGGTTTTGATGACAGAGCCAGAGGCTATAACTCTGTAACAGGGATGGGATTTCGCCCGTATATTCCGGACTTGTCCGACGCTGTTTTCCAAACGTTCAAAATTGTCCGACCAGGAATATGCCCAATCGGACATCAAGACATGGTGAATAATATTCAAAATTCCAAAATTAATATAGTGTACTGAGTGTATAACTACCCCTCACCCCGATTATCGTTGATTATAGGCTGGATTGATTAGTTAATTAAGTGATCAACGTATTTATCCTGTTATACCGGCTATACACCTTCCTTGATTAACTACTTAATCTGCCATGATTGACTGATTTAATCCTTTGTCGGACAATTCATCAATCTAATCTCAAAGAGAAGTCATTGCTTCCCCTTTGTCGGACTATTCATCAATGAGATAAGAGTGATTATAATTTTAATCCACGCGTTTACCTCGTGGTTCGCATTGATGTGAGCCGACAGCATCTATAAAATAGTCATAGATGTCACATATCGTAAGAGTACATAACATCCTAAATCAATGGACAGTCATTTTGTCTGCGATATCTTTTATGTCTTTTAATTAAGACTCCATATAGAAATTCTCATCCACAGTGGCACTTTCCTGTGATCTCGATTGCTGTACGAAAATTGCTTAACATATAAGGCAGTGCTTACTATGAAGCTATGTGAGTCACGTACGCCATAATGCTGAAGTTAGCTATGCCTTTGCACGAGTAATTCAAAGGAGCTAAATCGCTAATGTTTGGTACCTAGAAATTGACACAAATGGGTCGTAACGCATATAATAATGTAATAGGAATATATATAAACTGATTTACATTCAATCGTTTCCATTTTTACTCTAATTTCAAATTAGTTACGTTCGGCGAAATATGTCTGAAGCCTCAATCGAATCAAAATTTCTAGCGTCTGGTTATTCTAGTCTACATAGTATTTATTGCGCATACTCTCCCGATATGAATATGCTGTCACCGTTTGACATGACTTGTTGAATGTCTAGCCTCGTTCTTCGAGTCCCTTGTTAGAATGGGCCTGAAACGCATTATGGTACACGGTTTGTGTACCAATGGTAAATGTATATTTTTTGTTAAATATTGGATATCCTAAACCCATCTTTTCCCGGTAAGATCATGACATCGATGTTGATTTAAATTGACAAATAATTTTGTGTTTTTGATGTCGAAGATTTTGGGTTAGAGACTTAGCTACTTTAACTATTAATGTAATTCAAGAACTAATCTGAATTTGGATAGGTTTCATTCTTAATATCCCAAAAGTTTTGAAAATAAATCTGCAAACTCTAGTAACAAGAAATTTGACTCTTGGACTGACTGACCGGTAATGAACATAATGAATTAAAACATTTTTCAGTCAAGAAATATTTAATAGCTATATTTATAATACATATATACAATGTTGTATGGAAAATAACAAAGAAAGAAGAAACCACAATTCTAATTCCAGAAACAAAATTGAAAAAAATTTGATATAAATCTACATGTAACATTTTACTTTTTATTTGGTTTAGGGGTTTACAAGAAATGTTCATTTTATTCAGAAAAGTTGCTTGTCTCTTTTCTTTATAAACACGAGTGTAATGCAATATAAATGTAAATATTATTATTAAGATATGTTTGATAGACTGGTAACCAAATCTGGACTTTATTTTACATTCAAGATGTATTGTGTTCAAGCTTTGGTATTTTTTTTTTTTTTATATAAGTTCAGGATAATACATTATATCATAAAGTGCAGCATCAGGAATTGGAATTAAAATTTGACTGATTTGTTTCTATCAAACCCTCTCTTTTGTCCATGTGCTAAAATTCATAATAAAAAGCACACAATTAATTAATGAATAAAATTGAATGTTTCTGTTAATGGTGATAGTTATAAGAATATTCTATCAGTTGAATTACATATAAAATAAAAGAATGTAATTCTGCTTATACTCTCACTCTTAAAGATGTACGATATGTTAAAAAGGATCTTTACCATTATTGGAGCCACTGTGTCTCAGTCTAGTCCTGTGTTAGCCAACAATGTTCCAGAGGATTTTCAGCCTGGTTTCCCCATGTCAGTGAGTGATACAGGATGGATGGCCTGGGTACAAAGAAGCATCTAGTTGTTCTGATGGAACTGGAAACTGATCATGAGGTCCATGTAACAATTAGCAGCATCTTAAACATTCTAGATATTTGGAAATCGAAATAGAGAGAGAGAGAGAGAAATGGGGTTTAACTCCCACTCAACACAAACTAGGTCATTTCGGGACTAACACATGGTTGAATTTATTTCAATAATTCGCTTGCACGTAGGGGTGGGAGGAAACCGGAGCACCCGGAGAAAACCCACAAGGTTGGACAGGCAACCCTAGTCCTTGTCATGTACAACTGGGGAATCGAAACCACGCTAGTTAGAAATCGAAATAAGAGTAACAGTATGTCATACTCATGGTGTCCCGGTTTGGTTACCCATAGCGAGTACAATCAGGCAATTACAGATATATTCTAGATAATATACTGAACATTACAAAAAGAAAGAGACAAAAAAAAATAAAAAATAAATAAATAAATCACCAATTTCTAATAAGGGGTTTGAAAGATTTTTTTTTTTTTATGCTATAGGTTTTATGTTTGTATATTTCATCTTCGAGTTCAGCAATGTATCTAATTTGACCAGAATTGGAAAAAAATTCAGGATTCAAATTCGCCTCTATTGAGGATTGAACAATGATTATGGATGTCTGTTTATTAAGAACAGTTAAACAAAGTGAAATATTTTTACCTGTAAAAGTGTAATAGAAATAATAATATAATTTGTTTACATAAAGTCAGAGGATTAATTTGAGAAGGATTATGCAAATGAACTGTACAAGTAAAAGAAATAAAACCCTCTAAAATGAAAACAGTGCAATTCCCAAAGAAAAACTGTGGGTATTATTACACTGTAACAAAACATCATGGCTACTCATGACATAAGTACTTATAAAATATATTATATATACATCTGTACATAATTCAATTATTTATTAAAATACTTCATCGTCATCATCATCATCTTCTTCTGATTTACTTCGTATAGCATTTTGTACAATATTCATCACTTTAAATATCTGAGATTGTCTCATATTCTTTATGTCTGTAGGGCTGTCTGGTATTTCTATGTCGTCTAATTCTTCTTTTATATTTGTGTTGGACACCAACTTCTAAAGAACAAGATAAAAAAAAGTCCTATTTAACCGAGGAACTACAAAATTACATCCATGGTCACCCAATATGAAAGACAAAATTTAATATCTCATCAGTAGGACAACAATAAATTTAAAGTATCGGTAAACTGTAATACTATTTGATAATTTATGCGAAATTGTATTAGACGACTATAAATGCACCAGAAGACATGTTTTATAATTTGATAAATATATGTTTTATTTGTATTCTCCATTGTCAGTATATTAGCTATGGTATGAGTTTATTTAAAACGCAAATTAAATTGTTTGTGAAATAAAGCGAGAATAACAGGAAAAGGGGTCTAGGTTCAAGGATAGATTCTGTGTCTAAAACCACGTGATCAGAAAGTTACCATTTCATATTTAGCATGAGTGACCAATCACATGATTAATTACATCATAATTAGCCAATAATTTAATAGATGGCTGTGAATCTGATATAATTAACAGAATGTGAGCTCTAGATAGACACCAGGCAGAATCTAAGAGAGGAGAGACCGATGAGGTTCAAGGGACACCATCTGGTTTCAGAATGCCCTGGTAAGTCGTAGGAGAGCTATATGATATATTGGGATCCGTCAGTAAACTCGTTCTATGGAATGGTGGGGTCGAGAGAGTGGAGAATGACTTTGTTATAATTTATGCTTGTAACCATGTAATCTATATGTAGCAGTGCTTAATATAAAATGTAGAAACGAAATGTGGTATTGTTTTTCCTGTGTGTAACCCATAAACTGAATAAGTGGCAGAATAAATACACAATATTTAAAGTGGTGTCCTAAGAAGAAAATGAAAAACGAATATAACCAGAGACAATAATGGACGATCAAGAGCTGTTTCAAAATATGTAGTAAGAAACGATGCGTGGGTTATACGCAGGATGTGGCAACCAGTTATAACTGTTGTCCGCTCTCCACGTCTGTCAGACGACCCATGGTGTTACAAAACGAAAACCCCCAGCTTACCCGTAATTTAGATTTACCAATAGCCTTAATTGTAGATCGACCTTTTTTGGTATCAGTAGGGTTATTTATAGGACTACCAGCCATTGAAAGAATTCTTTCACCTGGTTTAGGATCACGGACAAGACCAGGCGTAAATGGAAGTCTGGAAAATATAATTACAAAGTAAAATGAGATTCATAAAGATAAGACATGATATGACCTTAAATTGTACCATTGTGAAACAACTCACAAAAATATGCAAGATTTAACAGATAATCCAATCAATATTACTTTTTTTAATAGTGTAATAGCCTGTAAAAGCTGTTGAATTTTATAGTTAAGATGTATCTGTGGTTAACATTGTTACCATGTTTGAAAATAGGGTTTTGAAAAATATGCTAGTTTTAGAGTTTAATATGACCAAGTTGGGTTATTACATGCTAATTTTACAGTAGAATAATTTAAATTTTACCTTGGGTCAAATTTAGGTGTTATAAGTGGTGTGGCCCAGCCTGCTGATGACATTGTTCTGCCAGCTGGAGTCATTCTGAAATAAAATACCAGACAATTTTCATAAAATATTTATTCTCAAATAGTAAAAAATAAGAGCCCATCAAAAAAGGTTTAATGTCGTGCGAGGGGTAATTCCATTTCAATTAAGGGTTCTTTGCGTAAACGCCAATATGTACACAGATTATCCAGCATTTTTCTATCGCATCCATTCCAAACAACTAAGCCCAATTTTATTGAGAAGTGGCAACAAGTTTGATAAAGATGATGTAGGCTATTCAAAAAGTAATGTTATTGTTATATAAACTAACCGTAATCTACTAGATGATGGTGGTGGAGCAAGGTATGATTCATTTCCTTTTGTGTTTCGTTTTCTTGATGATTTCCTTACGGTGGTCTTCTTAGTGGCTGTCCTCTAAAATAAAAGATTTTATATTAATTTAAACATTGTATTTAACATTAAGAGAATCAGTTCTGAACATAACACCACCCTCTTTGTTTATTACAATTAGCCTACCTTTCTGACTTGTCAAAATAATGTAATGTTATTTAATTCAACTGTTCTGTTATTTTGATTACTGGTGGGGCAATGATTCAATATCCATTTCAGAACAGTGGCTGGAACTTGTTCTGTTTATAAATTTTATTTCCCTTTTTGACAGAAAAGTGAAAGTGGAGTAAAACTGTGAGATTGCAATGTTAATTTCCATATGACTGGTTTATGCACATTTTCTATTCAATTCAAATGAACTATATTGGTTCAGTAGTAGTTGAGATAGGGCTGTACGATATTCTCGATATAGTCATTTATCGCGATATGGTATTTTCAGACCCAACTACGATATCATGTGGCCAAAAATCGTCGATATAGTGGTTTATTGAATATCGCCAAAGACTTCAAATATCGAAAAAAATTATCATAAAAATAGATAATAAATACACTATACAGCAGTGGAAATTAGCCGACGGCAATAAACTGTAATAAAACTAATGTTTTGATAATCGTTAAATGTTGAAAACACTTGCGCAGTGTCCGCAGCCGTTTTTCACTGCATCGTGTATGCGTTACTTTTACTTTGTTTTTAGTCGACAATAAATTGTCAGTTGTTACTACATGTAAAGCTTAGGCCTACTAAACGCGTGAAATTTCCCACTACCGTGGCTAATTGCCAGGCTATAAATAGGTTGTCATATTTTTAAAAAACAAATATTTTTAGAAAACTCTACGAAACTTAATTTCTGAAAGCAGGAATAAAACGATCTATAAATAGATTATTGTCACTGTTAGGCCAGGAATACCGCAGCCAATCGAATGCTTGAATGGGAGATAGTCCGGATCATTTAGTATTTGTTAAACTGTTTGAACTTACAATACAAGACTTGAAGACCACATCTACTTACTTCCGCCGCACGTGATATTTGATAATTTTCTTACACAAGGTCACAAGCAGATGCTTTTTAAACATCAGCGGTTGTATTTAATTTAATTATAAGTACAGGCATAAGTAATGTCTCCTGTTATTGTGTTAAAAAGCATTGACATGTTTTTTATAATATCCAAAAGGGATGATGTTGTTTTGTTCATTTTAATAAATCTATATTATAAAAAAAGCAAAGTTTAAAGTGTATGAATAAAGCAATTCTTACCCACAATTCTTACTCACACTGTAGTCAGCTTTAATGCATTTATATTTAATTTATTTAATAGCCAAATGACATTATTATTAAATATCGCGATATTTAACTATATCGTTGAAAATAATGCCAATATCGATATCGTCCCTTTTTGCAATATCGTACAGCCCTAAGTTGAGAATAATCCAATTTAAACAAAGAACAAAGGTGCGTCATCATAAATGATGAATGCATTAAAAAATATATTTTTTTACATCTGGTTTTTAATAGACAGACATTTAGTTATATTTTACAGGCAACACAGGGTTTTCGAAAAATATATGTTAAATCCCTGAAAATATTTAAATTCTTTTTACCTTAACTGTTCTTTTCTCAGCACATGGCGTAGCAGCTTCATCTTCTTCTGGTATTACACCACAAAATATGTTGGGATTCAGTTTTGATCTAAAAGAAACAAAGTGATACACTTTTATCAACATTGTATTCAAACAATTGTGGGATGGAAGAAGAATACCTGTATAAAACTGGAATATCTCTTCACCATATTTATGAAATGAATTGTAGCCTGGTTAAAACTACACAAGATTTTTATACGCCCACATTTTCATGTGGACGTATATTGTCGTCGCCCCTGTCCGTCCGTCCACAATTGTTTGTGAACAGTCTACAGGTCACAATTTTTATCAGATTTCAATGAAACTTGAAATATAGGTTTATCACCCTAAGATCACGGTTCCTTTCGATATTGGCATCTATCGAACCGTAACTTCATGGATTATGGCCCCTGATTGTACGAAAAATCACGTTTTTGGCTTGTGAACACTATAGAGGTCACAATTTTTATCCGATTTTGTTGAAACTTGAAATGTAAGTTTATAACCCAAAGATCTTGGTTCCTTTCGATATTCGCGCATATCGGACCGTAACTTCCTGAATTATGGCCCCTGATTGTACGTAAAAACGCGTTTTTTGGCTTGTGGACCCTATAGAGGTCATAATTTTTATCCGATTTAAAAAAACGTATTATTATATCACCGTTAAACCCTAAGGACGGTTGAGTTCGAATTTCGTGAAAATCGACCCAAAACTGACAGACAAAATGGTCACCGTTCGTTCTCAAATAGCGTAAAAATATGGTATATCAAGGTTGTGGACCCTATAGAGGTCACAATTTTTATCCGATTTTGTTGAAACTTGAAATGTAAGTTTATAACACAATAATCTCGGTTCCTTTCGATATTCGCGCATATCGGACCGTAACTTCATGAATTATGGCCCCTGATTGTACGCAAAAACGCGTTTTTGGGCTTGTGGACCTTATAGAGGTCATAATTTTTATCCGATTTAAAAAACCGTGTTAATATATCACCGTTACACCCTAAGGACGGCTGAGTTCGAATTTCGTGAAAATCGGCCCAAAACTGACAGACAAAATGGCCGCCCTTCGATCTCAAATAGCGTAAAAATATGCTATATCAAGGTTGTGGACCCTATAGAGGGCACAATTTTTATCCGATTTTGTTGAAACTTGAAATGTAAGTTTATTACTCAAAGATCTTGGTTCCTTTCGATATTTGCGCATATCGAATTGTAATTTCCTGAATTATGGCCCTTGATTGTAGGAAAAATCACTTTCGTTTAGCTTGTTTTCTATCCATCTCTTGAAAATGTGGGCGTATACTGCCTGGCAGCCGCTGGTTAATTTATATAAATTAAATTTTCTTTTGTGTGAAAAAGTGTTTGTGCTGTGAAAACGCATACTTCTACTGACAGACTAACTCAAAGCTGACTTGCAGCACATGGGGTACTTACATGGTCTGTGCTAGTTTTCCTGATATATTTAACGACGATGGTTCTGTTATTTGTGATGGAGCTAAGACACCTTTAACAGTTCCTCCAGATGCTAAAATTGAAAAAATAGATATCCATACAGAAACAAATTTATTTTATTGTGAGAAAATAAATGAGATCAAATATCATGAATATGACACTATCTCGGCCTAATAATTTCTAAATAAGCCAAAGGCTGACTTTGTTAAAAGCTGTAGTTTATTCAATATTATTACTTGTAACTTCATGTGGTACGACTCCCAATTGTGAACTGATTGTTTACAGCCAAATTCACTTAGATTTCTCTGCATAACTTTTGAGTTGACATTTGTTTTAATTGCAAGTTAACCAGCGGCTGCCAGACAGGATACGCCCACATTTTCGAGAGATGGATAGAGAACAAGCTAAAAAGAAAGTGATTTTTCCTACAATCAAGGGCCATAATTCAGGAAATTACAATTCGATATGCGCAAATATCGAAAGGAACCAAGATCTTTGAGTAATAAACTTAAATTTCAAGTTTCAACAACATCGGATAAAAATTGTGACCTCTTTAGGTTCCACAACCTTGATACCATATTTTTACGCTATTTAAGAACGAAGGGCGGCCATTTTGTCTGTCAGTTTGGGGCCGATTTTCACGAACTTCAAACTCAGTCGTCCTTAGAGCGTAACGGTGATATAATAATACGTTTTTTTAAATCGGATAAAAATTATGACCTCTACAGGGTCCACAAGCTAAAAACGTGATTTTTCGTACAATCAGGGGCCATAATTCAGGAAGTTACGATCCGATATGCGCGAATATCGAAAGGAACCAAGATCTTTGGGTTATAAACATGCATTTCAAGTTTCATCAAAATCGGATTAAAATTGTGACCTCTACAGAGTCCACAACCTTGATATACCATATTTTTACACTATTCGCGTACAAGCGGCGGCCATTTTGTCGATCAGTTTTGGTCCGATTTTCACGAAGTTCGAACTCAACCTTTATTACGGTGTAACGGTGATATATTAAAATGTTTTTTTAAATTGGATAAAAACTGTGACCTCTGGAGGGACCACAAGCCAAAAACGCGATTTTCCGTACATTCAGGGGCCATAATTCAGGAAGTTACGATATGCGCGAATATCAAAAGGAACCAAGATCTTTGGGTTATAAACATGCATTTCAAGTTTCATCAAAATTCTAAAAACGCGATTTTTCGTACAAACAGGGGCCATATATATAATCCATGAAGTTATTGTCTGATACATGCCAATATCGCAAGGAACCGAGATCTTAGGGAGATGAAGCTATATTCCAAGTTTCGTTGAAATCGGATAAAAATTGTGACCTGTAGAGTGTCCACAAACAAATTGTGGACGGACGGACGGACAAACAGGGGCGGCGACAATATACGTCCACATGAAAATGTGGGTGTATAAAAAGAGTTAATGTTGCAGTCTATTTTGATAGCCAAGAACTACTTGTTAAACAATTTGATTTTAAATATTATGTGAAATCACATCCAGTACCAACAGGAATTTGGCCTTACAATCTCTGAGTCTCACAAAAACCTATCATAGAACACCCAATTCCACCAGATTGTGCTACAGATTCCACCACAGTATTCTATCAAGTATTTGAGACCTGCTTCTTTCACAATGAAATTAGTAATATCATATTTTTGAATAAATGCTCTCCTGGAGAATATGTGAAAAAAGATTATAGAAGAGCAACTGTACATGTATTTGCTCTCAACAATTTAAATTTTTCTTTTGAAAAAGTGTTAAATTCTTACCAATAAAATCTTTCAACTTCATTTTTCTGATATACTGTAATCAATATTAAACATTTGTTAGTATGTTAACCTTTCTTAAACATAAATTGTATCCTTGCAATAAAAGCTTACAGAGTCTATATAATGTCACAACTCTCACCAGATCATACATGCATACACGGTATGCAATGCAATCCAATTTTTTTTAAGCCGCAGATTTCAGCACTGTTTAGGCAGACATTTTCAAAGCTTAATGCTTATAAGTTATATATAAGGATATTAATAATTTGTTCTACTATAACATAGTCAAATACTGTAAAGTGTATTATATCATCTCAGCTTATTTTTAAAATAATTAAAAGACGCAATATATAATCAAATATTTATACCCCTGGTAACTGCATTATTTGACAGTGAAGCCTGGATTCAATTGTTTTCATTATATTAGTTTTATCCTTCTCCATTTTCTCCAATATTTCATTAACTGTAATTCACAGACACAAATAACATGTTTGTAATAAGCACATTTGTCGAAATAATTATTCTATTATTATAGATATCCTATTAGTACATTAAAGACAGTACTGACAACAATCGTGGGCGATTGTGAATAGGACTATTTTACTGGTGTATGCAAACTACTAAACAACATTGTTATTAAAGATCACCAGAAAAGATTTATAATTTTATATAATCCTTTCCATAAGTATAACACAATCCTGAATCTCATTGTTACCTGCCATAGGTAAATTTTAACAGGTAGATTTCTGCCATTCTCCATGAGTAGTCGTAACTTTGTGCCAATAAACAAGTTGTGACATAATTTTAGTCCTTCTACTCATATTCTAATCTATATTTCTATGAGCAGAAGGACTAAAATTATGTCACAGCTTGTTTATTGGGGGGAAAATTATGACTACTCACGGAGACCGGTGGAAATCGCTAACGTTGAAATTTACCTGTGGCAGGTAACATTGACATTCAGGATATCGAAAGGATATGTTAACATAATTCCTTGCATTATTTAAAAAAATTATGAAACTTTTCCTGTGACCTTTAAACTAAGTACATCAACTTTAAATTTTGTATTTTGGGGAAGTGCATTCTTCATTCCCCAGTTTTTTGTATTTGGTTTCAAGTTCAAAATAAACTTAAATAAAAAGGTCATATATCCATGTTTTTAAAATTTCTGTCAAAAACATATTTTCAAAATATCAAAATTTATTTCAACTGCAAAGCATGCTTTTTTTTTTACCACCTTTTCTCTCTATCAAACGGATTACTGTATTAAATGCTTACATCTCATATCAAAATCTTTCGTAAAAATTCTTAATTTTTCCATACGCTCATCTTCTGTGAGTGACTTTCCTTCATCACCTTCTGGGCATTTTGGTTGTGCTCGATTGTTAACTCGAGTTGGACGTTTCCGTGGCATTTCTAAGTCTTTAAATAATCAACTTTTTTTTTTTATGTATTAACCTAAAAAATAACACATATTTTAAATTTAACTTTGTGTAGAATTGTCAGTCTACTTAGCCAAAAGAAATCAGTTTTCCAATGAATGTCATTCTGCTTAATTTTGGACACTTACTACCCTCCCCTTCCCAAAAATGAAATGGGACCCCTATACAGTCATTTTATTTGTAAATAATGTTGTATTTTTTCACCAAGGGTCGCGATCTTTGGAATTTTGTTCGCCACTCCGAGTCTAGCTGTATATATGTTGCATTAAGCTTATAAAATATTCTCGATAATCCATGTATGTCAATTATTGTCAATACCACCAGCTGGTGAATGGTCAGTGACTGGTAAAATTATTAAAGTCAAAATGACTATTTATTTAGGTCTATAATAGATCTATATATAACTATGTGATAAATACTAAACAGGGAAACTAAGGTAAGGCTTCTCAATACCGTATTCATATAAATATGGTGGCAATTAGCAATGTATTTGGTGGTTTCATTTATCATCGGCCGTGGATAATGGTTTGGCCTAACTCAACTGTCAGTCAGTGGAAATGTGCTTGTAATAATAGTAATACTAGGCCTAATATATGAATAGATAAGATGGGGCCATTGGGGGCAGGGGCAATGATTGATAGGTATCCTAAATTGAGAATATTCATTTTTCCACAAAATAAGACAACAAAATATATAAGTAGGCTACAATATTGTCCTAGGCGAGTGAGAGGAGTCACAAATTCATATTTCAATATTGAAATTTGAATCAACCACCAATACACGTACCGTACAGCAAGTTGTTGTTGAACTGAAGTTGTCAACTTGGTGTCAACATACATTCATGTATGCCATTTAATAACAACTTTGTGGTACTAATTCCTGCTTATAAGACTACGTATCGTACAGTTGTAAAATAAGGATATTACCATAAATAATTATGTATTAAAAGCTACCGAAACGAGGGTATTTTCTTCACTTGATTTTGTTATGAATATTCGTCTGACAAAACCTTTTCAGTTTCAATCAAGCGCCCTTTTGAAAGTGGTATTTTAGCCAATCCTATATCGCGAAAAAAACTTCCGGTTCTGTATACATACGGGTATTTTCAAGATGTCTGCTCCCTATGCAGCAAAAGTCATTAGCTTGGGCAGAAAAATATCTGTTATACAGGGGGTATGAACTTCAAAATTAATTTTGAGCAGCTGGGGTTCAGGTTTCCTTCTATTCTTAATTTAATTAATACAGGAAATGTACTTATTTAGCTCGCAATTGCTAATATCGTTGATTTTTGCAAGGGAGGTAACTCCCCTTTTCCTTAAGATTACCCGTTTTTGCGACTTTGGACTCAACTGGATACAGACCACCATTCACTTCTCTCTGAACCTTATTGATATTCACGTTTCTTTTCCCGGCTGTTACTTCCCCAAAATTTCACTTTCCCCAAATTTCACTGGGCTTAAGGCTTTTCACTACAGCCTGAGCAACAACTGTCTATGTCTTTGCGCCATAGTTTGTATGACTATGACTATGAGGTTGACCACTGAAATTTGACATTAACGATTAACGCCTAAAGTTTGGCTAAACTTGACTAGCACTAGCAGTAGCACACTATAATATAGGCCTATCGTTCTTAAACCATGAATATTTAACAAAACCTGGCAGAAAAGGTACTGAATTGTGGGTATCAAGATAGTGAAATTTGATGGTGGTTCCTCTTAATATTAGTCTTTCTTCATTGTTTTCCATTTATTCTAGCAACATTTTTATATAGTACTAGTACAAAATAAAAAAATAGTGAGCCTTCAAATTTATGTGCTGTAAACTAAACAGGGTTGCATTTCGGGTCCATGGACCTTTTTTTTCTAGACTTGAAGCTTCTTTCTGAATTTTGTAAAAGAGTTCTGCAAAATGACCTGCTTTGGTATTATAACAATTTACCCAGTTTTGAGGCACTGAACATTTTAAAATTAAAAATCATAATTACTTTCTTTCCAACACTGTAATATATTTTTAATGGAAATAACTACCCGATAAATACTTTCATGGCAAGTATAAAAAATATGCATTTAATCGACATATTTTAATAGAGCAATATAAATACTGTATGATGAATTGATCTTGCGCATGTTTTCTTTCATGTTTATGTAGAAACAACCAAGATGTTTGAAATCATCCAAACCAGATCATTCCAATAAATTTCCTGTGAAGACCAACCCAATGTTACCAGCAGATACCTTTAAAGGTAAAACAGCTTTTATAACGGGTGGTGGAACTGGTCTAGGAAAAGGAATGACCTATTTTTTGTCTTCTCTTGGTGCTCAGGTAGCCATAACCAGCAGGTGATTATTTAATTAGTGATACAGGTATTATATTCCTTTGGAGTTAAAGGGGCACTAGGCAAGATAAGATAAAGAGCTGACCGTTCTCGCTATAATAGTTAAAAACTGGTAAGATAATAAACAAAAGTCTTGATTATCCATTTTTATACACCCACAAGGAAATGTGGACATATATTGTCATTGCCCACGCCCGTCCTTCCGCCTGTCCGTTGTCCACAATTGATTGTGAACGCTCTAACGCCAAAAGTTATCCCATTGTTTTAAAATTGATATATGTTGTTTACATCTGGAGATGAAGAAGCCTATTTAATTTCAATAATTTCTGTTTATTACGTCTAGACTCTAGAGATATGGCCCTTGTTTCACTTTGTTAAACCTTGTGGGCTCTCTAATGCCAACAGTTATCCGATCTTTGTGAAATTTATATGGATTATTTAAATTAGTGAAACGAAGAAGCCTATTGAATTTCAGCAATTTCCATTTATTACGTCTAAGAGTTATGGCCCTTGTATAACTTTATTTAATATTAACCTTGTGAACGCTCTAACACCAAAAGTTATCATCCGGTCTTTGTGAAATTTATATGCGTTATTTAGATTAGTGAAATTGTAAATTCAGGGAAATTGGACAACACTTAGGGGATGCACAACCCATTCAAAGTTTTAGATTTTTGGTGATATTTTTTCATTTTTACATTATTTTTCTTTTTTTCTACAAACTGTAATCCACACTTTACATATTATTTCTTGGTTGGTTTTGTATTGACAGGGCAATCTATAGCCTGTCTGATATATTTCAGGACACTAGACAATCTGATTAAAACACAGATCCTATTGCGATTCGTTTTTTATAGTTCAAAATTCATTTTACTTGTCTTTACTACACTAGGATCTGGAAGAGTTGTTATGTTACCAGCGTTCTAGTTGAAGTGAGGGATTAGCCAATGAAATGGTCTGTTATGGCAAGTTCTTGGCGTGCCATGCATGGAACTGTGGGTAAACCACAAGAATTAGAAACGTCAACTCTGATTGATTAATCGATGTCTGGCGTCATAGGGTCAGAAGCCGCTCGTACAACCCCTGACAACAAACAGCGATATGACCTAAATAGTCCGGTCACCAAACCTAATATTTCGAGTGAACCTGGAAATTAATGATTGATTTTAGTAGCCTAGGGTGTTCTCTTTCAGAATCTCCCGGGTGAACCTTGGTCATCCTTGAGCTTTTTTTAGAAATTCAAGATGGCGTCCAAGATGGCAGCCACATCAAATAATCCCCTATAGCTCCCATAGTATTTATTCTGGGATGATACTTTTGGTGTCTAACCGTATGTTTCTGGGGTTAAGGAATACACTAAAATTGTTCATTATGTTGTGGGTTGATTAGATGATAGTAAAATCCAAAATGCCAGACAATATGGCCCTTTTACTCATTAGCGGCTATTGAGGGTCATTATTTCACCAAAACATGCTATGTCTAGAGACAAATGATATATTTCTGGATATAGGAGCATGGGAGTGATACGCTAAAACCATATACATGCCTATCAAGGGCTCCAGGGTCACATGGCTCGGTCCTAAAAAGGGAGGCACAAGCTGTTTGTTAATAATTTAAAAAAACAAATTCTACCCGCAAAACAGTAACACAAATTCCATAAAACTAGGTAATATCCAGTTTAATCCATTGTTTCTGGATGCAACCTGTGACAGCACAGGCGCAAAATACTGTATATTTTAAGCCATCACTAGTGCAGCTACAAGCACACGTACTACATGAGCTGTCACTCTTGCATCCACATCTGATGAGCCACATGACAGACTCCGAAGCAAGTTGGCCGGTTGTAATGGTCTCAATTTAGTATCCTTCTCCCAGCAATGTTCCAGATCAAATTCCGGTTGATTAAGATCTTCCAGTGAACGCCACACAATAGCTTGGTAATGAGCTCTTTTTAAGTTCTCTGCAAATGTATCATTCGTTGAGCAAGACTACATGGTTTGAGTGGGAATATTGACAATACATTTCCAGTTTTAGATGTCCAAACCCTCCAGCATGTTTCAGATATAGATTTCTAGAACTCTGACCATAACAAGCTGATTCTATTGGAGTGTCTATTACTTCGACGAGTGAGAAAAAATACAATCAAGCTCTAACCACTTTCAAAGCTTTTCCATTCCCCACGACATAGCCACATGTAACCGTGTAACATCCAGTAAGAGCATAAGCTGGCAGGATTTTAATGATAATTGACGCGTTTCTCCATAGTTTGACCATTGTCAGCGGTTGTCCTTTCCTTGATTGGCGATTCCGCTGTAAGCTTGTTATGGACAGAGTTAAATCGATGACTGAAACATACTGGGGAGTATAGTCATCCAAAACTGGAAATGTATCGTCATCATCCCCACTTAAACCATGTAGTCTGGCTCCAACGAATGATGCATTTGTAGCAGACGTAAAAATATGTCATCGCATAGCTATTGTGTGGCGTTCACTGGAAGATTGGAATATACCGGAACTTGATCCGGTACTGTATTGCCGAGAGAAGGACACTAAAATGAAAACATTACAACCGTCAACTTGCTCCGTAGTCTGCCATATGGCTCATCAGATGTGGATGCAGGAGTGGCAGCTCATGTAGTACGTGTGCTTGTAGCTGCACTAGGGATGGCTTAGAATATACAGTATTTTGCACTTGTGCTGTCACAGGTTGCATTCAGAAACACGACTAAAGGATTAATCTGGATATTACCTAGTTTTGTGGAGGTTGTGTTACTGTTTTGCAGGTAAAATTTGTTTTTTTAAATTTTCAACAAACAACTTGTGCCTCGCTTTTTTTTAGGACCGACCCATGTGATCCTGCAGCCCTTGATAGGCATGTATATGGTGTTAGCGTATCACTCCCATGCTCCTATATCAAGAAATATATAATTTGTCTCTAGATATAGTTTGTTTTGGTGAAATAATGGCCCTCAACGGCCACTAACGAGTTAAAGGGCCATATTGTGTCTGGCATGTTTGATTTTACTATCATCTAATCACCCCACAACACAATGAATGATTTCAGTGTATTCCTTGGCCCCCAAAACATACGGTTTGACACCAAAATTATCATTCTAGACTAAATACTATGGGAGTTATAGGGGATTATTTGAACAGGCGGCCGTCTTAGACGCCATCTTGAATTTCTAAAAACGTTCAAGGTTGACCAAGGTTCACCCGGCAGATTCTGAAAGAGGACCCCCTAGGCTACTAAAATCAATCATAAAAAAACTTTGTATACAATTTCCAAGTTGAGCCATAGTTCTCCCGAACTAACATTGCCCTTTCCTCTTTCTTAGTCAATTTAAATTGATTTCAAAACAAGTAAACTTTTATACTGTAAAGTGCTTTAGCTATGCACCTTGGTGAAGCGCACTTGGTCTTTGAAACCGAATGCCACAATCAGGAACACCACCAAGATATATGATAAAAATTTCTAACAATAGCTCTTTATAATCTTCTCTATTTTGGAAGTTATTGAACTGGCTCTTTGCGAAAATTATAATTTCATCTGTATCAATTTCTAGTTCTTGAGGTAGTTAATATTTATCCTGATCAATGAATCCCAAATGAGCCTGAAACCGTTTGATAATTCCAATTTCTGGTCCTGTTGGTGGTCCAATACATAATGTTCCCACTGCCTCTATAGAAGACTTGATCTCACTTTAACTCTGTACATCTTATAAGGATTTCATGTAATAATACCCTCCATTTTTCGTCACAAATTTCGATTGGTTACTGACCCAGGCGTGGACCTTTCAGATTCCTCAATAGAAAATATTGCGAATACCAAATGCTGCACTTTCCAACTGAAATGTCTAGTTGTGATAGTTGAGTTGCTAAGTTCAAGTTCGAAGAAAGCAGGGGACTATTAAAAAGGGGTCTGTCTGTCTCGGTGTCTGTCATCTTGTAAGAAAATGACAAATACTGAAATAAGTGAATCTAAACGTTAGATAAATAAACGAAAAATAACCCTAAAATTTGAAAAATCTTGGAAATTGCAAAACTTTGGTAGGCTTGCACAACCTCTAAATGTGGCCCGATTTCCCATAAATAATTTTCCCATAATAATTTTGGGTAGCCCCTAGGAAAATCAAAAGATGAATTTTAAGGACAACCCTAACGTTGGTATAGGTATATCTTGTAAATAATATTTTATATGTATAGAAATAAAACTTTTATCCAACTAATTTAAACTATTTTCACGTACATTTGTTTTATTTTTAAATCAGAACTTTGAAAGTGTTAGAAAAAACAGCAAGTGAAATACAAACAGAAACTGGTAATAAAGTAGGTATCAAAAACTACCATAAATGTATTGAAATAAATAACAAGAACCCACTCTCAAAATTTTCCCCGAAAGAAATGCTGAAGCACTTGTCACCCATGGATTAAATGATATTGAAGAAGAAGAAGAGAGACGGGTGTCAGTTAATATTGATTAGCAGCATTTTATTGGTTTCAATCAAAATGGAAATAAAAATGGAACTATCTTGGTTAATGATCATTAGCTGTTAATAGGGTTAAATAATATAATTAAATGCTAAGCATTTTTTGTACTCATATAATAACAACATTGTTGAGTTAGAGTTATCATCTGACATAGTGCTAATAAATGATTTGTTCAGATTTCTACTATATTAAGCAATTTGCTACAAGGGCTGGCTGAAAGGTTCTAAGCCTGGAAAGGATAGATCAATCAGGTTGAAACAAAATTTTGCCAGCAGCAAGTACAATCATTGATTAATCATAGACAAGAACTTCAACTGTAGTGTTATTATTGTCTTCATACCAGACCATCTTGTGAACCTACCCATTGAGATCACCAGAAATTGACAAAACTGGCTATATGATATAGTCATCACGTACCTGCAACTGAAAGGACTAACCCCAACACAGATATACCGACATGGTTTCTACTTGAGGGGGTGATTCCCCTTTCTTTTCGCAGTAAAGAAGTGAGCTGCGGAATTTAAGCGTGGCAGAGAGAGCCTTGACGATGACCTGAGCCCTGGAAGGCCATCAATAGGAACCATTCAAGAAAACATTACCTGAGTGCATGACATATGACATGGTGATGGTTGATCGACGATTGACCCGAGCTCGACATCTTGCCAATATTGTGGGCATCTCTCATGAGAAGGTGAGCACATTATTGCCAACGAGTTAGGAATGACTAAAGGTTCTGCAAGATTGGTGCCACAGCTCTTGACTGTAAATCAGAAACGTGTCAGATTGTTGACGTCCTGTAACAATCTGCGCCATTTTGATGAAGATCCTGACATTTTTTTACCAGATTTGTAACCATGGATGAGATGTTTCCAAAAAGGAACTAGCCGGTCTTTATTTTCCTAGTAATGATGACGTCACGTCAGCTGTGAACAACTTTGTTAGGGTGGCTGAAGTAAATGTCTTCCTGACTGGCATTCAGGCCTTGCAACATTGTTGGCAAAAGTGTGTATACCTCTAAGGGGACGATGTAGAAAAATAATGGAAACCATTGACTTTTTACAGGTCTTTCACAGATAGGCTTAGAACTTTTCAGCCAGCCCTCTTATGTGGTGATAGTGTATATGGACTTTATAAGCTGTCATAACTGTGTAGCTACTTTTTATATTCAATTTGTTATGCTAAAGGTGTTGGCGGTCGCTGCTGATGTTAGAAAACCTGATGATGTTAAAACAGCTTTAGATAGATGTGAATCTGAACTAGGTTTACCTCATATAGTTATAAATAATGCAGCTGGTAATTTTATATCACCTACTGAACGACTATCACCTAATGCATGGAAAACAGTTACTGATATTGTTCTTACTGGAACAGCTAATGTAACCCTAGACGCTGGAAAAAGACTTATTAAAGCAAAACAAGGTAATAGTTGCTCATTTTGTGAACCTTTCACACCAAGTCAACATTTCATGTCTTTGGGTACATTTGGCATTCATAAGTGAAATGTAATAATGTAGTATACAGCATTTGAAGTTAAAAATGCCTACCTGTAATAAGTGCCTACCCTCTCACAACACCTTAAGAACATTTTCTAACCTAAAGTTGTAAAAAATGATGTGGCACTTAGTTCAGTGAATGAAATTACAAGACAGAACCAATCCATTTCAGTATATAAAATCAGAAAATTAACAAGACATTTTCACTCTTTTTAAACAAATATATAAAATTGGCAAATAAACAAGACAATTTCACTATTATCAAACTAAATTGCATTAACAATATAATTTAAATACCCCAATTTGGCATATAAGAATATATATACACATAACATGGTTAAACACAAATGTTCAAGATTATTAGCATATCCATTCATATGTCATATGTGTGAAAATGATTAGATTGATGAATGTTGATGGTGACATGTATATTCCCATATTGTGAAATGTTTCATTTGCAGAGGCAGTTTTTCTAATGATATCTGCAGATTATGCTGAAAGTGGGTCAGGATTTGTTGTTCCAAGTGCTTCTGCGAAGGCTGGGGTTGAGGCTATTACAAAGTAAGATAATCATAGGTATAAATAATAACCACCTTTAGCATGTGTTATATACTGAAGTTAACATATGTGATACAGTGAAGTAAACGTGTGATACAGTGACAGTGAAGTAAAAATGTGAAAAAGCCGTAATATTGTATAGAAATACAATAATATAATGGTACAAATTCAACTTGCACTATTTCCAATATAGTATGGCATTCTTTTCTGATAGTTTGTAGTCAACTAAAATATATGTTTATAATATATAAAACACTGCACGATCTACATAACTTTTAATAATAATTTACTATATATCTTATATCAGATCTTTGGCGGCTGAGTGGGCACGTTTTGGTATGAGGTTTAACTGTATTTCTCCTGGGCCAATAGAAACACAGGTATCGCATAGTTTAAGTTAATTTACTTTTAAGTATCACCATATTTACTCACAGGGGATTGGGTGGCATGCACATTTAAAGTGGCATGGTTTCGATTCCCTGCATGTACTTGCCAAGTAGTAGGGTCACCTGTAAAACAGTTTTCTCTGGGACCTTCGGTTTCTATTCCACAACTAAAGACCCTTAAGCGCAGGCGAATTATTGAAATGAAAATGAGCCATATGTTATTCCGAAATGACCTACTGTGTCGAGTGGATGTTGAACAATATTTCTCTCTCTTTTTGTACTTACATTGTGTCTGTTATTAGCCACACTCCCTTTTTATAAACTACCTGCTCATTTCCTAGGTACACCCTGTTCTCACTAGACAATGCAGGAAAACTGCCCAACAGAACGATACAAGAATGTATAAGATACCAAACAATAGAACAGTTTCCAACTCTTCAATGAAATGACATAAAAAATAGTCAAAATCATGAAGGAAAATATTCTCAGCGACATCATGTAACGTCGGTGTTAATTCAATGCATTTATGTCACTGTAGTGTGTCACTGTCTTTATGAACCCCAATTGAATGACTATGGTTATGCTATACTTTTCTACAGAGCAGCAGTTTTATGTATTTTGTTATCGAGTATTTGGCTCAAAATCAAAATTTTGGCACCATTGTACAGTCAAATATGTCATGATAGTTACAGTTTATGTAAAATCCAGTATTTAACAGAGAAACAATCAATTAGATATACATACTGAAGAATATAAGTTCTGCAAATACATATAAATACAGGAAAATGCAGTCTAAATTTATATGTATATTATCTGTGATGATTGTATTGTATATATTTGTACAGGGTGCATTTAGTAGACTAGATCCAACAGGACAGTTTATAGAAAAGATGATTAATCGTATCCCAGCAGGTAGATTAGGAGAAGTAGAAGAATTAGCTAATCTAGCAACATATCTTGTCAGTGATTATTCCAGTTATATATCAGGACAGGTGAGAATACGCTGTGATTGAAAGTAACATATTGTACAGATTGCATACTGTAAAAAAATAAATATTTGTGACTTGATTTGCTTGCCAGTGGATTATTTTTGTGGACCAAAATTACCTTTCTGCTCCTTCTGAGCTAATGAAGAGGGCATACACGAAGCATTGTACTGCATACTCTGGTTATGGATTCCAAATATCTAGAGGTCTATTACATGAACATAAATTTGTATGTGGAACCTCCGTTTTTTTGTACCAGGCCCTTCGTCCTGTAGCACTGTACTGTCAAGGGGACACCACACCTGAAGAACTGCCTCCTAACAAAAGGTTAGGGTTCAAATCTTCAAACCCTTCCCTTTAGTAATAAAATGAAATATGGCTCCTTATGCTACCTGTTCATTGCCTGGTTCTATTTGTAATTGTTAAATCAGATTTTTTTTAACTTTCCTTTCAGATTATCAGATTGAATGGTGGAGAATTTCCCAGTGCGGCTGGTATGTTTAATCCACTGAAACAGGTAACAACAGAACAATGGGACATGATGGAAAAACTTATACGCTCTGTCAAAGGATCATAATTGGAAGCTGATGATGTAGATGCTAGATGAAACTAAGATATTATTTAAATATTGAGACAAATTCTTGATAATTGTTGATTATGTTTTATATGCATTATTATTAAAATATATAACAAATCTATTTTAGATATTTTATTACTTAGCTTGATCTGGGACAGATATTCCAAAATCAGATCTGAAAGTAGAGATATTCTTTTTGCAAGAAAATCTTAGGAATGGGATGACCCCCGACACAGGTTTTAAAAAAGTATTACTAATTATTAAAGAAAATGAATTGATTAAAAAATAAATATCTATTTTTGTAAAATGAATAATAATAGCGGGCATTAGGTAAGATTAAATAAAGAGCTGACAGTTCTCGCAATAATAGTTCAAATAATGAAAACAGAATATGCTGAAAGTTTCAGTCAAATTGCTTCACTCTGGACCAAGATATTAGCGATTTAATTTTAAGCTAGCCTTAATCGTCATTACAAACGTTGGTACAATAATAAACAAAGTCTTAATTATCCATTTTTACATTAAATTATCCATCACAAAATGTATTCAAATCCACTAAATATCACAGGCTAACATTGGCATCGAGAATTGATTATGGTCTGGATAAGTTAATTAATGTCTAATTAATAATTTAGGTAACATTTCAGACATAAAGAAAGACTTGTAATAGGCAGATTCAGCTCTTGCATAATGCATATATATTTAAGTAGGTGTTTGTTAAATAAATTAAAATGTTTTGGGTTTTTTTGCATTGTTATTTAAAGAAAATTTCTATTTTAATGAATCAAATAACAGCACTATAATATCTTATTTGGCTTTAGATATACTGATCTTTATAAACCGCAATAATCATTGATATTTTTTTTTTTTATCAAAATAGTAAATTGGAAGCTGGACAAATGTGACCAACATGTAATTGTTCATTTTAAAAAAATAGCAGGCAGTTTCAGCCAACAAAGTGAATAAAACATGTTGATGTGTTTCACTGTGGATCCGAAGTAGGCTAGGGTAACTTGCTAAAAATGTTGCCCTATTGGATTTCATGTGTTTGTGTTTGTTCTATGAGAATTCATTCATATTGACAATGTGAAACAGAATTGAGTTATGTATTATTAGACTCAGGCATGTGAGGAATATCATGATATAATTAAACTGTATGCACAGTGCTTGGTGTAGATTTGTTTAAAATCAATTGTTGTGGTTTGTCAACTAATATTCGCTGGGTTGTAGGCTACTACTTGTGGGATGGAGAGTATTGAATTCAGTGCTTTCAATGTCAATCATGTTGCTAACAAATAGGCCTCTACATAGGCTTGCGGTTTAAGGGACTTTGAAGGAAATATTTCAAAAGAGATGATGAAAAAAAAACCTTTGTTTAAACACGAGTTACCTCCCCTGATTTACAACACTCCGCCTACACCCGAACTTTGTTCTTATTTATGAATTCACGTTTTACTATGGAATGCGGTGGTATATCAAGTGTAATAAAGGGTGAAATGTTATGCCGTTGCCCCCCCCCCCCAAAAAAAAACCCCTTCAAAATCAAAACTCCCAACCTTTTTATCGACCGCTATCAAGGGAGATAACCCAAATGTTTACATTTATTATGAAGACAACATGGCGGCAGATGACAGAACTCCTTTATTGAAACACGATGAAAATGAATTTGACCCATTTGAATCGTCACGAAGACAACTTAGGAAACTTATTTCCAGCGGCAATGATAAAACACTTTCTGAAACAATCAGCATTAGTGGTAGTACATCGGTTACAACGTTGACTGAGTTGGATAACATTGTTGCTGTTTTTGTAGTTGCTTTCGACATACGTTCAGGTAAGCCAGCAGAGAGGACAATACGTACTGGTACATGTAAATAAAAAATAAAATGAATAAGAACACCGTGTAGCAGCATAATTGGGCTATATGATAGAACAAGACAATGAATTAGGTTATTATGATGCTTTTCCCAATACACTAGCCTACCAATACTAGTATAGCAGGCACTTTCTCATAAAATGACAGGTCAGGATAATTCACAATCATGTGACAATAGGACAGACCTAGCTAATGACTGACGAGGAAGTGCCTAGTATGAAGTTCAATACCAACAATGGCAACATTAGTTACTTTGCAGAAAATGTAATGAACGGTGTATACCTTTCCACTCATCTCCTTTGATCACTTCAGGTAGGGCCTGCCTATAAATTAATGTATAAGGAGTTGTCGTAGAACAGTGTTTCTTATATAGTAACTTAGGAGATTAAATAAAAAATGACAAGTCTATTTTTCTTGTTAAGAAATTTATATAAAATGTTTAAGTTCTTGAGACTAAAAAAACCTATTGATTTTCAATAATTTATGATAATTACTGTCAGACTTATCCCCCTTGATCAATGTGAAAAATCTTACTTCCAAATGTTGCTCTCGGATACAATGAAAATGATCTTTCAAGTGCCTTAAATATATTTATAGCAGCACAATAAGCTTAAATGAAGACGCCTAGAATTACTTTCAGAATTAATGCACTCAATCACTTTTGAAAATCTTGTGATCAGTCTGGCAGTGGTTAAAGTTATTTATCAATTGATTTGAAATTGATAGACACTGTTTATGTTCATGAGAGAAAGAAGCCTATTGATTGTATAATTGAATGACATAATCACTTCCTGTTCTCTCCAGTGTCTCCACATAATAGTAATAATAGCTATTGATTTCTTTTCAAGTGTTGTCTAGATTTTTTCATGAGTAACTGAGCCTGAATTTGTTTTTATTTTCAGGTAATGTGATAGAATGGTGTATACCAGAAGATACAGAACTTGATGGTGTCGAGTTTAAAGCAATGGCTAGTGGGTCACACACTTTAGACAGAGATTTTGTGTGAGATAATTTTTGTTGTAGATTTTCAAATTTAAATAGCTTGGCCTTGGCCTATTTTGTAAGTAGGATTAAAGAGATGGAATAATAAAACTAAGACACTTAAAGGTATATTAAAATGTAAAGATATGTACAAGTTTGAAATACATACGTATATAATCCAGGAATTTTAAGTAGAAAGCACAAAAGTCAGGTAAGAATATGCCTGTTAGAACAGTATTTTCACATCTTTCTGAATTCTCATTTTAGATATTTCAGAAAAGATGGTTATTTTGGTTTAGCTTGTTTTGAAAATATGAGGATTCAGAGTGAAATCGAAAGAGGGTGTCGAATGAAGTCTGTTGGTATTTTAGCTACATCGTATACTACTTTATACAGACATATGCAATTTTTAGAAACACAAGTTAGGCAAGTCATATTTATTTTATTTTCTAGCATGTCTGAGTGACCTTGACACAGATGCTATTTTGATTAATACTGTCGTTGTAACAATTTTACTTCATGAATATACTTAACAGGCAATGTCATAGTCACCCTAATGGTATTTTATAGTGCAGGTGTCAAATATCAATCTAATTAAAACTATATCTTTATTTTATTTCATCTTTATCCACTGTACATGAAACTGTAGTGCACTTATAAATAGATCAGTGGACTGTGTCTTGGCTTGATTTGATCATGATCAGCATTTTCATTGACTGTTTACATTATAGTGCTCCTACGGTTAGGACTTTTTGTTATTCGAATAGCCGTAGTTATTAACCGGTTAGTAACCGTTAACCGTATGGTATCAATTTTAAACATAAAACAGAGCTTGTCAGGAGCTACGAGTCATTACTCGTGCGCACGCTATACTCGCCTTATAAAAGGCATTACGCGCGCAAAAATTTCAGGAATTTTTTCAGACATGTACAATTCTTTAATGAAAATTTAAACTATCTAAGGCCGTAGCTATTTATTTACCTGGTTAACTTGGTTCATTTGAAACATTTTTTTAATTCAATATAACGATAATATACAAAACAATACTCAATTTCCCTTCGTACGTGACAGACGGCGATAATATTACGGAGAAATTATGAGATATGAAACGTGTTCAATGCCGTACCGAATCTAGTATAATGTCATTTTCTAGCCTTTATGATTATATTTTGAATGGTGGTTACGTTTTGAAGTAAATAATAAACAAGGTAGAATATAGTTAGAAATGCCGAGAAGTATTTAGATTGGATTAACAATAGCAAAAGTCGAACAAGGTCCGTTGACTTTGCCGTATGACTACGACGAGTGCTATTAATAGTATCATTGTTTAGCAGTCGACATCGTTGGACGACTGTTACATTCTAAAATTTTCAAACATCAAACACAAAATTACAACGGGCAAGTTTTGTTATAAAGAGGAATATAATCAGACACAACTCTATGTAATGGGGGACATCTCCGAATAACCGTACCGTTGAATTCAAATCGTTTAACCGTCCAGTTCTAACCGTTTACGGCTATCCGACTAGTCGTAGGAGCACTATTACATTACACAACTAAGAGCACGACAGAATGTTAAAAGTTGTGAGGTGTTCAGTAAAAAAAGAATCTGGTAAAATATGAATTACAGACTATAACAAACAGAAAACATCAAAATAATGGGATTAATATATATTTTTGAGGATATGAGCCGTTTATTAATTATTTTTGTTTTCAAAGAAAAGTTTTAATGCACATATAGATTATGAATATGTTTTATAAACGTGTAATATTTTGATGTACTTTATTATAGACATTTATTAGAGACACCAGGTAAATATACACAGTTAAAGGTATTTTATGAAGATAGAAAGGGTGTTTTACCGGATGTATCAGATGGTTTACGTCCTTCACCTCTATCAACACCTTCCACGCCTAGTAGAGATCTTCTTCCAGAAATGAAAGTAAGTTTATACAGTTTATTACTATATACAATATATACATGTAAGCATATTATGAATAGTTTCTTGTCATTTTAAATTACTCAGCAGATAATATATAATTAATTATACTAAAAAAAGCTGGCTATGCATTAGACCAAATGATTTACACCTAAATCCTGGTCTTGGAACAAAGTGAATAATGTGTAACAAATCCAACTAATTGGAACAACTTTTGAAAAATTTTTTATACGCCCACATTTTCATGTGGACGTATATTGTCATCGCCCCTGTCTGTCCGTCCACAATTTGTTTGTGGACACTCTACAGGTCACAATTTTTATTCGATTTTGACAAAACTAAAAATATAGGTCTATCTCCCAAAAATCTTGGTTCCTTTTCATATTGGCATGGATTATGGCCCCTGATTGTAAGAAAAATCAATATTTTTAGCTTGTGGACACTCTAGAGGTCACAATTTTCATCAGATTTTGATGAAACTTGAAAAGCATGTTTATAACCCAAAAGATCTTGGTTCCTTTCAATATTTGCGCATATCGGATCGTAACTTCCTGAATTATGGCCCTTGATTATACAAAAAATTGCTTTTTGTTTAGCTTTTTCTCAGTCCATCTCTTGCAATATGTGGGCATATCTTGCCTGGCAGCCGCTGGTTTTTAAAACATAATTGATCATACAGACAGCAGTTTATTTACATTTCTACTATTTCTAGTCACTTCATGATGTTCATGTCCATCATGGAAAACTATATATACCACTAGAACTCAAACAGAAATTAAAGAACTATAATTTTAAACAAGCTCTTGAAGAGATATATTCCTAATTGGATTTTGCTGCACATTTTCTGTTGCTTTATTTTTAGATTACGCATCCAGCTGGATGTTTTTCACAATTCTTACAGTTTTTTGGTAATCAGATATTTATATTATGGAAGTTTGCATTATTACAAAGAAGAATTTTATTTTTTTCTCCACCTCCTATTGGTGTTGTATGTTATAGAGGTGAATATACTATTATATTATTCTAGTAAGTATACTGTGGCTTAGTAAGTACGGCGCTGACTCACGAACCAGGAGGTTTGGGGTTCTCGCCCTGTGTTGGCCGAGTGAGTTCCCTAGGACTTCTCGGTGTGGTTTCCCCATGTCAATGGTGCAGGACAGAGTGCCTGACAAGAAACAGCATCTAGTTGGTTGAATGGGACAAATAAAATAAGGTTCTGTGTACACCTTGGACGCTTGGCGTGCACATAAAATGGCCCTTGACAGTTGGAATTCAGTTTCTCTTGTGGAAATATTTCCCACATATCACCCCTTTTTATTCATTCGTAAGTACTGGTATCCAATTTCTGAGATAGCAGGGAAATCTAGTTTGTACTCGTATCATCTTTGTAAAGATACATATATGAAGTTGGTTTTATATGTCAAATTGGTATTCCAAAACTGATACAATCCAAATGGTATTCCTAAACAGATGTAACATATTCTATGTTTGTTTTTTGTTTTAGTTTATTGTGCTTGTTGTTTGGGTCATCATAATGTTACTAGTTTAATGAGTGAAAATCCACAACCACATTTCTATGTAAATGTAGCCGATATTGAAGCATTAGAGAATGAAGTATCTTATATAGCATGTAAGTAAAAGAATTCATAATGTTTAAGCATGGTGTAGTCATTGTTCATTAGGTGAAGTAGTAAGTTCAGTGATAAGCAATGTCTGCTTAGGTTAAGCAGAGTGATAAACAATTTGAAATTTTTATAAAAGTAATTATTATGTGTCACCTATTTATTTTGGGATTGCGATGAGAAATATCAGCCTCGCTATTGGTTTTTTTCAACTTGTTTAAGATAAGAATAAGACACCATTTTTCACCATTTTTAAATTAAATCATTAAATGGCTGAACCATTCTAATCTACTTAAAATCACACCCATCCCATGGCATCAAGAGTTGATAATGGTCTTGTCATGTTAATAAATGTCTAATTAATAGTTCTTATAACATTTAAAGCCTAAAGAAAGACCTGCACTAGGTAGATTTAGCTCTTGCATAATGTATGTTTAAGAAGACTTTATATGATATTTGTTTACAAATATTTTGTATACAGGTACAACAGAGAAAATATTTGAAAGTAAAACACATCTGTATGATGTGTATGTTGATAATCAACTTGTTAAAGTGAATTCACCAGGTTTAAAAGAGTTATTAAAAGTCAGTGATGCAGATAAAGATAAAGGTGTACAGTTGAATAATCAAAGGTAAAAATCTTTAGGCCTATTCATATAACATTTCAATTGTATCTATGTATCTTAAATTCAAAGTAAGATTATGCGATGAATCATGTCATCATATACAATTAGGTGACATTTAGCTTTGAGTAGTGATGTGTGTCATACATGGGAGGAAATACGCTTGATTTCTAAAACACCAGACACCACTACTCTTTTGATGAGTTAACATATATAGCTAATAATTTTTTTTTTACTTTTGAATTACAGGCATTTGATAAACAATACATTGAGTTTGTAATAAAATTTATGTTATTTGAATCATGCAGCTACAGAAAGTGGCTTTTTAAATGTTAAAGTAGTAATTGGTAGTGGTAGTTCAAGTTCCAGTAGCATCAGATTTATAGAAGGCATAAAGAATGCCTTATCAAATTTGGTCAATATCCAACGCCAGTATACTATATGTAGTAACTTTAGCCTATGTTATTATTATGCACAGGGCTGGGTGCCGAAGGCTTCTCTGGCATGCACATTGAGTACCACGCCATTGTATAATGCCTTACAGTGTAGAATACAAGTGTAATACTTTCATTTACGAGTTGTGTTGCATTTGCGGTATTGTGAATGGTCTTTACTGACACCTGCTGTGTGTGGTTGTCTTTTTTTTTTTTTTTGAGGCATAGCTGCTAGGTGGGTGTATTTTCACGCTATGCTTGGCTATCTATACTAAGCAGCAAAAACAACATCAAGTTGGTATGTTACTCTGAAATAGACGCATTGCATAAAACTTACCAAATGATTTTATTGTATATTTGTGATCACATCTCCAACTTTACCTGAGCAATAAGGCACAATCCCAAACACAGAATTGAACCCAGGAAATGTTCTCAGAAACGCAACCTGACTTATGAGATGGTAATGTGTTCTCCATGATTTTCATGTAACTCATGCTGCATGTGCTGTTCACCGGGACCAGCCCTATAAAGTGCACCCCCATACCTGGTTGAATCATTCACACTACAACGTCGGCAGCATGCGCTTGGAAGACTGCCCAAGCCATTGTCAATAACTTCCAGGTCAATGTTCGGACCATCTACAGGCTTCAGCAACGCTTTCGGGCCACCAACACCACATGATCGCCCCCCAAACTGGTAGACCAGGGTTACAACAAGACAACAAGACCGCCATGTTGTGCGACAGCACATGCAGAATCCCTTCACACACAGGCATCTGAGACAGCACGTAAGACAGTGGGAACACACTGAAGACCCATCAGTACCGATACAGTGTGCCGACGTCTCACCAGAGAGAAGATCCGTAGACCTTAACGTGGGCCGATCCTCACCCATCGACACCAGAACTGGCGACACAGGCAATGGAGAACTGTTCTGTTCACAGATGAGACTTGGTATTGCGTATCAACTGCAGATGGCAGGACCAGAATATGGCATCGACGTGGCCAGTGTTATTCTGACTAATGTGTCATGGAATGAGAATCATGGGGAGGTCCAAGCAGAATGGTTTGGGGTGGAATTGGCCTTAACCAGAGAGTGGGTCCTGTGGTGTTCCAAAATCTTGGTCCAGGGAGAGGAGGTGGCATCACAGCAGTGCGCTACATCGATCAAGTTCTCAGACCCCACGTCATACCACATTTCGCACGTCATTGAAACAACGTTTTCCTGCATGACAACACCCGTGCCCACACCGCCATAGTTACTCAGGACTTTCTACAGCAGAACGGTGTCAACGTTATGCACTGGTCAGTCTTTAGTCCGGACTTAAACCCGATTGAACAGCTTTGGAATTATATTCAGAGGAGACTTAATAACGTCGTACTGAGACCAAACACAGCCGATGGATTGCGCCAGGCTTTTCTGAGAGTGTGAATCCAAGTGCCAATGGGGTTCATCAATCGTTTGGTGAAGACACTTGCGGTGAACACACGAGATACTGATGTATAGACTGTGTACAGATACTAAACCTTCTCGTAATGTCTTGGAATTCTGATGAATTAATCACTAATGTGTCAACATACTGTTCACAAAAAATTGCTTTGATCCATTTAGTAAGTCGTTTTCTAGAATGATTTGATTAAAGTGCCTCTTTAATTTTGAAATCGTACTGATGTTTTTTTGCTGTTGAGTATATTTGTGATTGTATTATAGGGCAGCTCATAGATTTGAAATTGAAGAGTTGGGTGAACAAGAATTTGATGACGAGGATGTTTTTACTAAGTAAGCTGATATTTTATTTCATTCGGCCATTGGGCGCCATTGGCCCAAAAGGTATATGTCATCACCTCTGACCGTCTGTCTTGCATTATCCTTAGTTATTTCAAGGATTTTTCTCCTAAAGTGCTTTATGGATTTGAACAAAATTTGGTATGTTGCCTGGATGGTGAATATTCAGATTTTTTTAATTTGCTTGTCCCACTAGCGTCTTAGCAGTAGCTGCTTTAGGGGCAATTATGGTTATCTAAAAAAAATCTTCTTTAGAATTGGTCAATGCATTTCTTTAAAATTTAGTAAAATTCATCCTCAGATTATAGCGCTGGATCTCTTAATGGCAAATATAGGAGCACTTTAAAGATGTTGTTAAAAACTTTTACGTATGTTTGTCCAGATTTGTTCAAATAAAGTTACTTGGCCCAAAAAAGGGCACGGCATTGATAGATATGTTGCATTGGTGGTGCTTATTCAGATTTGTTCAATTTATGTATTCTAACACTATGCGAAATCTTACAGGTAAATATACTCTTTAGGTGGGAGAATAAGGCCCTTGAGACACTTGTTTAAATGCACCAATGCTATTTTTTCAACGATTATCCATTTTAAACAGCATTTTAAATGCCATCACTGAAATTCAATTTCAGTTTGTCCTTCTTCCTTCTTAGAGATATTGCCCTTGCTTGGTTTGTAGAATCTTGTGATGCTCTAGTAACAAAAGTTATCTTCTGATCTGCCTTGAATTTATTTGTATTAGTTAGATTATTAAAATAAAGAATAACATTGAATTTCAACCGTTTCCATACAAAATTTCACTACAGTTAATTCTGATCTTTTTAATTTGTTTTTCTTTCAGTTTTTTTGTTGAATTAAATGATAGAATATTCCAAACATTGCTGGAGATCTCCAATTCCCAAGATCGTCAGCTTACCTCTGACCACATGAAAACAATGGGATTAGATCCACAAGGTGACCGTAGTTTTCTGATGGAATTAGTTGAACATTATGGTATAGATGTAGTATTAATGGTGGATAATCCATGCTGTCCAAAATAATTTATAAAGTATTAAATAATTAAATCTCAACAGTGCATATATTAATTTATACAGGATCTATGGAAATGAAAAGAAATGGGGTTTAACATCCTACTGTTCTGCTCTGACTGGGCTAATGAAGACGGTAGGATCTATCAATCTATGGAAGGTTTCTATAGACTCTGCAAATAATCTCTCTTAATAAATGATATACAAATTATTTATAACCTAACTTCTATATTGTAGGTTGCAAAGATATAGTTTTAAGCACTGTAATTATAACCTACAAACAAATATAGTTTAAATATATTGACTATACATTATAGATCTTGTACAAACTCTATTTATTGATATGCTTTAATATCTCTTTTTTCTATTTAATTGTGCAACTCAAAGATTTAAGTTTCAATATGACCTGTTTGTAAAAATCACTCAAATACATGTAGACACTTTATATAGGTTTTTAGCAGGTCATATATAGCTATAAAAGTTTTTTATATACTAATAATACTTCCTGTTTATTTAAACCACATACATTTATTATTGTACACTTGATCAGGTATTTTGTTTAGTTAAAATAACAGTTGATAGGAATTTGAAATCATCCTGTATGGGGATCAAGTACAGGTTAATTGTTTCTATAATAATTTTCACAGTGGAATATTTAGGGGACACATCCAATAACATGACTTAGTCATTGAATTACTGTTTATTTAAATAATTTAATAACTTTTATCACACTTAATTAAAACATACCATAATAGAAATTACATGAAAAAAAAAGAAAACAGACAAAATCCATTAATTTATTTTACATTTAAATATAACACAATTTATTTGCCAATGAAAGGAACCTTTTGGACATTTGTATGTAGGTGATTTCGGAACAAATACACCTTTTGATATTATTAATTTTTGTGATCAAGTATTTATATTTCCAATATGACAGTTTATTATGTCATGTAAATACATTCTGTTGTACTTATACTACAGCTTGTTCAAATGGTGCTTTTATTATAAAACTTTCTATGTACATTGTTGTTAATGTGATATATGTATTTTATGTAAATATAGGTAGTTATAGTATTGTTTATATTACATGTATACATAATGTTATTAACTGCTGTTTGTTATTATATGGTTCCGTTATTTCTACTGTATCTAATGTTATTTAGAGTAACACTTTAGGACCATAGACGCTTTTCTTTCTTTAGCTATACTCCACTGATGCAAATCAAAGCATATAATTGAGATTTTCGAAAATTGCTGAAGTAAGAGAGGTGCATATGACCCTTAGTTGTTATTGGTCATATTAATTTAATTAATTGTTGAAGAGATGTATATAATATAATAGTTTTTATATGCTTACATTTTCATGTGGACGTATATTGTCGTCGTCCCTGTCCGTCCGTCCGTCCACAATTTGTTTGTGGACACTCTACAGGTCACAATTTTATTCGATTTTGACGAAACTTAAAATATAGGTCTTTCTCCCAAAGATCTCAGTTCCTTTCGATATTGGCATATATCGGACCATAACTTCATGGATTATGGTCCCTGATTGTACGAAAAGTCACGTTTTTAGCTTGTGGACACTCTAGAGGTCACAATTTCCATCTGATTTTGATAAAGCTTGAAATGCATGTTTATAACCCAAAAATCTTGGTTCCTTTCGATATATGTGCATATCGGACCTTCACTTCCTGAATTATGGCCCCTGATTGTACGAAAAATCACATTTTTAGCTTGTGGTCCCTCTAGAGGTCACAATTATTATCCGATTTAAAAAAAACATTCAAATATATCACTGTTAAACTGTAATGATGATTGAGTTCGAATTTCGTGAAAATGGGACCAAAACTGCCGGACAAAATAGCCGCCCCTTGTACGCAAAGAGTGTAATTTTATGATATATCAAGGTTGTTTACCTCCTAGAGGTCATAATTTTGATCCGATTTTGATGAAACTTGAAATACATATTTGCCCATATCGGAACGTAACTTCCTGAATTATGGCCATTTATTGTTCAAAAAATCACGTTTTTAGTTTGTGTTCCCTCTAGAGGTAACAATTTTTATCTGATTTAAAAAGACGTTCAAATATATTCAAATATATCACCGTTACACCCAAATGATGGTTGTGTTCGAATTTTGTGAGAATCCGACCAAAACTGCTGGACAAAATGGCCACTCCTCGTACCCAAATAGTGTCTAAAGGATACAATTTTAATCCGATTTTGATGAAACTTGAAATACATGTTTATAGAGGTCACAATTTTTATTTGATTTGAGAAAACTTTTGAATATATCACTGTTACACCATAATGATGGTTGAGTTAGATGGGACCAAATGAAAATGGGACCAAAACTGTCAGACAAAATGGCCGCCCCTTGTACGCAAATAGTGTAAATACATGGTATACCAAGGTTGTGGACCGATCTAGAAGTCACAGTTTTGATCTTGGTTCCTGTTGATATTTGCACATATTGGATTGTAACTTCCTGAATTATGGCCCTTGATTATTTAGCTTGTTCTCTATCCATCTCTTGCAAAATGTGGGCGTATCTTGCCTGGCAGCTGCTGGTTAAAGATACCTTCCCATGCAAAATGTGGGCGTATCTTGCCTAGCAGCTGCTGGTTAAAGATACCTTCCCATGCACAAGCTATGTGATTTGATGATACATTTGGACTAAAAACATATTCATTTGTCTATGAAGATTTTGCATCAAATCCCTCTCAGACATTTTAATAGCTAAAAAGTACCCCAAATCTACTTTAAGCAGCCTTGTTTATCATGTGAATTGATTGATGAAGAACACAATTCAGCTTGTATTTGTTGTCACTCGCTCTCCAATTACCATAATTTCGAAGCCGAAGTAAATATTTGGATTAACTCCGGCCAAACTTCTTTTTCCGCCGTTTAATCACAGGGTATGTCCTAGGTTTAAATCTCTCACTGATCTGACAATTGCTAACCAGTTGATCAAGAAATACCAAATGCTCTCTACATCAGCCGAGTAGATAACAAGCCGATAACTTGCCAGTTTGTGATACCCTTACATTTTTGCCTGGTGCACGCCCCATGGGAGTTTTCAAGGAATCCAGTATTTTTCTAGTAAGATTGGATGTCTATGCTTTACATACCAAATAATTTGCCATACTTTTATGGGAAATAACTACCATTCTCTATCAATACTTTTGTTGGAATGTATCTTTTAAAGTAGAATTTCATTCACATGTTTTATATAACATCTCATTTAAAACAATTGTTTTTTAATGACAGTAGAATGTCATTGTGTGTCAAGAAGATACGATCAAGTTTGTGTGTCAAGAAGATATGATCAACCCAAGTCTTAGTCTAAAGAGTGATGTTACCTAGAAAGAATTTTACCTGATAGTCATATCATGTGTCTGTTTTAGTACTATAAGCATAATTTTTGTATTTTTCTTGTCCAAGGGTGATGCCAAAGCTGCTTTTAGAGACAAGAAGTCTTTCTGATATTATTTGAATAAATCCGAATAAAAACCACTGAAGCAACATACCCACCTAGAAAAGTAGTAGTGGTAGTATTCCTGCTCTGACATCATTCAGCAAATGACATCTTATATGACTGACAGTGTCAATGTATTAATACATGTTGCTATCCCAAGAAATAATCCATACCTGCAACTAGCTTAAAAAGTCGTAAAATCTTAAACCCCTCTAAAATAAATATTAATTTCCAAGCACACTTGAATAGGTTTAAAGGCGTGTGATGTTATGTTTTCTTATATTTACACACACACACCCATAAATGTATAGAAATATAAAATTTACTTATGTTTGTGGCAATGTGCAATAAAATTTATTGATAGAATATGAATTAACTCACTCAGACACTTGCTGATTTGAGATGAAAGAGTGTGGGTTTGACAAATCTGATAATAATAAAGATGAAAATTATATGTTTGTCCGAAGTTTTCATTGTTACAGGTCACTGATGTGAATTTATGTATTATTAGATTGTTTTGAAAATAATAGATATACCCCCTTGAACTTCTAGTAGAACAAGGGGATTAAGAAACTTTAGTGTAAGCCCTTTTCTGATGATATTGCAGGTGTAATTGATTATTTCTACCTACTTCACAGTTATTGTTTTCATAATTTCCTTCACTATACTGCAGTGTAGTGTAGTAGCTGATGATGAGCTAAAGCACAAAAAGAGCCAAGCAAAGTGTGGAAATATGCTGACAAAGCAGCTAGGTATCATAAAAAAAGGTAATCCTCAGGCATCAGCACAACTGAAATAATACCTTTGGAACAGATCGGAATGTCCTAAAATGCTGAAAATCAACAGGGTTCATCTTCTTCAATCCCAAATTTAGGCCTCATCTCATAAACACTATAAAGATATAAAGGCATTTGAAAGATTTTTGTTTCATCTTGAGCACCCACAAGATATACTATTCAAAAAAAGTGGGGATATTTGATTTTTAAGTGTTATTAAAGTCACCTAATGAAACTGACGAAGAAACAAATGACAAAATGAAATGAAGTTCACATTCATCGATTTATTCCAAATGATCGTTAGACTAAATAAGGCACAGACTGACCATTATAAGGGTAAAATGATACCCGGGGTCAAACAGCAAAGTTACCACAGCATCACAACCAAGTCAGTAACGGGTAAATCCTCCTCTGTTTGCCAAACAAGCATTGATCCGACGTGGCATACTCCTAATGAGACGTCTAAGGTCATTTTGGTCCAGATTGTCCCATTCCTGTTGCAACGCAGCAGCAAGTTCTTGGACATTGGCAGGACGTTGTTGACGTTAACGTAACCTCTGTCCAAGCATGTCCCAGACATGCTCGATGGGGGAGAGGTCGGGACTCAGTGCTGGCCAAGGTAATGTGGTGATGTTCTGTTGTTGGAGGTAACCTGTAACGATCCTGGCCCTGTGACATCTTGCGTTGTCATCCTGGAAGATGAAACGGCGGCCATGACGTCGTGCGAACGGCACAACATGGACTGCCAAGATGTTGTCCCGGTAGTACTGGCCTGTAACACGACCTGCAACAACATGTAAAGCCGTTCTTCCAGCAACAGTGATGCCTCCCCACACCATAACAGAACCACCCCCAAATCGATCATGTCTGATGACGTTAACGTCTTGGAAGCGCTCGTTTCGACGACGCCACACCCTCCTACGTCTGTCCAAAAAATCAACAGTGAACCTTGACTCATCTGAAAACATCACATTGCCCCAGCGTCGATTATCCCAGTGTTGACGATCCCTACACCAACGACGTCTTGCCCGAATGTGATGATCTCTCAAACAAGGGATCACGCGAGGACGTCGGGCGCGAAGGTGACCCCTATGCATTCGATTCCGAATCGTCTGGCCACTCACTCTCACACCAGTGTCTGTTTGAAGACGAGCGCTGATCTGATTTGCTGTGATGACACGATTTCTCAAGGCCAAGGTACGGATAAATCGATCCTGGGCTTGAGTTGTCGCCCTTGGTCGACCTGAGCGTGGTCTGTCCTGTACAGATTGTGTATCACGGTATCTGGACCATAGCCTGCTTATGACAGACTGAGAAACATTCATCGTCCGCGCCACAACCGCCTGTGTTGTGCCGATCTGTAGCATGCCAAGGGCACGTAACCTTTCATTTTGGGTAAGCCGACGCATATCAAAATTTGTTTTCTGGTCACTAAAACAATTAAACTGATGTTTCCACCCTGGAATTCAATGCCACAATGACTGTAACATTCAAAGTCAGAGTCGTGCAAATCTTGGGTTGGACCCCCATGATGATCCCAGAAATCCTCAGACATTCAGCAATTCGTCGTGGCATGCTCCTAATCAAAGTCCAATCACAATTTGGGGCAATCTGACCCACTCCTCTTGCAGTGCCACGGCCAATTCTTGCAGTTTTGACGTTGATGTCGACGAACACGTTTCCCGATCATGTCCCAGACGTGCTCTAGGGGAAACTGAGCGAAAGGTCAAGACTCATGGCTGGCCAAGGCATATATGGACAATATGGTGACGCTGGAGGTAGTCATTCACGACACGAGCGCGTTGGGCACGGCATTATCACAGAGAAAAATATTTACTCTGTGGCATTATCATATCTTGAAAGATGAAACGTCGACCTGCACGTTGAGCAAAGGGCAGAACTATCGGTGCCAGGATGTGGTCACGGTAGTACACACCAGTGACCCTCCCTTGAACAATATGCAAGTCCGTTCTGCCAGTCATGGTGATTCCTCGCCACACCGTAACAGAACCACGCCCGAATCTGTCATGCTGTCTGACGTTAACGTTAGCATGACGCTCATTTACACGCCTCCAAACGACAATTACCACAATTTCTACGCTGCCTACCCAATGACGCCTGTTTGTCATGTGCTGGCGAGTTAATGGAGGCACAACACGCGGTCGCCGCGCATGCAAATACGCTGCATGTAGCCGATTTCTAATCGTTTGGGGTGTAACTCGAATTCCTGTAACTTGGTACAAGTTTACAGAAAGCTGATTGGCCGTTTGTCCTCGACTTCGAAGGACCTATGTACGAATGTATCGATCCTGGGCTTGTGTAGTGGCTCTCGGACGAACTGAGCGAGGTCCATCATCAACATTGTGTGTTTGTTGGTACCGGTGACAAATTGTGTAGAACCCATTTGAAGCATGCCAATAGCACGTAGACGTTCATCATGTTGAAGACGTCTCATTGCAAATTAAACGTAACACACTAAAGCAAAGATACGCTAAACTGTAAATCTTATGCAAGAACTGATCAGGAAAGCAAACATAGATAGGTTAACCAGCATGCGTCAGTTTTCATCAACCCTTCCTTGAAGTGTCAAATTTGACAATGAACCTCTCCCACGTGTATGGCACTATACTGTGTGTCGCACTTGCAGCTCAGGTTCTGCTGGATGAACATACTCTCAAAGCATGTCAAGTGTCCATGACTATTTATCATATCACGCACAACCTGCATAGAGCATAGGTATTTGCATTTCAATATCCCCTACTTTTTTTGAAGAGTATATATCAGCCCATAAATCAATACGATAATCTGCTCCTGAATACAGATCTTTATAACCGTGGTCTGATCACTACTAAATTATGCACGACTTATGACCATCCCTTTGGCTATCCAGCGAGCGTGAAAGCGCCTGTGTTTGTCACGAAAACGTTATGATTTTTGACCCAAATACCCAATTTAACAGGCATATTCAAATAACTAAACATGTAGTAATGGTGATGATCAGTGGTCATTTGAAAATAATCGTTGGTCATTGATGAAAAAGCGCTGCTTTGGTTACATTGTGATGATATAAAAGCTTGCCATGCCAGCCCTTACATTTATACAATTCCCTGCTACTAACTACAGAATAGGCCTACAAATGAGAATAATCGTTGTCTGATTCTGCAAAATTATACACCAGTTACGCTCCTTCCCTACGGTGATCGTGAACGTCCGATTTTGTCACAAAAACATTATGATTTTAAACCAAAACTAGAACTGCGATGCAGTAATGACGGGTTTCACCGGTGCCACGTACGTAACCCTAAACATGTCACTTCCTGTACCAATGAAACCAGTAAACAGGTTTCCGACAAAAGCATTGCACACATCAAATAAAATGGATGCCGAATCAACCAAATCCAGCAATATCAATTCATTTTATGCATTTGTTACACGTAAGTGTACAGTACTTTCGGTGATAATGAAAATGTTCAATTTGTTTTATGAAATCAGAAATGCATAAGGCATCACATGGTGAAAATTTTATGTAAAGCGAATAATAATTGCCACTTTTATAGACCAAAAACCTTGAAAAGTGACTTGTAGAAAATCGTCTATTTCTCTGCAACCCTACAAGTTAGAAACAATTTTCTGGTATCTGTATGATCGTATGGGTTCAATCTATTTGCTGATTGAAATCAAATATCATAATTTTAAAAACATTCTAAAAATACAGTTTTTGCCAAAATGACGTTTACTTTCGGTGATAATAAAAATCTTAAATTACTGGTATGAAATCGTAAATGGGATTAGGTATCACACAGTGAAAATTTCATGAAAATCGAATAATAATTGACACTTTTATGGACAAAAAACCTTGAAAAGTGACCTGTTGAAAATTGCCTATTTCTCCGCAACTGAACAAGTTAGAAACCATTTTGTGATATCTATATTATCGTATGGGTTCATTCTTTTAGTTGATTAGAATCAAATATCAAAAATCTTAAACAAACAACAAATACGACTCGATCTTTCAATTATAAAGTTTAGTGTTGACAAGGTTTCTGTATAAAGATTGGAAGGTTGGATGACCGAATGGTTAGCGCGTACGTGCTGTATCATAAGGTCTGTCAATGAGTCAACTGCCATGGTTTCAATTCCCCGGTTGTACATGGGAAGGAGTAGGATTGCCTGATCTTATGATACAGCGCTCACATGTTCATTTCAACAGTAAAAGAATCGCATGGAAAATTGTAGCACACTAGTGGGTTTAGTGCCGGTCAGACCCGCTAAGAAACAGCTACATACGTTTTAGGGTGACATAGTTTTCAACATAGGTAAAATGACCACTTTCAGATAACCCACAGAAATTTCCACACGATTCATTCATTCCCAAAGTACAGCAGGATTTTAAGTCCACCACTTGCCCTATCATACCTGACCAATATCAAAATTTTGGGTCACAACATTTCGAGTTGGAGCGTTTTGAAATTTGGGCAAAAAACTGGCCAAAATTTGCATGCGATTCTTCTTTTACTGATGACCCGACGACTATCTTCAAGAGCAGTTTTTATGTGAATCCACTGCTCAGGCATCCTCATTAATGATATCTTTATTTCGTTTTAGAAACTTATTTAATCAAATGTGTTTTGGAGAAATTCTGTAGATATACATCCATCAAATCTGCTTTTTTGAGATTCAGCTCTGAATATCGAAAATTTGCCAATATCAAAAAACAAGGAGAGAGTGCAGTTTTTATGTTAATCTACTGCTCAGGCATCCTCATTTATGATATCTTTACTTCGCTTTAGAAGACGTATTTATTCACCGATATCAAAAATGAAAATCGAGGTAACTTCACACTAGTGAGCAGAAATTAGCCTGTGTATCTGATATCACTCGTCACTTCAGTCAGTTATATAGGATAACTTGTGTTTTCCTTTTGCGTTTGTCACTTCCCTTTCTTGAAATCTTCATAATGCATCTAACGGCGCAATGATCTCTGTGTTAAAATTATATTTGGAACGTGTTTAACCAGTTCTATCACATATGTGATAATGACTGAGACCAATAATATGTCCTTAACCGGAACTGGAACCCAGTTGAGACATCACCTAATGAACACCTACATAAAGTTTAAACACTAGGCTACCTCAATTAGAAACTGTGTTATTGTGTTCCAAAAGGAATGACAAACAGACTGATTAAGCCATTTTGATAGTCCCCTCCTTTCGTTCAAAGATGGGGGACAATAAACACTGCAGATGCAATATATAAGAACAAAAATATTGTTTTAATGTTTAATTCATTTACTTAAAACAAATTGTTAACATAATAAATATTTCAAGACTTTTAAAAAAAAACCTTGAAATAATAGTGGTATAAACTTTTTAAAAACCCTTCTGCCATAGATCAAATAATACAGAAATAATTTTGATTTGTATGTTGCAACCATAGCATTCTCATATACACCCACAACCAGCATTTTGAGGGTGGCTTTTAAATTTCATAGTTCAACATAAAATAGATGTGCAAGTCTGAATTTCATTTGGCTAATTGTAAGGAGGAACAAAGTATCCCACCAAGTTTGAAAAAAAACCAACCGATCTTTCAATTATAAAGTTTAGTGTTGACAAGGTTTCTGTATAAAGATTGGAAGGGTGGATGACAAAATGGTTAGCGCGTACGTGCTGTATCATAAGGTCTGTCAATGAGTCAACTGCCATGGTTTCAATTCCCCAGTTGTACATGGGAAGGAGTAGGATTGCCTGATCTTATGATACAGCACTCACATGCTAACCATTCGGCAATCCACCACACACCCCCATTAAAGAAGGATTTTACATACCCAAGAATAGTTTTTAAAAATAATATTGAAAATCCCTCACCTTTAGGCATAAGGGCTATTAAATAATCCAAATAGAAATATATTCCAAATCTAAGACAAAAATATCTCTTTCAATTTTGAAAATATTGAAAATCCCTCACCTTTAGGCATAAGGGCTATTAAATAATCCAAATAGAAATATATTCCAAATCTAAGACAAAAATATCTCTTTCAATTTAACAGAAACATTCTTCGTTATTCAAACTTATATTAAAGATAGGTTGCCATGCAATAAAACATACACCCACAGAATCAAAGTCGTGCAAGCAGTCCATAATAGTTGAATCGTTGGGTATATAAAAAGGAACATTTTTAAACTGTATAATATTGATGTGTTGACAAGATTCTGGGATCAAGTAATTATTAGAATTTGTTCTTATTCAAAAAGATTCTATATTTCACTAGCTTCCACAAAGTGACATGGACAGTAACTCTAGTAGGAATTATTGTAAATTCTAAAAATCTTATCGGCTTCTTTGGATATATGAAACTTGCTTTTGTTAGAGCATAACTTTAAATGGAAATTGTTGAAATTTGATATGCTTCTTCTTCTGAACAGTGCATACAAACAGATCGGCGCGCAATTATTGTAGTTAAGAGTGTTCACAAGAGTTTACATAGTTGACAGGGACAATAACTGTTACTTATTTTTAGAAATAGCCAAAATTCAAAAGGCATCTTTATCTGAACACAATTGTCAAAGATCATAGGATATATGTACTTTGTAGAGTGTTCATAACAAATTGTGGGCATCTGACTGACGGACGGTGCCAACCACAATTTTAATCACATATTTTATGTGAGGGTGTAAATTGTAATGTATTTTTTCTGTTAAACTGAGAAAAACAAGTGTTATTCCATAATACTGGGTTATATTTCACTTCAATGAAGCATTTTAATTTTCTGGAAGGTTATAAAAATGCACAGCTTTTTTCCTTCTCACAATACTATTTAGACAAATATATTGAGCATTACTTACTAAAGGCACTATATCTGATAGACATTTATATCTGAATTAGATATGTATAACAAAGTTTTAAATTGAAGTCAAGAGAACAAATATTTTAACATTTTCACAAACCTGTTTATCTCTATTATGTTATTGTTCAATGTAATTATTACTGATAAAAGGGACATTTTGGAAGAATAATAAGATAGTGTTAATAAGTCCAGATTAAATATTTACTACAAATAAATTAACAACAGATGTAGTGTCTTTAGTCAAACCGATTCCACTAATTCAATATTCTTTGGTTTATCAAAATAATGTTAGTATATTTTCAAATCTTGATAATTACATGTGTTTTACTATTTTTTTTTTCATCTCAATCTGCATTATGTAAACTTAAGTCAATCATAATTATTATCTTTGATTAATGTTTTATATAAAATCACAGACAACAAAATAACTACAGAATGCACATGCTGCGAGATTCATAAAATATTGAAGTACAATGACAACTGCAAATATTTCAGTCCACTTTTAGCATATGTATTACAAATATCACAAAACAAAAAAATGATAATGCTATAGGATATGGGTGACAATGAATAAAAACAGATTATATGTGTAATATACATTTTTTTTTTTTTTTCATTTTTCTTTTTAAAAATGATAATGAGTTGTGTCTACCAAACAATGTGTATATAACTTCAATGTTATTCAAGCTACAATGTGTATATAACTTCAATGTTATTCAAGCTACATGTACAGTACATCCATGCATTTCCTTTTTTTAAATTTCTAAACACATAATGTAATAGAAATATTACCAAAGTAAGAACAAATGTACCTCAATATAGCAAAATGAAGCTGTAAAATTTGAAGACAAAATTTATTGATCATATTCCTATTGATAAAAACAGAAACATTTACGGTGGCTGATTTAGGACATGCCAAAAAAGTTGTGCACTTGAGATACTAATTTGTGCAGTTAAGATACTAAGTTGTGTGCTTCAGATACTAAGTCAAGCACTCGAAATAATAGGTTGAGCCACAGGATAATACAATCCAACTTGTCCCATCCATACAGTGGCTAGGAAAGGTCATCCCAAATTATCACGATCGATCGACTTACTGTTAAGCAGGGCCTTGGGCACCATACTTGCCCTCAAACCAGTGAGGCAACAACGGTGCTGGGATATCGTTTACCCAGACACGTGTCTAGGAATTTGAACAGTTTGGAATCTGGGGCGGAGACGTCAAGTTTGGTGTGAGGTCTGGGAGTTACCAGAGATTTTTTTTAAATAAAATCAGAAGATCTGAGACAATATTTAGGCATATACAGATATAGGACTGGAGTAGAGCGGCGATGGTTTGCACGTTCGTTTGTTCAACGTTATTTTTTGGGGTGAATGTAGGAGAAACAAAATATTCTCTGGACACGCGTCTGGTCACCACAAACGTTCGTAAAATCCAATACTCAGTGGAGACAGTGGAGCAAGACACTTCCAGTTTAGCCTTATTATAGAAAGTCAATCGATTGAGATGCCAAGTCAATCTCGATCAAGATACTAAGTCGATATAAAATCATTGGATGTCCTTTCCCAGCCACCATATATTTATCTCGACTTAATTATCTCCCAGTCCTAATTATCTTGAGGCTTGACTTAAATATCTTGTGTGCTCAACTTCATTAACTTGAGCGCTCAAGATTTTCTTTTTATTTGCATGTCCTAAATCAGACACGTAGACATTTAATATTGACTTGAGTAAAAAAAAAAAAAAAAAAAATTCAACAAAATGATAAATCACTGTCATGAAGACATACAATCTGATTAAAATAAGCTATCAACTTCATTTGGTTTTGTCTACAATGACAGTGCCAAAGTCAGACAAAAAAAAAGAAAACAAAATAGTAATCTAATTTGAATTAGATTGGAAGAAATATGATATAAATGAAGATTGACTTGACAAATGATAAAACGATTATCAGCAGATAATAAAAACAAAGCAGTGATATTGGCTTATTCTGGCCCCCTTCACTAATGTAATGTATAACTAATGAATTAGATAATCATGCTAATCTTACAAGATACAATATATCTTGACTTCATAACCAAAATAGGCTGTTAATATATTTAGTTTGTTACTACCTCTCACATAATAACATAAGCTGTTTACAGCAATCACAAATTTGGAAACTCAATTCCATGTTTTATCTTTCAAAATTCATAAATCAGTTTAATACTCATCACATTTTTTTTTTTTAAATCAAATTTCAATTTTGTCAACATTAAATAAATCCATATGGTTGGTGATATATAAACTAATGAAAACATATTACTCACCCTTCTTATGATCAACCATTCAAATTATCTTACAATATCAAAACAATGCAAATATGTCAAACACAAACATAATACAAAATTTGGCACAGAAAGCAAGTATTAAAAAGTAATGGATATATATCAACTTCAATATCAAATCAAGAATTTCATGTTTGAAGAAAAGTTTATGATGAAGTGCACTGAACTGATGATTAGAAAATGCTGGTATAGAATTAAGCATGAACTGACAGATTTTTTTTTAGTGTTACTCAACAAAAATCATAAATATTGTAATTGCATTTCTTTAAAAAAATGAATATATTATGATTTACCGGTATTATAATAGTATACTTGCTTTGATATCACAATTTATCACCGTACAAACCATTATTACATTATCAACATTTACAACAAATTGAATACTGTACCAAGACAATTTAGACCACCGTAAACAAATAAATTAAGTTGGGTGTGTAAAAATTTTAAGTACATTTATCTAATGTTACCATCAAGACAGAATCCATTGTAGTAAGATTTTATATTTTAAAATCCCTGTGTGTAATAATTTTCTGTTGTAATAATATCAACACAATTAAAGCAACAACAATAATTAGGCTCTAAGTTTAGTGAAAGCCAAGTGTGCAACAATATACATACAACTACCTATATCCAGAACGATTAATGCCAGTGAGTAAGCTATTTTATTTAGATCTACATGTATTTACATTATTGCCCATCTTCATTAGCTCAGCTGGTGCCAAAAGTTTGGATGTTTAAGGCCATTTCATTTCAATTTACATCATAACCAGCGGCTGCCAGGCAAGATATGCCCACATTTTGCAAGAGATGGATAGACAACAAGCTAAACAAAAAGCGATTTTTCGTACAATCAAGGGTCATAATTCAGGAAGTTACGATCCGATATGCGACAATATCGACAGGAAACAAGATCTTTGGGTTGTTATAAAGATATATTTAAAGTTTTATCCAAATCGGATAAAAACTGTGACTTCTAGAGGGTCCACAACCTTGATACACTATATATTTAGAGGGACCCACAAGCTAAAAAGGTGATTTTTCAAACAACCACGGGGCATAATTCAGGAAGTTACAATCCAATATGCACTAATTTTGAAAGGAACCAAGATCTTTAGGAAGTAAACATGTATTTCAAGTTTCATCTAAATCAGATGAAAATTGTGACCTTTAGTGTGTTCACAAGCTAACAACGTGATTTTTCGTACAATCAGGGGCCATAATCCATGAACTGAGATCTTTGGGAGATAGACCTATATTTTAAGTTTTATTAAAATCGAATAAAAATTGTTACTTGTAGACGGACAGGGGCAACGACAATATAAGTACACATGAAAATATGGGCATATAAAAATATAGACAGTGTCATGGAAGTAGAAAGAGAAAAAGATTAGAAATTTTTAAAAAGTCCACAAAATCAGAGAGAGACATGCTGGTGTTTTTGTTCTACCAACTTTCATGTTTTTCTTTCATGACTTATTTTTATATTCATCAATGCCAAAATCGTGAAATTTCTCAATGTTTTTCTATCATTACATGTGCAGTGGTAGAGAGCAGCATTCGCATCTCCTCTTAATAGAATTTAAATGCAAATTGATCTTTCACATAAACTACTAACTTGCACTATTTAAACCCCAGGCATCAACCCCTGGGCTGGATCATGGGATATTCTATTTGTGAGTCTAGATGAAGCCTTGACAACAAATGCCTCTCACTAATGTTCAACTAGTTTTAATGGCAAAACATCAACATTGAACAACACCATTGTGTGGGTTTTCATTTACAATAAAAAATACTTTTGTTTTTTAAATCAAGGCACTAAAGGAATTTCCCTTCATACTACCCAACATATATTAATTTCAGATTGTCAAATGTTTCAAAAACCAAGAATTCTGAATACAAACAACTGCAAATAAAAAGCAAAATATAAAGCATAACATGATAAGTAGTTGCACAGAGACAGAAACAAATAAGCAGAATGAAAGTATGAGGACAAAGTGTGTGTTAGAAATAAATATATCGGATGAGCACTATAGAATAAGTTGTCATAAAATACATGTACATGCAAAATGAATCGGTTATAAATGTCATTTATTTTAACTAAGACAGATTATTGTAGATAATATAAACAATCCAGGGAATACTATTGATAAAATCCCAATTACTACTTAGTTTAAATATTGTTAAAAGCATTTGATAATATATTCTATCCGTTATCATAAGAAAATCTCCCAATTACATCCAAGTCTAATGAAAGAATCCCTTGGATTTAACAAGAATATTCATGAAGAATATGAATTCAAAATGACCAAATGTTAATAGCTGCCCATCAAAAAAACAATGCTTACTGTATTTTAAAATAGATTTAATTTTGTTAATATGTTAAAATTACTAGTAAATCGTACAAAAATACTTTCACATCCATTTTCTGTACCAGTATTCATTTTTTAAAAAAATCTTCATGTATACACAATGCAACTGTTTTTCAATTACTTTCATTAGTAAATAAATGTAGTTTCGAGGTTTTTTTAACATACTTGTGTGAGTTTTTGTAACATACTTGTGCGTTATTTATAATTCAATGTCCTAAAAATCAGCATCTGTTATAATAAATCATCAAACAGTTTAGTTTTCAATGACTTACTTGAAGTTGAAAGTAATTATATTCCAATATTTCACTTCAAATAAATTTCAAATCTTTTAATTAGATTTTCTGACATTAGTTAACAGTCTGGTCAAGATGGATATATGATTAATAAAATGTTGGACATGGACATACATATTATATTATGCCCGATATATATATATATATTTACAAAGACGGTATCCAAAATATTTTCATTCCATGTATTAATCCTTCCATGCAACATTAATTCACAAAATCTCTATTTTAAATAAACCTCCTCTCAGGAATTTGTTTTATTTAACCCTTTAAAATGATTATTAATATTTTACATTGCGTTCTTCCTTACTGTCAAATAAAAATGTTATCAAGATTTTACTAATTCCATGGAGACCTATCTCATTAGGTTTCTACAAAATTTCAATCTCAAATTATTTCTCTTTTGTGTTCACAATTTTCAACAGTTGCAATTAGTGAAAAATATACATGTCTTTAATGTCACAAATTACATCTGAGTGTACTGTATGCATCAAGACTTTCATAAATAATAACCATGTTTACAAAGTAGAAAAGATATTTTTCTCATCCAAATGCTAGGACATCAAAAGTGAACTTAGCTCATAGAACATTCATAGCACAAAGAACAGGCGAGATACTACTTTGTTTGAAAGGGTAGGTAATTCTTATGTAAAAACATTGTGAGCGGTTTAAGAAACATTTAGCCTTATAGGGGTTACATTATACATACACTATCACTGACATATATAAGATACTTATATCATGTCACTTCCATCATTCATACTATACATCTATATACAATCTATATACAGTAATATATAATATACATATTACATCGTATATTATCATAATCAATGTGTGTATTAGAAAGAATTCAATTTTAATCTGGGTTCTAAAAAAAATATTTACCATCATGTTTGGTTTATAGTGGCGATGATGCCGACAATGATTTTAAATAACTTCGGGTCAAATTTAACATATAAAATAGAACAGAACTATATAAATATTTTCATGTAAATTGCTCTCATAATTTGTTTTAAAGGTATATTCTATACGCACATTGATTATAACAACATCAATCTCAGTATGTAAGTTTAAAAAAAATTGTATAAATTGTCAAAATTTTAAGATGGAACTATTAAAATTAAAGTCTCTGTGTGCCATCTGAGGAATGTAGGAATCCCTTGCAAACTACAACATTGTGAAAGTTGAATCTCTAAAAGGAATATCAGTCAAAAATGAAAACAACATTCGGCATCCTTTCCATACGGATCAGGATAAAACTAGTTACAGCAATCTGTAATCTTCACCAAAATCCCATTGAATCCAAGTCAAAAGATTATCTACCATTGATTTTATTGTCTTAATTAAATGTTACATAATCAGTGATGCACAGAGACTTAAAATTGATCAAAAACTCTTTTTTTTTTTTTCGCTTATACTATAGTATACTAATATTTTGCAGAAAATATGTGACCAAGAAGTCCAACATAATTATTAGGAATTATAAAAATATATACACATGTATCGTGTCATAAAATCTACTTAAGGTTTTCTATACAAATATTTGTCTTTTTGGAGTTTAAACAAATGTACCAAAGAGCATAATATCTAATAAATGTATAATAATAATAGTAATAATAACATGGAAGTAATAATAAATAATTAGGTTGAGTAAAATATATGAATCATGTTCAATAAATGTTTGCTTTTTTACATGGATAATATGTAAATCATCCGTTTGGAAAATTGCTCACCCCTAACAAACAATAAAAAATCCCAAATAAACAAATGCATTTGTTGCAGTACATTTGTATTTTTACATTCAACATTTGTCAGTGCAGTTTATCATGTTTTCATATCATTGTTACATAGGTAACTATTAATATATGTTATATAAAGCATTCAATAATTCTACAATATCAAATTGGGGTTATTCATTTGTAACAAATACTGTTTTAATGGGACAAAAAGCAAAAAAATAGTAATCTTATCAACACCAAAATGGTGGGTTTTTTTTTTCATTTCCATCCCCATTTTTCCTGCGAACTTTGTAGTTTCTGAAGGTTTAATGTCAGTTTCCATAGTAGTGATATCACAGACAAAATATTTTTTTTTTCTAATTCAAGATGTAATAAGTAGATAATCAAGTATATTAGTCTACATGTATAAAACTCAACCAACCAGATAATCACTAGTTCATATAAACACACATTCTTGGAAACACCATGCATGTAATAGATGTTCCTATAAAATCACTCCTAATAATGTACAATAAATGAGTAATTGCTAGCTATAACACAACAGCATGAAAAAAGTGTAAGGTTTTCAGTCTGCTGTACATATTGGTTTACAATGAAATGGGTGTATCCGCAAAATACACTCACATCTGTCAGGTGTCTATTGCATCCATTAAGAGTTCTTATCTAAGTTAAGACATTAATGATGCACTGGTTTGTCCTATTCACATCGAAACAAATTCCTTCATTTCTTTTTTTTTCCAATAAAAATAATCTGATAAGCGTTTATATACATTATTAATATGTCGCATATTTAAAAGGTGTCATCTTTAATAATATGATGCCCTTTCTTCAATGTAGTGTACACACAGTGACTACCTACATATTACCAATCAATATCGAAAGGTTCATGTACTCAAATAAAATAATAAATGAAGGAAAATGGAATGAAAATAACATACATATATATAATTATATACTAGGCTAGTTTATTAATAAAATACATAACAACTCAATAAAATAAATATTTTTCACAGAATGATATATACCTCATAATCTGACACACACAAAAAAAAAAGTCATACGCAAGAAGCTAATCTATATAATAAGCTTTTCAATGTAATACAACATTATGTTATCACAACATTTAGAAAAACAACAAACAATACACATTACATGCATGTAAATACAAAAAACCCCATACACAGCTCTAAATCACATTACTGTAAGCTGTAAGTTAAAGCTTCATAAGTCCCTTCCTTCAACTTTATTTTGCAGACATTCCATAACCCAAAGTTCTAACTGATAACTATTTATTACCATGAAAGTCTGTCTTTAACGATCGTCTTTGAAACTTAAAATCAAGAATTGATATATTTCAGATATGATCATGCAGTTAGACAGTATATAACTTATATAACTTATCTTACATCAACTATGTTCAGGTGTTGTATTACCCAATAAGGATTTTAACAGTGATTCGACTGAAATAGAAAGAACAAAATTTCTAAAATATACATACAAATTTCTAAAATGGTAAATTTTATATCGCTTATTTTTATTTATTATCTACATGCGCAAGGATTTACTTTATAGCTTCTGACATGGAGGGAAATGATTTCTGGTATTCAGTTTGCTCATGACCACAAGGAATTCAGCTGATATGAATTTATGAAAACCTGGCCATTTTTAGAATCAAAAGAACACAACAAAATAGGTTGCCAGGCAATGAAATCCACGCAGTTGGCAAGGATTGCCACATTTTTATTCTGTTGTAGATAATTTACATTACACTGATATCAATTTCAAGGGCCACAACCCTAGAAGTAATTTATTAAAGAAATTGTTGAATCTTAATACGCTTCTACATTTCGGTTTACTAATTTAAATGATGCATATAAATTTCCTACAGATCGGATCATAACTTTTGTTGTTAGAACATTCGCAAGGTTCAACAGGGGCTACAACTTTAGAAGTAATTAACGGAAATTAAATAAGTATCTTCGTCTCTAGAGCTGCAACGATTCAGTTCGGTGCACCGATAACCAACACTAGCCGCCTCGGTTCGATCCACAATCTACAACGTTCAAATTTCAATTCGGTTCAATTGCAAATTAAATTTCAAATAAAAACAACGTACACCTTTCCATATGAAATAAAATGAAAGACCTGTAGTAATTAAGTCCACTTACGTAACTTTTAATTTACGTTATTTAACAAGACACGAATGTCACTCGAAAACATAACTAAAACAGAGTGACCTCCCTTTAAAACAATTTCCGTATGTTGACGAAAGTTAATTTATTTAAAATTGGTGACGTACCGAATGTTCATTGGATGTTAATTTAGAAAAAAACTCTAAAGATGTGGCAACTTGTAGAGTATGCTACACTGACATATCCTATAAAACAGGAAACACAACAAACCTGTCAAACCAATAAAAGTGTTCAAGAGAATTTTAGTCTTGTGTTTTTATTGTTTTTAATGAATTATATACAGGAAAAATTACTGGCTATTGTAGTTGATAATCGAATCGAAAATAATCGAATCGAATGGTTAAAATCGATAATCGAACCTAATCGAGGTAGTTGTGAATCGTTGCAGCCCTATTCGTCTCACTAATATAAACAACATATATAAATTTCAGAAATTGTGGACAACGGATGGTGGCGTATTAAAATGTACATTTGTTTGTTCATATGGGGTCAACAGTGATTAACAAGTCAATGTTGTAAAACTAAACTTACCTTGTGCGTTAGAGTTAATAGGTGAGGTGTTGTCAGGCATGGCGTTATTGTTAGGAGGTAAGATGACAATCATAGGTTGAGACGTAATCGGACTAGATGTTCCAAAATTAACCAAGTTAGGTTGGTTTACATTTGAACCATTACTTACCATAATCAACTGGGGATTGGATGCAACAGTTGATTGATGTGCTAAAACAAATATATCATCAGAATCAAATATTTTAAATACTTAAAAATATGTTCACTGTCGGTCGCCAAAGCTGTAATTTGTGATAAAAATAAAGAAAAGCGGTCATTAAAGAAATCTTATAATTCTAATCGTATTTATCCTAGTTTGATTATTACTTTGAGTGTCAACCATAATACCATAAATTAATCAACAAGCTGATAATCCGGCTGAATAACACTAATCAATTGTCTTGGATTAGTGGCTTTGGTTGATTGATAATTTCCAATGATAAAGTTTATCTCAAGTCAGCATTTACTCATAATAATAAATCCAAGTGGTGATTATCTGATTATTAAATGTTTAAAATAAAGGAATATAAACAAAATGGCTGACAATTCTTTTCAATGAGAATTAAACGTTTTTTAAGCTGAATTTTGTTCACTGTAGCTTAACAGGATAGCTAATATAAAACATTTTTCATAAGAATATTTAGTACTGATACACTTACTTGAACGATTAGGCATGGCAGAAGTCATTATCATCTTATCATGGCCAGCTATAGTCTGAAGACTTGGATGACCTGCCACCGATACCGATCCAACTGGTTGAGTTGTCATTCCTGATTGAGTTATTCCAAATACAGCACCAGGTGGCAGTTGAAACAAGGAAGAAGCTTTCTGGGAATTCTGTGTCTGCTGTATTAGTCGATTCAATTCCAATGCAACTAAACAAATGATTTGATCCATTTACTTTATACATTTTTTGTTGCGTATTGTAATTAAGTGGTAATAATTAATGATGTGTGCTATAGTTGGTAAGTAATTTTCAAACATTGTAATTGTTATAAATATATAAATATATAGTACAGAATGTGTTTATCTTTATTACGACTAAGAACATTTACAACATTGTGGGCTTGTAAATGAGGTTGTCACTATTATCCTAACTGAGTAGACATCATTTGCTTTCAGCTGTCATGCTAATGGTGCAATACTAATACCAAGTTCCTATCATTTCTAATATAATATATAAGATTACCTGGCGATACAAAGGAAGGTGCTTTCTGATCTTCATCTGTTTCCATGGGAACTTCTATTTTTACAGGTGTCTCAACCACTGAATAATAAACAACATATATCAATCATTTATTCTACACTATATGTCAATTTGTCACTTAAACAATAACAGCACAATATTTTAATCAAATTGTAACCAATGTGTCATTTTTATTTATTATAATAAGGCAACAAAACATACTAACTTAAAGGAGCTAAGTCTCTAACTCAATATCATCCAAAATCTTCAACATTGAAAACACGATTTATTTGTCAAATTAAATCAACATTCATGTTGTGATCTTACCGGAAAAAGATGGGCTTTTGATATCCAATAATTAAGACAAAATAAACATTTTACCATTGGTACACGAATCGTGTACCATAATGCGCTTCAGCCCCAGTTGTATCAAGAGACTCGAGGGACGAGGCTAGACACATTGCACCAAATCAAACGGCGTATGTATAACCAGACGCTAGAAATTTGCACTCGCTTGAGATTGCTGACTTATTTCGCCGAACATAACTGATTTGAAATTGGAGTAAAAACTGAAACCATTGAATGTAAATCAGTTTATATACATTCATATTACAGTATTATATGTGTTGCGACCCACTTTTGTCAATTTCTAGGTCCCAAATGTTAGCGATTTAGCTCCTTTAAGCCTCTTGGACATGCACAAGATTTTTCTAAATGATCATGGGCCATAACTCTGGGAATAATTATCAGAAATGGTTGAAAATCAATAAGCTTCTTTACATCATGAAGCTAAACAATGTTTATCGGAACATAACTTTAGCCTCTAAGCGGACCAATAGATATGATGGGTGACGCAAATACAGGACCATGTTTTAAATTGGAATATAAAAAATTAAAACTTTGTAGTTTAATTAAAAAAATATAGACACAATAGAATAGTCATTTTCCTGATGACTTATTATGATATTTTATATTGTTCTGTTATTGTTTTCTAAATCACCAGGTTGATACACGTACAGTATGTTAAATTTTGGTCACACTAACAAAAAGGGTCAGTCCGAAATATATACTTGATTGAGAATGAGATAAAATAGATCAGATCAATCTTGTCAAATCCTAGACTTGCCCTATCTTATTCATTTATATCACCACAATATTTTTCCGTGATTATATTACAACCAATAGAATAACAGGGAGTCACAAAATTTCAACACTTGCCTCCAAAAAAAATAACCCAAGGATTGATCTTGAATATTATTTTGAATATCATCAACCTGATCATTTATTTTTTTTAATGTGACTGAAACTGAAAGTAACAAGTTCTAATAAAATAAAATAAATCTAAAAACATTGTCCACATAAGATTCATTTTAAGTTAAGTTTAACTTTAAAAGTTGCGTTTAAACTTTTATTTTATATGCACTGTCTATTTTGAAAAGTTAAATTCTAGGAACATTATTGACTAAACTTTAAAGCAAATACTGACTTGCATCAAATCTCAGCTGATGACAACTGTATTTATTTTACAATTTGGATTATTTCTTAATTGTTAAAAAAGCAAGCAGCAGAAAATAATAGAAACTAAGCTTGTATGCAAAACCATTTCTTCGTTGTGAAGCCAAAATACATTGTGTTATAATGCATTGTTGATTATAAGTGATCGCCAGTATTGAGGGATAGGGGGTTTCCGTCTTTTAGCGAGATTTCCATTTAGGGGGAACAATATCAACTTACTGTATGAAGCCTAGAATTTTATGTGACACAGTAAATAAGATATTAAATAGACCACCTGAAGTAGGCAACGTCTGCCGTCTGGCAGCATGCAACTCAACTTTGATCATTGAGAATTATGTCAGCCTTTCATTGTTCAAGTCCACGTGTCTACAGGAAAATCACATATAATTATTAATGTCCCTCCCCCCATAAAGACATTGCTTGCATAGAATGTACAAAGCTGCAGGTTTGTTTTCTTTCAATACTCAATATTTTAGAGAGTGAATTTCTACAATAGCCAAATGTAGATTCAAGGTCTAAATAATGTGTAGCCGATTTACATTTATTTTATAAGCTTCTGTCAAGACTTATGTCATTTTCTGTCTAAACTATTTTACCAACAACTATCAATTCAATCAAAATACCAAGAAAATCCTTATAAATAAGCTCTCTAGATTAGAGAAGGAAATCATGAATAACAATGTGTAAATCCTCAGCAGTTATAAATCTGATGTCTTTGACACCATTCTTCACCACAGTTTCTAAGAATCTAAACCCTCTCTGAAAACGTATTCCAGTCGAAAGATTCCTGCAGTTTTTCTCTTTGAATTTTTTTTGTGTGATTTGTGAATGCACTACAATGTTAACTTATTTAAAAGATAAATCAATTCTGTACACACTGATTAGAGTCTTTTTACAGTTTAATCGAAAACTTTACCCTTCTGTCATTGTTTTGCAAATGTAAATGTTGATTTGACACATATTGTTTTGTTTATATTTTTCAAATAATGACGGGGATATAAATTTTAGTTACTGTAAAAAGCATCTGAACTTTGTATAACAAATGGAACAATCTTTTGCTATTTTTAAGACAATAAATCACAGAAATAAATTATAGATAAATTCAATGAGACCCTCAGTTAAAAAGTGTTGCCAGGGAACTGGGAAACAGTCAGATTTACCTTCGGATGGTCTTTTTTTTTTAAATTTCTATACCATAAAAATATTATTCTCTTTGATCCACCAAGATAAGTCCATATCATTGACTTTAAGGTAAGATACACCCCCCCAAGTTCCCTAACAAACATTACTGAAATCGGAAATGATCGAGCCTATAACTCTTCATTTGTATACTACTACATGTATATTAATAACCGTTTAGTTCCACATACAGCCTATGATTACACATACATGTAACCTCTGTATTTTCTGTAAAATGCTGTATGTTTGCAATCAGGGTCAAAACACTGGGTCGAAACAATAAAGCAAGACCACAAAAAAATCTCAAAACAAACACAAACACACTATTCAATGTTGCTCAACTGACTGTATCGATATTATGAAAACACATGAACTAGTTATATAATCATCACTAATGGAGACAGCCTTCACAGAACCCTCTATTTGACACTCATTGTGAGAAAAACAATGTTTAATGTGAAAACAAATCTGCCTGCAGCCATGTACATACACATGCAGAAATAAGGAAGAATAAACAAAAAATCAGATCTTTTACAATACCTCCAAATATGGCAATCTCCTCTTTCAATGTGGCTCGCGAAATGACAATTTTCTTTATCTTTATAAAGATGGCATCCAGTGCACAACAAAAATCACTACCCGATTACGGCTTTGAAGTTTGGAAAGAATATACATCTACATGTACAGCACATGTGGTATCATTTTCGATAGTATTCCTATATCCTTATTAAGAATTGTGAGTACAAACATCAATACCAAGCCTATCAGTACTGTAATACTTCAGTTAAAAGATATATGTATATCACAATTCCATGTACACAGTTACTCAAGTACTAAATTTAAAAGCTATTCATAAATAACCATACATTTAATTAAATGATGTGAAAAATGTGTAAAAACATTGCAATTTTGAAATGATTCTGGGCAGTGATTTTGTCAATATGCTGAAATCTAACGACTGATTATCCATGAACACAACACAATTATGAAGTATGTAAGCAAAGGATGCCTTCCCTATATGTTTTACATAGTGACTATACAAAATGAGGTCTCAATTCAACCAAACCAAGATATCAAGGTGTCCCTTCACAGTTTCCAAAAGATCTTAGTCCACTGCTTGAACTAAGCTACTTAGAGTTATCATGCTGGTTGGACATGTTCAAATATTGTTCAAAATGAAACGAGATTCATGCGGCTATTCTAAAGTTAATGTTCCTTCCCTTTCAGTAAAAAAAAAATCACACACACTGAATACTATATTGCCGTATCATGGCTTGGTTGAGTTGAGTATATACTGGCCCTGTCGACTGATGTCTTTCATAAATAAAATTCTCAGTAATTTTGTGTCTTTTAAATTCATCCCAATTGATCAAATTATCTATGTAGGTTTTTTTATAGACTCTGTTTTTAATGACAATCAGTCAGCATTCTCTCATTAATACTGTGAGGGTACAGGTACTTTAAAATTAGTGGAAAATGCACGTCAGAATGACATAATATTTCATGTTGGCATCTGCTCATTATAAACCACGTACAACAAGGTGAGTTTTGGAGGATGAGAAAAGCTGCATGTAACATATTGCCGTATATTAAACAGTCACAAAAAGTTATGTACAGTACCTATAATCGTAGGATTTTAATAGCAACAACTTGTTACAAGCAGTCAAAGAGCCTAACAAAAAAAATAAAAGAGGCTGATACCAACATGAAATATAATATATTCCTGTCCTAATTCTTATAATTTTCTTAGCTTGTCATCTCAAATAATGATGGAAAAGATATACATTATACAGTTGCTATAGGAGATGGACAATGTGACAAATAAAGACTGCATTGATGCATTTGAGTTACAAGTATGTAAATGATACATTTCACTCTCATAGTAATGAGGAATTACATGTACACATACACATAAATTCATTAATAGTTTGGTAAAGAAAACTCAAAAATGACAATAGTCTAGTTTCGATTTGGTTACAAATTCATACAAATGAGGCTAGAAATCTTGTGTTTTTGAACGAATTAAACATGAAATACAAGACTTAATCTTATTATTGGAAACCACTCACAGGATGAATGAGAATTGAGACCAGTGGGTACTATTTGAAACTGACTGATTATAATAAGAACCCTACCTGGATTATAGATGTATTTATAAGCATCACTAGTTTTACTGTTACATCTTATAACAATCTGTACAATGGCCGGTTTAACAACATTCTTTGTGTGATATTCAGGTACTGTACAAATCAAATGTTGCTGAAATATATTGTATCATCGTAATCTTATATATTCATATACAGAAAATAGGTAATTAGCATGAGGTTCCTAAAAGAAAATATAACCAGGGCTGCCAGCCAAGATACGCCCACATTTTGAAAGAAATGGATAGAGAACAAGCTAAACAAAAAGCGATTTTTCATACAATCAAGGGCCATAATTCAGGAAGTTATGATCCAATATGCGTGAATATCAAAAGAAACCAAGATCTTTGGGTTATAAACATGTATTTCAAGTTTCATCAAAATCGGATCAAAATTGTGACTTCTAGAGGGACCACAACCTTGATAAACCATATATACTCTTCAAAAAAAAATAGGGGATATTGAAATGCAAATACCTATGCAGGTTGTGATATCATAAATAGTCATGGACACTTGACATGCTTTGAGAGTATGTTCACAGATGAAGAACTTATCGCCCCAACAGAACCACTGAGCTGCATGTGCGACACGCACATACACGTGGGAGTTCATTGTCAAATTTGACACTTCAAGGAAGGGTTGATGAAAACTTCCGCTTGCTGGTTTATCCTATCCATGTTTGCTTTCCTATTGGTTCTTGCATCAGATTTACTGTTTAGCGTATCTTTGCTTTAGTGTGTTACGTTTAATTTGATCGGGAGACGTGTTCGTCGACGTCAACGTCAACCGAATTGGCCTTGGCACTGCAAGAGGAGTGGGTCAGAATGCTCCAAATCATGATTGGAAGGTTGATTAGGAGCATGCCACAACGAATTATTGCTGAATGTCTGAGGATTGGTGGAGCAATTACTCATTATTAACACAAAAATCAAAAACGTCCATTTTCACTTTTGATAGTGTATCCCTTTGCGAGTGAAATGGGACCGTCAGATAAGCCGCCCATATGAACTGTTTATGTTCATGTGTAGCCAATTGGCCTGTTATTAACATACACTGGTTACCTCTAATAAAAACAGCAGTGCATTTCCGCAGTTTTAAATTGTTTCTGAATATCCAGTTTTTTTCAATCAGGTAAAAATTGTGACCTCTAGAGGGACCACAAGCTACAAATGCGATTTTTCGTACAATCAAGGGCCATAATTCAGGAAGTTACTATCCGATATACGCAAATATTGAAAGGAACCAAGATCTTTGAGTTATAAACATGTATTTCAAGTTTCATCACCTTGATATACCATAATTTTACACTATTTGCGTACGATGGGGTGGCCATGTTGTCTGACAGTTTTGGCCCGATTTTCACGAAATTCAAACTCAAGCGTCAATACAGTGTAACAGTGATATATTCAAAAGTTTTTTTAAATCGGATAGTAATTGTAACCTCTAGAGGGACCACATGCTAAAAACATGATTTTTCGTACAATCAAGGGCCATAATTCAGGAAGTTACGATCCAATATGTGCAAATATCGAAAGGAACCAAGATCTTTGGGTTGTAAACATGCATTTCAAGCAGTGATGGGATTTTGCCCGTATATTCCGGATATGTCCGAAGCTATTTTTCAAAAGTCCTAAATTGTCCGACCAGGAATATGCCCAATCAGGCATCATGACATGGTGAATAATATTCAAAATTCCAAAATTAATATAGTGTACTGAGTGTATAACTACCACTCAACAAGATTATCGTTGATAATAGGCTGGATTGATTAGGTAATTAAGTGATTGACATATTTATCGTGTTATACCGTCTATACTACTACCTTGGTTAACTACTTAATCTGCCTTGATTAGCCGACTTAATCCTTTGTCAGTCAATTCATCAATCCAATCCTGAACAGAAGTCATTGCTTCTCCTTTGTCAGACTATATATCAATCCAATAAGAGTGATTATAAACTTAATCTACGTGATTAACCCGTGATTTCTCCATTATCGGACGTTTCAATCGACGGACAACACGTAGAAATTAGTTATATATGTCACATATCCTAATAGTATATAACACCCCAAACCCGATAACTTGTCTGTGATATTTCTGTGGCATATTCTCGGATTTATAATCATATTTTGAATGGGGTTTTTGTTTTTAAATAACTAAACACTGTTGACGAATATTTCGATTGGAATAATGTAAGTAGTTAATTGGTTTAGACGATATTGCGTGTTAGAGTCGAATGCGATTATTTAGCAGTTTGGGTCACTCGCTTGTTGTGGTAGAGCAATGTTTACTGCCAAATAAATTTCGGGATGCCATTTTTTTTACCTTCTGTATATAAGTCAAAACGAAGTATAAGACGAATGCCGGACTTCTGCTGAAACATGTTTCAACTTATGACCCCAAAAATACGGTACGGATCAGCAGTAGGCGGCACGATTTCATTCTATGGTATTACGATGTCACGCAATTTTGTAGGAATATTTTTTACATAAATTTGAATACCGTATGGGTATTAAACATGAAAAATAATGATGTTCACCTATTTTTTATTACATATGAATTTGAATATTTTGTTGACACATGATTCTTAATTGTGGTTTGAACACGCCTGCTTAAATAACGATAAGAGTTATGCCCCTTTATTTTCGGAAAAAAATGTCCAACAAGAAAAATTTTGAAATCCCATCAATGATTTCAAGTTTCCATCAAAATCAGATGTAAGTTTTTGTACAATCAGGGGCCATAATCCATGAAGTTATGGTCCGATATATGCCAATATCGAAATGAACCGAGATCTTTGGGAGATAGACCTATATTTTAAATTTATTCAAAATCAAATAAAAATTGTGACCTGTAGAGTGTCCACAAATAAATTGTGGACGGACAGACAGATGGACGTCCAGACGAACAAGTGCGATGACAATATATGTTTACATGAAAATGTGGGCGTATAAAATGACAGGTTGCCAAGCAATAACATATATCAGCTAAGCTGTCCAAGCAGTTCACAAAGATTGTAGCATATTTATATTTTTGTAATGGGGGCCTTTCCATGGCGTTAAAACCCATAAAGATTTATCTGAAATAATTCACAAAATTAGATTGGCTTCTAGTTCTTTCTACTTCTAGTGCTGGCATTTATTTTAAAATAATCGTTGATCAATAGATTCTCTGTCTCATGGACAAAAATGTGGCGTATTAATTTCAAGTCAATCTGATCATAATTTTAGCATCTAGAGCATCACTAAGTGATTATAGATTATGGTGTGGGTGACAACAATATGCGACCACATTCTAATGTAAGCATATAAAAATTATCAAAGATTCGAATCAAACTATAAATATTTATATTCCACAAAAATAGGTTTTTTTCTGCCTCACTTACCTGTTGGAAAAATTCATTATCAATTTCTGCTTCTCTTTCCCAAATGACAGCACCATCCTCTTGTGCCAGTTCTTGAAATAGAACTTTTGTTCCCTTCATAAAATTTTTTCCAATAATAAAAAGAGATTCCCCTCCTGATATGCTGCCTCCATTTAAACTAACTCTACCTATCTCTGGCTGACCTATGGGCTGAGCTAAAATAAAACAAGCAAAAAAGTGAGACTGATGTCCTTCACCTCAATCCCCAAATAAATAAACGGACACTCATTAATTACTTTCAAACTGATCTCTTTATGAAAAAAAGAATAATCAAATTGTTTATCACTCTGCTTAACCTAAGCAGAAAATGCTCATTATCAAACTTGTCATGGTATTCATGTAAAAATACTATACACATTACTATCACTCAATTAGAATCAGAGTTATGTTCCGTCAAATCAAATAACAATGTACTTATCTCTGATAAGCCTAAGATCAAAAGTCCTGGTATAGATGTAATGAAACTATATGCCAAGTTTTATCACTCTCACTTGATTAGAATCAAAGTACGAAAGTCTCCATCAATCAAATTGCTATTCATTGCTTAGCCTTAGCATAGCATGTTCATTATCAAACTTAGCTAAGGCATTCAGGTAATAATAACCTAAGTCAAGTCTGAACAATCTAGCTTAATTAGAAACAGAGTTATAGCATCATAAAATGTGTGACAGACATTTTCACTTTTGATAAATTGACGTATTTAATAATTTAAAAGGGAAACATTCCACAAAAGTTACATACTACATAAAATAGGTGTTGAGGCCGTTTGCAAAACTTGAAAGTTTCCATCCGGTTTCTTTACTGTTACTCTGAATACCATTCGTGCTCTTGTATTATTCTTCTTCTTAGCCTTAGCTTTCACCATTCCAATTCTCTTTTCAACATCGGCATTTCTTAACTTGAGTATACCAACACAATCAATACTACAAAATACATTATGGTTTAATTAATAAACACAATAAAACTTTAAAAATGCCACAATGCAGTAAGTGTTAGTCAATTTAATTTAACTGATTAAGTTTCCTTTAGAATTGACAATTCCTATTTAGGACAGTAGCCATCACAAAGCATAAATCCAAACTTGGATTCTTACCTGACAGTCATATCATTAGCAGGTAATATTTCAGTTTCAATCACAACTGTTCCATCATATGTCTTTTCTGTGCATTGCGTTGAATTTTTTCCACAGACTCGGCATGCCTGGTAAAATCCATGCGGCTTGATTCTACCAGATTCACATGCAATAAATATCTGTAATGTTGTTGGTTCCTTGTATCCAAATAACTAAAAGACAACCAATTCAATTTAATTCATCAATACAGAGATTCAATTTAATTTATCAATACAGAAGTGTTAAACTTAACTTCCATTGCAGTTTAGCTTAAGTAAGAAATACAAATTCGGAGAGAGAGAGAGGGAGAGAGAGAGAGAGAGAGTTTAACGTCTAACACATTGGTCACATTGGGACTAACATATGGTACAATTTTATATCAATAATGAATAATTCACTTTTGCTTACATGTAGAGGTCTTTAGCAGTGGGAGGAAACCGGAGGACCCGAAGAAAAACCCAAGGTTAAGCAGGTGACTATAATCCTTGTCACATACAAGTGTGGGATCGATATGAATTCAGATAAGTTAAACTGATAAGACCAATTTATTAGTGTCTATTTATTACCTGAACTACTGGATATCCTTGCTGAGTTGTATCCTTTACAGCCCCACGACTACCTTCTGTCAAATATCGTGCTCTGTGCTGCTCTTCTGGTTGTGTAATAATACAAAGCTCAAGATCACCTACTTTACTTGGATATTGTCCAGTTAATGTTGCTTCCTTAATTTTACGGTTCTGTGGAGTGGCCTTTGTAACAGGAGGAGCTACTGATTTCAAGGATTCTCCTCCTGCCACTGATACTGGTGTTTGCATGTGTGTAGTAATGCCACTAGTACTGTAAATCATAACATACATCATAAGAATTTTTTTTACTGATCTCTCAATATTATACTTGTAGCTAAGTACACTTCTCAAAATTTTCCATCATAAAAATTTCTGATATAAATTACAACTCAGGTACATCACATTAAACATCAAAAGGCATTATAATATCTTAGCCTTTTCATTTCAAACATTTCTAAATTCTGCACAAATATTTCACAACTCATCTTATTCCTAGAACAGAAGGAGGATGTTCTGCATGACTTAATATTGACGTCATACACAAATCTAACTTTTTAAAAATTTGACAGAGCTTGCAACATTATACCTTAAGAGCTGAAGGCAAACCTCTAACTACAGATTAATTCATAAGAATTAATAACTAATCAATTACTACATAAGAATTCTTGAATCCAATTCAGTATTGAGAAATTCAGTATTATTAGTGTACAACTTTAGCTGAAGTGAAAATGGTGCATATGATCTTAATTATTCTATGGAATACCGTTGGTGCTACACTTCTAATGAAGATGAAACGTACATGTAGTCTACTACAGTATGTAGGCCTACATGTTAGAAGTTAACTAAGGTTGAGGGTCACCAGTACAAATATTTCAATCGTTAGGTTTTATATAATTTTTCTTTTTAACAAATACATGTACTAACTACATGTATACGTATGTATATGCACTATGCACATATTTGAAATATGTCCAGACTTGTCTATTGCTCAGATTTTTTTTGTCAAGTACATGTAATTTCGTATAGTAGCTATATAAATAAAACAAAATGACCTTTAATGAAATAATCTTACCTCATTGAAGATTGGGTTGTTTCAGTTTCATTTTGTGATAGTCCAAAAGCAACTCCATTCTGACCGAACTGCGTAAACTGATAGGCATTAGAACAAGTTGCCCCACCGGCATCAAATAATGTCTCCACAGATAATTTCTTATCAAAAGATGTAGAATGAGTATCATGATTTCGCTTAGATTTATGAGACTTGGTAGGAACCATGGAAATGTTATCATCATCTGAAAACACACTAGTATTCCACAAATCAGATGGGGTATCGTCTAAATTGTCGGAGTTTAAATTTAGCTCCTCTGATTTCTGTAATAAAGTGAGCTGTGTATTTCCATCAAATAATACACTATTAGGAGAGGATAATGAGGAAGGAGATTCTAGTTGTATATCTGGACTAGATACTGGGCTTGGACTGAGACTACTATTACATTCATCTACATCTGCTGTTAAAATCTTTCTAAGCATTGAGCCACTGGCTTGTTTTTCAACAGAATCATCCTGGGATATCGTAACAAACAATTTAGGGTTTGAGATAGAACCAGAGCTTGTCGCCATTTGATTTCCAGTTTCCATAAATTGTGTCATATCCTCTGAGAATTGTTCAACATTTCTATAATTCCTCACAAAACCAACTGGCAAAGGAGGATTTGTATGACTTAGTGCTTGAGACAGACAAAATAAATTCTGAAAGTCCTGTTCACTCCCCTCACTTGCCTTGGTTTCAAAAAAAGACTGGGTATCCATTGGTCGTGTTTTGGGGTTTAAAATCGGAAAAGTTTCAAAACTCAACCTTGTTGGAGATAACTGTCTTTTTAATCCAACAATTGGTTGATTTCCATCCACTTCAGGGCTTTTAACCTTTTCTTGACTCGCATACGGATTCACAATTTGTCTACCATCTCCATTCTGGGTTAAAAGACCAAATGTAGTCATTTTGTTCAAATCCACATTTTGGTTAGATTTCACTGTATTAACTATTCTATTCATTTGTTCTTCTTTCACTTGTTTTTGTACTTGTTCTTCTAAATGTTTCTCCAGTGCCTTTAAGATAACAGACTTGAGATTTTCATCAGTTGTTGATAGTGCTGGAAGAGTTTGAGCTTGTGTATTCTGAACAAATGTAACTGGGTTTATAACTTGGTTTAATTCTACTGGTTTTGGTATGTTAACACCAACATCCATTCCTTGGTTAGAAGCTTGACCCATTCCATGACTACCTGTATAATTTTGGCTAGGCTGATCAGTGTTCAAGTTTTGCATTTGAGGGGTTTCAGCTCGTTGGTTACTGGGATCAGATGTTTGACGATACAAGTTCTGAAGAAGTCCTCGAATTTGTGGAAGGTGTTCAATAAGATTATTGTTCACTGCTGTGTGACTGGGTTCTGTCAATTTCTCTAGCAGAAACTTCAAGTCATTATCTGATGTACTCTGCTGACTAGAATTATTAAATCTAAACATATTTTGCTGTTCATGTACCTGTACCTGTGGACTTTGCCCATGGGTCTTTGGGCTTTGCCCATGTGTCAGTGGGATCTGCTGGTTCTCAATTTTCATCACTGGATTGAGAATAATTGGGCTCTGTGGATTACTTGTCCTACCAGAAAAATGACTTTGGTTAACTTGACCAAGCTGATTTAACTGTATCGGACCTTGAATATTGCTAGGACTTTGTAATGGCAAAGTCTGAATCACTTGTGCTTGTTGAGGTTGAGAAAACTGACTTTGATTAATACTACTGAAAGTGGCTTGAAATTGTTGTTGATTACCGAACTGATTATTTTGAAACTGTCCTGGAGTTAGTACTAATATTGATCCTGGGGGTAATGCAGAGTTCTGTACACTAGTTAGTAAACCGGTCGGTATATTTTGAAACTGATTTGAAGAATTATTGATCTGGTGTTGAGGTTGATTTTGTGGGTTAAACTGATTTGAGCCGACAAAGACATGGTTAGCAATTTCTACAGGCATCTTAGTATTGGTGCTGACTTTGGTGAGAATATCTTGTAATAAACAGGATTTCATGACGGGAGGTTCATTTACTATTTCTGTTGAGGGACTAGAATGAGTTATTGGCATGTTGCCTTTTGAGTCTGGTGAAGCTACTCGTGATGATACATCTTCATACTGAATTGGGGTATCTGGACTTTTCACTGAAGAGGATACTTCGTTTACCATTTGTGCTGAATTTTGACTAAATGTGTTGTTCTGTGAATTTGATACGATATAATGTAATTGAGTTTGGTTCGATGTCGAAGTAATACATGGGTTATTGAAGACATTGGCTGATGGCCCTTTTTGAAACTGACTGGTATTGGATGTTTGAGAAACAAGAGAACTAGTAACAAATGGACTGGGCTGGGCATCATTGCACAAGTTTTGTGAATACTGGGATGTGATACTTTGATTGGGTGATTTCACTTGATGAAACGTATCTGAAGGTACTGATGATGGTATAGAAGAGACTGGTGGAAAACTGTCCATGCGTAGATACTGAAGATCTGATGGTAAATTCTGTGACATCCTCGTACTGTTGTCCAAAGCTGAAAAATCAATACATTGTTTCATAATCATAAATGAGCATTTAAAATAATTCTACATTTTTTTTATCACATCTATTGTACGTTGATTCTCTTGCCTGTTAACCCATAATACATGTATCTTGTAAAGCCACATGATGCGAGTACGCCATGCATTAACCTACATGTTTTCCTGGTATCTAACTGGTACATAAATGAAATCGGGTTTAACATCCTACTGTTCTGCTCCTAAACTGGGTTAATTAAGATGGGCATACGCCATATAGTGTGGTATGAGGGAAATTCTTCCCAAACAGTGGCACTATGGCCTACTCATATCAAATTCCAACTGCCAAGGTATCTTTTACGTGCACATCAATGTATACACGGGACCTCATTTTTTTGTTCCATCTGAACAACTAGACAGCTGTCCTTGTCAGGTCCTCCATCCTACACTAATGACAAGGGGAAATCTTGTCGGAAAACCCTGATGAACTTTCTCGGCAAATGCAGGGATCTAATATGAGACCTCCAGACTAGCAAGCCAGCGTCTTGCCCACTGTGGCTTCCTAACTGGTAAATGTTTATATAACTATCGTAATTATCGTAACCAGGTAACCAGAAACTGAGCATGTAACTTAAATAAAATAGGGCTGAATCAGCAACCCTAAATGACATTTACTTTAGAAATGAGAAATAAAACTTCTTACCACTGTTATCATTAGCTGCTGATGGATTAGATGCTGGATGAGAAGAATTCAATTCTTCATTTAGAAAATCAGTTAACATATCGCTTGTATTCGAGGGACTCGACGTCATATTGAAATCTGAAAAAAACAAGCCAACAGTGAGGCTGATGTCCCCTGCCGAAATAAAAAAAAAAACAACAGATCTATGACACATATTAATTAGGGTGTCATGGTGATATATTCACACATTCTTTTTACATTGGATAAAATTGTCACCTCTAGAGGCACCACAAGCTAAAAATGTGATTTTTAGTACAATCAAGGGCCCTAATTCAGGAAGTTACGATTAATATGTGCGAATATCGAAAGGAACCAAGATCTTTGGGTTATAAACATGCATTTCAAGTTTCATCAAAATCTCTTAGAGTGGCCAAGCTAGAAACGTGATTTACAATGTATCATACAATTAGGGACGATAATCCATGAAGTTTCGATCTGATATACTGTATGCCAATATCGAAAGGAACTGAGATCTTTTGGAGATATTCTATATTTCAAGTTTCATCAAAATCAAATAAGAATTGTGACCTGTAGAGTGTCCACAAACGTATTTATAGGCGTGTGAAAGCCCTGACAAAACAATTAAACTGTAGTTGAATGAATCATAAAGTTGAAGTCAACTCAATGATCAATGATATATCTTTTCACTCACTAGTTAATATTAAAAGATGCCAATGAAGTAGAAATTGCCTTCTCTTATGAGTGGCACAAATGAACTGTAAGCTATTGAGTAAACTGATTTGATTGATGACTTGATGTGGAAGGTTTAGTAAGATGTAATAAGAATCTGAAGCCGTAGGTATACAGTTATATGTATATATACATGGACCTTATAATAAGGACCATGGTAATTGGTATACAGTACGTCAGTAGCCTATATATTTATAGCAAAAATTTATCATTTTCATCAATGGGCCAATGTTTTAGTTACAGCCATCAGTGGCCCCACTCCAAACTCTTATTGGTAGTATTGTTGGTCTCGGTTTCTTTTTTATACCCTAGCCTACACAAGTACAAAGGGGGTGGGGGGGATTGGACTGGAGGCGTTCTCTTTAAAATTATAGCCTGGAATTAGGAACATATTTCAATTTGTGATTTGAATAAACCAAATAAATGTAATTTTGTATGGCATGTAAGAAATTCATGAAACAGGTAGAGAAATTAGTGGTGTTTGTTTTTGCGTCAACCAAAAATCTCATTAACCTGAATTTAGTGTTCACGTGACATTTATTATGACCTTGACATAGATAACATTGGTTTGTTAGGCAGCCAGCCATCAGGTAAATTTCATGTCCCTTTTTCTCCGTTAAATAACAATAACATAACTATCTACGGAATTCATTTAACCAAAAACTCCCAGGTTAAATAATATGAACTGAAATTCGACATTGCCATTAACAGCTGACCGAGTCGCGTTTAAGTGAAAATATTGAGAACGATTCTAGATCAATCCCACCATAGATATTACCATGTCTAGTTCGGCGAATTAATTTCATGAATGTCCTAATATGGACTTACAGACAAAGAAGCATCAAACTGAACAGAAATAATGAAATGTGGAATTATTTTTATTAACTTATATCCGAGATTAATGCACATGACTATTTGTCAACAAGAGGTGTTATTCGTTTGCTGTCCTAACGGTAAATCAAGCGGTGACGCAATGGGCACAGAAAGTAGTGCGGGCCGTCGTTGTTGTCTATGGAAAAATTGTCATGTCCGCCATCTTGGAATATCACGTACCTTGTTTCAAAAAATTCCGACTTTTATCATCAACTTCATTCATTTCCAATTTTTGAACATAATCCGAAGGCATTCCACCTTGTTTGTATGTCGTTTTCTGTAGTTGACGTTTTGCTTGAAATTCTTTTGAAACAGAAATTCATTGATATAGCGGAGTGACATTACAGATGTGTTTCGCCCTCGGTGCCTCTGAATACATTGAAGCTGCATAACTTATCGGCCCATGAAGGCAGTATTTTCACGAATGCGATTGGATAATCTCCCGAACAATGGCCAATCAAAATATTCCATTTGGTACGTATCGGAAAAATAATCAATGGACAGAGTTATTTAGTATTACGTAATCTTCCGCATTTAGATCATGGAAATCCCATCGATTTGTGTTTTGGATTACATTTTGCAATCCTTTAAAGAGGGTAAATATTGGCTAGCTGTCAAACCATTTAAGTAACAAGGTTTTGTCGTTATTTGAAATAAAGATAGGGCGTAATTATATTTGCATTAATGTAGAAATAACTATACCCTATAGGCTATACTCCTATAGCTTTTGGGCCTATATCATGCCGAAGGCGCTAGGAGTAGGATAACACTACACGCCTCACTTTGGATTGTCCAGATCAGATTTAATTTCGAGAGGAATCGTGTATGATACAGGGTATGCTTAATCAGACCACTTGGTAGGCCTAACACGTTTCATTTGAGATTTGGAGTAGGGTCGCCTGTCCAACCTCGTGGGTTTTCTCCGGGTCCTCCGGTTTCCTCCCACTGCTAAAGACCCCTACGCGCAAGCGAATTATGTAAATAAAATTAATCCATATGTTAGTCCCGAAATGACCTAGTTTGTGTCGAGTGGACGTTAAACCCCCCCTCTCTCTCTCTCTTTTGAGATTTAACGTGCTAATGGCTATATAAACATACATATTAATAATATTATAATCTAGTGACTCAAGGGGGGAATTGCTACCCGGGAGGAGAATGTATGAGACCATTTTTTTTTTACTAGAACAGCTTTAATTTTGTGTACCGGTGTGTCGATTCTGGGCGGTGCTTATGTGTTGTGGGTGGGGTGGGGCTTTACCGAGATATGGGGGTGACTAGGACTGAGATGGGGTGGCCATGGGTACAATGTCTAAAATGAAATGAAGTTATATAATAAGCTCCGGCTTGTTTTCAGATCCCATCATTATTAAATATTGTATAGATTATGGAAATATTGATTGAATAAATATTGTTAGAAGAAAAAAATGCCTAAAATTGGTTGGAAATTTGATAATGTTGATGGCAATTTTATAGCACTTTATATCTCTAAAAAAAGGGGGGGGGTATAATATGACATTCCTGGATAACTCCTGGGGTTTAGGCAACCGGTCGATGCCTTAAAGTGGCGGGAAATGTGATACTATTGATATAAATATAATAAATGATAATTATCTCAGATTAGTTAAACACTAAATTATAATTCTACGTAGGCAACATCTCTAAAGAAGTATATATATTATGATCACGGCCAACTGTTTTGCATTGGGTGGGGGGCAATGGCTAAACTTGGCAGTACAAGTTTGATAATATTGATATCAATGCTGATCATTAGTAACGGTCACTGATCAAACGCTGTCCTCTGACCGTTCCTATTCGTCCCTATTAAGCTGCCATATAAAACCAACTGTTTTGCATTGGGTGGGGGGCAATGGCTAAACTTAGCAGTACAAGTTTGATAATATTGATATCAATGCTGATCATTAGTAACGGTCACTGATCAAACGCTAGCTGCCTCTGACCGTTCCTATTAAGCTGCCATATAAAAATAGCCCACCTCGATCTAAGGCTATTTTAGAATCCCTCCTTCTATCTTTCACCGTGATCCTTTTACCAAAACCACATGGTTCAAAATTGGTCTTGATGATCACCCTATAGCCCAGTAAAACATTAATTTCTGGCACTGTAAATCTAAGATGTGATGCCCTTGGAGGACAACTGGTTTGCTTTTTTTTCGGGGGGGAGGGGGTGTCATCTTATAGATTTGTACAACATTGCTTTCTAGCACTGTACATATCTAAAGAAATGTTCCCGAAGTGGACGGAAATGAAATGTGATAATGCATGATGACCATCTTATAGATTAAACATACAGGTCTTACATGCGCGATAATTGGAAATTGTCAATTTGTATCTGGAAATTGTTTAACATCTATCGATAGCAAGAGCAAGCGTTCAAATAAATGTTATGTTTCATGGGGAATAATTCATGCATTGTTTTTTCATAAATAAATTGCTTTATTGTAAGGTAATAATTAGTTTACACGATAATTTTGCAGGATCATTTGAATTAAAAAGTAGATAATTTAACTAAACCCCTTGATAAGAAAGGGACCCTAAAGCACCCTTAAAACATTTATTTTCTGTTAAGTATATTGGAAAATAGAGCAGATTACCATTTTGTAAAGACTGGTTTCGAACACCATTTTTTTTGTTCCTCAAATTACATTTTGGACTTCACCCCCCCCCCACACCCTTATTCCCCGTAAAACATTTATCCAATTGCATCCCGTACAACACAGTGCTAAAAACTAATGCTTTATTCATCCACAAAATGACCATCCATTACATCAACATGGTCACATTTTCCGCCAATTCTGGGCAGTCACCCCCGCCCCTGAAGCACACCACACACACACAGTACCCGCACCTTCTTAGAAAAGCAAACCAGTTGTCCACCAGCTTTCTGCAAAGACGCTCATACTCATAAGGACATCTTATATGCCCATTTAGTGCATGCAAGAAATGAATGTTTTACTAATGATCATCATTGATGTCAACATTATCAACTTTACCGCTAATTTTAGGAAAAATGCCCCCAAACACCTGAAAACCACCAGAATCGAAATGTACGCAAAAAAACTGCTCTAAGAAAACTTGGTCTCATTAATTCTCCTCTCGGATGGCGCCCCCATAAAATATTAAAATTCTGTTTTTCTTTTAGTCTGTGCACTGTAAGCCTTTTCTGTAATTTTTACAGACTTGTTTCTGTAAAACGCTTACAGCGCAGGTCTGTTATCCTGATAACAGACACGAGTCTGTTAATATTTAAGAAATACAGAATTTCGTCCGTAAATATGACATACGGGTGTTTAAATTAAAGTGACGTCATCGGTCTTCCTGGGCGCCATTACTGTTAGACCGTTAGTTAGCGGCAAAGAGGAATCCCTCAACATCGAGCACAATAGTTGAACATTACAGTCAATACCAAACATTGCAGTTTTAGGTAAGTATACAGTAGGGACACATCTTTGTTTGACATAGATTGATTCTTAGCATTCGTAAAAATGTACGGTAACTGATTTATGAAATAGTAGGAATAGACTCTTCTACTTCTAGACAATTGAAATGGACATACATGATACTCACATACACTGTCACAGTGTTAGTGTTAGCACAGAGTAAAAATACACTCTGGTGTTAGTGCTAGGCCTAATATTTTTTCGCATTGTTTTTGGAGGCTTCAGTTCTAGTTGAGGCTACTCGGATGACATAATAATAACATTGATATAGAAAAAAAATATATGAACTATGAAGGGCTAACATTTCTGGGCTTCATTAAGTTCATAGTCTCAGGTCTGTAGGCTAGGCCTACCACTGAAAACCATTATTATTAAGAATTTATTGAATTGTCAATGCATTGTCTGGATAATGATCTTTAATTTTTTATTTTACTAATTTTTTTAGGCACAGCTTATTGCATCCTTGAGTGCCATTCCTGTCATCTATAGAGTGGGCTACCCAGCCTTTCTCTGGGTTAGTAAAATTTTTTCAAAGGTAGGCCCTACCGGTAAAGAAAAATTATAAGATTGAACTTACTGAAGATAATAATTTTGGGAGTTGAGCGCATTGTTAATGAAAACCAACACTTCCTGCCCTCTGCTTGGACCTTGAAATTTGAGGGGTGGTTGGACGAATGGTCTAACCATGGAGCTTATATAAGATCCATGGTCTAACATGGGCCTTAGTTAGGTCAGAATGAAGCCTATGTCTTTGAGTCAAGTGGCGTTGAAAGGAGTAAGATTGCCTGACTAACCGTGTTCATTTTTTCTGGGTCGTTCGTTTTCCTCCCACTGTTTATAAAAGACCTACGGTTAAAGCGATTATTGAAATAAAATTCTATGTTTATTAGTCCAAAAATGACCTAGTTCGTGTTGTGTGTGGATGTTAAATCCCATTTCTCTCTCCCAGCTTAAACCTTGGGGTAGGTCTTATTAGCAACAGGTGAATCCTATTTTAGTCTGCTTTTAGATTTACCTGTCATAGGTGCAGAGTCGCCACTGGTTAGTCCAAAAATCTGATCAGAAACCCAAGATGCGGTAACGATAGAAGAAAGCATGGGTTTTAACCCGGAAAGCAATGGGTGTCACGTTAGTTACAGCTACTACCAATATGAATCATGATCAGAAAAGTTCAACCTAACTTAAAGGAGCTAAATCTGTATTCTTTGGCCCCGAGAAATGAACACAATGGGTCGCAACGATAATAATCTATTATGAATGTCTATAAACTGATTTACATTCAGTCGTTTCTGTTTTTAGTGTAATTTGTAATCAGTTATGCTCGGCGAAATATGTCCAAATTGAATGGCAGTCTGGTTATTCCAGTATACACTGAAAGTGTTTGTGATATGTTTAGTCTCCTGGGGGGGTTGAATGGCTGAATGGTTAGCACGTGCGCGCTGTGCCATAAAGTCTGTCATTGAGTCAACTGGCGTGGTTTCGAATCCCCGGTTGTACGTGGCAAGGAGTAGGGTCGCCTGTCCAACCTCGTGGGTTTTTCTCCGGGTCCTCCGGTTTCCTCCCACTGCTAAAGACCCCTACGCGCAAGCGAATTATTGAAATAAAATTAAAACCATATGTTAGTCCTGAAATGACCTAGTTTGTGTCGAGTGGACGTTAAACCCCATTTCTCTCTCTCTCTCTTTAGTCTCCTGTTTGTGGACATGAAACTTCATTTTCTCGCACATTTAGCTCCCTTTTCCTTAATTAAAATGTGTTCTTTTGAAATGGATGTCGTAAGAAACAACCTGATTGAGAATATTTGTTTTGCAGGTGCATTTTTGAAATTAACCCAGATAACACACAGAAATCATGAAAAAGAGGAAGACTCGAGTGTGCCAAAAAGTGGTATAACTAATCACTAAACTGTCAAACTTT